ATATATATATATATATATATATATATATATATAAATTAGAATATGTTGGCCTAAACACTTATCCAGGTTGATTCACCAAGATGACCCATACTACTTATCTAAGGTGTTGTTGGAAACTATTTAACCAATCCAATGATGAACAGTTTAATAATTTTATGAATAAATACTCAATTTTTTTGACCAATTTAATCAATATCCTCAAATTGAAAGATGTTAATATAGTATTAAGCTTATACTATCTTTACAAATATAACTTGAACCAAATTAATCACGTTAATATCGAAGATGACTTAAGTCTATTCACCAATTTAGTAATAATAAGTTTAATTCTCTCCAATAAAACATTTAACGATCAATCATACACTTTGAAGACCTGGAAAAATATAATTAATGAACAGGACTATAAAATATCCCTCCCACTATTAAATCAATTAGAAAATCATTTTTTAACCGTGACAAATTACCAAGTCAATTTTAATAAAATCGATCAGGACGATCATTTTTGGAATTCCTTTGATTGTTCAAACGCAACCATTTGTTATTTCAGAAAAATTGTCTCTAGAGATATTTTCTCCAGTGGGTCTTCCTTCACCCATAAGACCTGCACTCCAACCGCTCCTTCTTCGGTAATTTCCACTCCAATCAAAACCATTATGAAGACTCCTTATTTGGCCTACACCCAATTCACTAATTATAACTACTCGTCGCCTCTAGAACCTCCTAAAAAACGTCTTAAATGCAATTCCTACAATCCCTACAACTACAATAATAATCCATATATATACAATCCATACATCAGTCATTATTAGCCATCTCCGCGCGCACGCCCGTACCCACAGGATAATATATTTATTTCTTTTCTGCTTATAGCTCATCTCATGCATTTTATGATTTTAATGAACATTTATTTATTACGACTTTTATTACGACTTTTTATTACGACTTTTTATTACGACTTTTTATTACGACTTTTTATTTTTTTTCCTTTTTCTGTTTTTTGTTTTTTTGTTTTTTGTTTTTTGTTTTTTTGTCTTTTGTTTTTTTGTCTTTTTGTCTTTTGTTTCTTGTTGCCTGTAGCATGATTTGTAAAGTTTGTGGTGAACATGAATCAAAGTACAAGTGTCCGGTGTGCATGGTGAAGTATTGTTCTTTGGCCTGTTACCGAAACCATCAGCATGAAAACACCGAACGGTTGGAAACAAAAAAAGATGAATGGGTTCCGGCTGGTGGAGACGATAAGTTTGCGTTGGTGTTGAATGATCCCGCAATCCAGTCGATGCTAAAGTATAAATCCCTACAAGTACACCTACTATCTATTATCAAGATCCTTAAAAGTGATGATTTTACGAATGAAACAACCACCGAAGGTAAACGGGAAATTGCTAATCTAAAATTATGTAATTTGAGAATTGGTGGTAGTGAAGAAAATGAATTAGTGGAAGATTTTATAAATGTTTTTTTAGATTTATATTCATGATTTACCTCCCCAAACAAATTTAATTTTACCGTTTAAGCTCTTATTCAATTGTATTTTATAAAGATATCCGCCTAAACTTCCATCTTTAGCACTGGTAATAAATAATTGATTATTTTTACTGCCTCCAATTGTAACACATGTAATTTTCGGAGTGGGCAACTTGAAAATCTCAGTAATCTCCGCTTGCTGATTAAAATGAAGTATTTTACCAGCACTAAAGATTGCAGAGTAAATTTCGTCGTTCTTATCAATGGTTAACCCGTCGGGTTCCGGGCTCTCTCCCGTTTCAATGGTTTTCATATTTATGAATTCTTGTTTATTCGAAAGCGTATTGGAAATATAGTCATAGTCAAAGCTCCAGATCTTGTAGGTTAACGAATCGGTCCAGTAGAATTTTTTCCCATTGAAGCTGAAATTCAATCCGTTGGAAATAAAACAGTCTTGCACCATGGTTTCAATCGTTAAATCGTGACAATTGATTCGATATAATCGTCCTTCGGGTTTCACTCCTTCCTGTTCGGCCACCGGGAAATCAGTCATTACCCCAATCCATAAATGCCCCCACGGATCAATGATCCCGTCATTGGACCTCAATCTTTTCTTTTGCTCCTGGGTATGATTATACTCAAGAATATACTCAATTCTCCCATTCTTGAAATTCCCTTTACAAATCCCGTACTTAGCACAAACTATCACTATGTTATCATCATTGGTTAATCCAATGGCTCCAATTGATTCCTGGCCATCTTCAAATTTTAAAACCTCGTGACTCTTCTCGATCTCCTCTTCTTCCTCTCGGCTTAGCTTAACTCGATGGACTTCTCCCCTGATAATATCAACCCAAAGTAGAGTATCGTTACTGGGATTATACGTTATTCCTTCAGTTAACTCCCCCCGATATTTCTTGAAAAAAATCTGTATCGGTATTAGTACTGATCTAAACACCACTCATCTACTCATACATACATTGCTTTCATCTAATTCATACACTTTAGTCATGGCTTTGAAGAAAGAACTACAGTACCAATGAAAAAAAAAATATTTCTCAACAAAATTAAACATATACTAAAAAAAAAAAAAAAAAATAATAATAATAATTTACCTGAAAATTGCTATAAATAGTTAATTACTCGACCATTTTTGAGCTAATTCAATCATTGATTCGGTATTCATTGACGCGTTAATCACTTCTAATGGTACCTGGTTCTCGCTGTTCTCCTTATGTGAAAATCTTCCTAGATTGTTTTCATTTATTAATCGTATCTCGTAATTGGGGGTTTCCTGTAGTAATTCATTCCAAGTATATAACAATGGATCGTATTTCCTGCTGAATGGATTAATATCAATAATAATCACCCGGTTATACGGTTTGGGGATGTATACATCAATAATCATTTTCTCCATGTTGACGTCGATGGACTCGATAAATTGATCGATTAGTTCCTGGAATGTTGGTTTCAATCCCTCCAAATAATCATAGTAGTTCAAATCTCGTTGACTAACCCCAATGATGCGGCCCTGTCTAATGAATATACGAAACTCTAATGCTGGGTTGATATTAATCCATTGTTTCAACACCATCTCGTACTTAATATCGGGTACCTCCTTCACTTCTTCAAATGCGGCATCCAAATCATGGTTGATATGATTCGACAGCTTCAACAAAATATATACATCATTCACATCACTGCACTTCATCTCGTTGTTGATCATCATAAACGTGGCGTCCTTGGGTGCTGACCAATTCAATTTGGGAATAATCACTCCTCCCAACTCTTTGATTCCCTTAATGATCTCCTGGTGGAATTGCGGGAAATTCTTGGTCGGGTCCACTCTTTCCTCTTCTTCTTCTTCCCAATCACTAAATTCATTATCGCTATTCGGAGTGGCCTGCTCTACCTTCCGGGGTATCGTTATACTCTCACTCTCCAAATACTCAAGGAATTCTCGCGGTATGGCAAGTACTTTACTCGGTATGAGATTCTCTTGCGGCACTTGTCTGCTCCAGCTCGAGTACGAGCACTGTAAGATCTCCTCTGCACTGACAGAAATCTCCTCAAACACATGTGTGGCCATATTACTCCGTAGTCTCTTCTCTGGTTTCTAATCTTCTCTCGAGTCTTGTTTAAAGTCTTCTCTTCTCTTCTCACGTCTCACGATTTGGGCCCGCACACGTCCCTCTCTGTTTTTCGCCGTTACTACTTTTCCCAACGCGATCCATTAAAACTTTTCCACTGGACAGGGTATATACTTGTTTTGTTTGAAAGATAAAGATGGCACAAGCTCAAGCAAGACCAGCACCTTCGAATGCTACATTCAAGGATAAGGAAAAGCCCCAGGAAGTTCGTAAGAGTAACATCTTGGCTGCAAGAGCAGTTAGTGATGCAATTAGAACTTCATTGGGTCCAAAAGGTATGGATAAAATGATTAAAACTAAAAATGGAGAAATTATTATTAGTAATGATGGTGCTACTATATTAAAACATATGGCAGTTTTACATCCAGCCGCTAGAATGTTGGTTGATGTTAGTGCAGCACAAGATGTTGAAGCCGGAGATGGTACCACATCCGTTGCTATTTTAACCGGATCATTATTAGGAGCAGCTGAAAAATTATTAAATAAAGGAATTCATCCAACTTTAATTGCAGATTCTTTTCAAATTGCTGCTAAAAGAACTTGTGAAATTTTATTAGATATGTCTCATAAAATTAATTTAAGTGATCGTGAAATATTAATCAAGGCTGCTTCTACTTCATTAAGTTCTAAAATTGTTTCTCAACATTCTTCTTTATTATCTCCATTATCGGTGGACTCTGTTTTAAAAGTTATTAATGAAGAAGAAAATAATGTTGATTTAAATGATATTAGATTAATTAAAAAATCTGGTGGTACAATTGATGATACTGAATTAATTAATGGTGTTGTTTTAACTCAAAATGTATTGAAATCCGCTGGTGGTCCAACCAGAATTGAAAAAGCCAAAATCGGTTTGATTCAATTTCAATTATCTCCTCCAAAACCCGACATGGAAAATAACGTGGTTGTTAATGATTATAGACAAATGGATAAAATTTTGAAAGAAGAAAGAGCCTATTTATTGAACATTTGTAAAAAAATTAAGAAATCAAAGTGTAATGTTTTATTAATACAAAAATCAATTTTAAGAGACGCTGTTAATGATTTGGCTTTACACTTTTTATCAAAATTAAACATTTTGGTTATCAAAGATATTGAAAGAGATGAAGTTGATTTCTTATCCAAGGCAACCGGTTGCAAACCAATTGCTGATATTGATAGCTTCACTGAAGATAGATTAGGTTCTGCCGATCTCATTGAAGAAATTGAATCTTCCGGCTCTAAAATTGTTAAAATCACCGGTGTTAATTCAAAAAATATCAAACCAACTGTTTCAGTCATAATTAGAGGTGCTAATAATTTGGTTTTGGACGAAACTGAAAGATCTATTCATGATGCTTTATGTGTTATTAGATGTCTTGTTAAAGAAAAAGCTTTAATTGCTGGTGGTGGTGCTCCAGAAATTGAAGCCCTGAGAATTTTAATGAAAGAAGCTAATAAAAAATCAGGAGTTGAGCAATTTGTTTATCAAGAATTTGCCCAAGCTTTAGAAGTTATTCCAACTACTTTAGCTGAAAACGCTGGTTTAAATCCAATTAATGTAGTTACTGATTTAAGAAATAGACATGAAAATGGTGAACAAAATGCGGGTATCTCAGTAAGAAGATCTGGTGCTTCAAATACTTTTGCTGAACATGTCTTACAACCAGTTTTAGTTAGTACTTCATCAATCACTTTGGCTTCTGAATGTGTTAAATCAATCTTACGTATTGATGATATCACTTTTGGTCGTTAAGTCTGCTTTTTTTTGTATACACTATTCATTTCAACTTCTCTCATATACCATTTAATACATAAATCTATATATTATTCTTTCGTTAACTGTTTGAATTTTCTTTTTTAAGTTATAAGAATTGAAACTGAAGACATTTTTCAGCCTTAGTGGGTATTTGCTTTGGTATCTTTACAGCTAAAAATAAAACATTATATAAAACATGTTTTGGGTGGTATTGTACAGCAGAGTTAACTAAGTAAGTTCTATTCATAAAATGACTTGGCTGTTGCATTTACTTGGGTAGGCATATTGAAAAAATTTCCTGTTACTAGTATTTAATTGCAATAGTTTGCAATAGTGCCGCAAATATTTTATCTGTTCTTCCTCTGTTAATAATTCTAGCATCTTGTCAGCTGTAAATTCATCCTGATGTTTTTGAAACATTCTCATCTGCTGCTTTACCTCTAGTTTCCTTGTATTTTTTAAGTGCTTGTACCCTTCCTCATTCATTGGTCTGTATTTTAGTAATTCTACTGTATAAGACCAAATTCGATATTGACTGGATCTTCGGTACATATCATCCGTCGACACTTGTGGCTACGTCTTCACAGACACTTCTGTTCCCATCATTTTCCTTCTTCACTTCTGGGTCCGGCACTGCATGATAACTTTTGTATTCGGTTTTAGAAGAGAAGATTGTATAGTTAAAAATAAAAATTGAAAAATAGAGATTACTGTACGTAACATCGCTTTTTGATAAAGTAGTATACATTAATAGAATCTAAAATACATAAATCTATATAAATTAAACCAATTTGACTGATCTTGATAAACCTTTCTTAATACCAGTCTTTTCACCTTCATATGGACCTCTGTTTTCACCTTCATAGACTTGTCTGACAGACTTAAGTTTCTTTTGAGCTTTGTCATACTTCTTTCTCTTTTTAACTCTGGCATTTCTGTCAACATTCTTTCTATTACGGGTGAGACCTTTGTTCTTAAGAATTTGAAAGTTAAGGGCTCTTTTACCCTCCTCGTCCAATGAGTCTTGTAACTCGGCCAATTTACCTTCTTTAGCAGCTTTAACTGCAAGTTCGTGAGCCTCACGACGAGCGGATTTTTTATCTTGTTTGGATTGTTTGATATCATTATAGTAATCGTCGTTAATTTCATGGGCTACTCTTTCCTCGTCAGAATTCATATCATTATCATCAAGATCATCACCCAATTTTTCTTTAGTTTGACCCAAACCTCTTTTTCTTGCTTCTTCAAGAAGTCTTTGTTGTCTTTCGAATAATCTTTCTTTATAAGGTAAGTCCATATCACCTCCGTAACGGTCACTGTTCTTGTTGGAGGCTTGGTCGATTTTAGAAGTGTAGAAACGTAAGGAACGTTTACGGCGGTTTTTATCTTCCATATCAACTGTTTCAGGAGTAGCAGATTCGATAAAATCATCAACGTTCTTCTTAGATATTTTCTTGATATTTCTTCTTTTGTTGATGTCAATCTCAAGATCTTCATTTGCGTTGGTATCTTCTTCTTGTTCTTCTTCTTCTGATTCCTCTTCTGATTCTTCTTCTGATTCTTCTTCTGATTCTGAAACTTCTTCAGAAGCAACGATAGGCATTTCTTCAGACTCTGATCCTGCGATTTCTTGTTCTTCTTCCATTGTTTCCACTTCTTCTTCAGGTAATTCATTGGCTTGTCTCCAAACCTCCCTTAAACTCAAAATTGATTCCATTACTGGCTCTTCTTTCATGCTTAAGAATCTTTCACCAGTTTTTAAATGTTCAGCAAATAATGCAAAATATGAAGAGATAGTTCCCAAATAACAGGATAATGCAGTAATTTTAGTATTTATCAATTGATTTTTTTTAGATAATTTCTTATATGATACTAATGTTTCGTTTAATTGACTATATTCTTTCAATAATGGTATGAATTCGGGGAATGATGATTTCAAAAGTTTTAATTTATCATCTTTATCTAGACTTCCTAGCGATTTTGATGTTTCTTCATTTATAACAAGTTGGTTTTGAGAAGTTTTCGAATCATCATATTTATCAGCGGTTTTCTTCCAATCTTCCATCATATCTTCATCAAGAAAATCTTCCATCTCCAAATCTTGCAAATGCTTTTTCTGTTGCTCGACCGCTTCCTTGGCCATTTCTTCGTCATCATCACTGGCATCATCACCACCATAATAGTTTTCTTTACTACCCCAGCCAAGCCCTTCTTCTTCAACTTCTTCATCGTCTTGAGCAACATCAAACTCATCGGAATCCATGTCTTCATTCTGATCATCATATCCAGCTTGGTCTTCGCCATCATGTAATGCTAATACTTCTTCATCTGATGGCTCATCGTCACTAGCATTTTTGGATAAATAATCCCCTGCTTCGTCTAATAAGATCTTTTCCCTGTTTGCATTGAACGCATCAACCTCGTCGAGATCAACAGCATCCTCTGCGTCTGACCTTCTATTCTTTCTTGCCATGTTCAACACTTTTGGTCAACTGAGTTCAAACTTAAAGAAAGATTGATTTAAATGTTCATATAGTCATCGCAAATTTTTTTTTTTTTTCCTTTACTTTTTTTTTTGTTTTGTTAGTGCTGAAGTTTTTTGTGTGAAAGAAGAGAAAAAAAGAATAGAAAAACATGAAAAACATCGAATTGGTCAAAGAATTCACTAGACTTCTAGAAGATACAACAGAATGTCCAAGAGGCTAGATTCCTTGAATACAAAGAAGCCAGCCACAGGCCCCAAGCCAACTTTGAAGTTCAAACCAAAGGCGGTGGCAAGAAAAAGTAAGGAAGAAAGAGATCGAGATGCTCCAACAGTGAAACAAGAACCAACACCTAGACCAGCTAGGGGACGTGGTAATCTTAGAGGTAGAGGAAGAGGTGGAAGAAACAATTATGCCGGTACCCACGTTGTCCTGTCTGGGCCGTTATCGTCAGGAACTGTTTCTATAGGTAATACAGGAGCATCAAAAACTGGTTTCACTCAAGATCGAGTTTATAATTCTGTATCACCTACACCAGATTTCTTACAGAATTTGAAACTCAAAAGTGAAAAACCACAATCCAAATTAAAGGAAGGTTTCAGAGAAGAGGATGAATCCGATGATGATGATCCCACCAAGATTAATATGAATAGAGAATATAGATACGCAGATGAAGAAACCATTTTATTCCCAGTGAGACCTAGTAGGGTTGAAGTGAGTGAGTCTGCAGAATCGACTCCTGCTCCAGATAATACTCCTGCTCCAGAATCAAAGGAAGCTACACCCGGGGTAGATGTCATCCTTCCTTCAAGAGAGACTACAGTCAAGAGTGAGCCTCTAGAAGAAAAACTTCAACAAATCAGAGCACATAAAGCTGATCTTGAAAGCAAGATAGCAGAACCGGTTGATATATTAGATAGAGAGGAGCATGATAAGATGATTGATGATCATCAACATATATTAAACTTGGTCACTGATAAATTTGATGCATTATCAACTAATGAAGAAAATCAACCAATTGCAACCGCATCCGATGATAAATTTGTTTTATTGCATTTGCCAAAAGTATTACCCGAGTATGAATTGCCTTCACACAATACTGATGCTATTGATATAGATGCACCCCAAGATGATCAAAATGGGAAAAATAAACCCCAAGAATTGAGTGTTTTTGCATCTGAAAATCCCGGTCTTCAGGGACTCATTGGTCACTTGAACATTCATAAGTCGGGTAAAATTTCCATCAACTTGGGTAATGACAATAACTTGTCAGTCTCTCAAGGGGTAGACTCTAACTTCCTACAAGAACTAATCATCTTGGACATGGATGAAGAAAAGCCAAACAATAATCAAGAAGACGTTGAAATGGAAACTGATCAAGTCAAACCAGAAGGCAGCTTGTATCGCTTAGGCCAGATAGAAGGAAAGATTGTTGCCACTCCCTCATTCTCGTAAATCACCTTCTTTCGAACTATATAATTGCATAAATTAAGTACTTGTAAACTATCTAATGATTATAATACGATATATTTTTTTTTTTTTCAACCGAATTTTGTGAGATTTAGTTAATTTTTTGGGGCAAAAGAGTAAGTCTTCTCAACCAATTTTCTTTAAATATATCGTCGTCTATAAGCATACTTACACCAGCAGGTTCTTAAAAATGACAGTGGCTTTCGAAGAAAATTACAGTCCTGTAGTAGAAGAGCATGCGATAATGATGCTTGACTGGAGGAACCCTCATCTTGCAGTGATCTTCTTGGATATGAGATGTTGCACTCTTCAGTTTTCAGAAAATATAGTTGTTTCAACTCATACCATTCTGTCTACAATCCAGAGCGTATACAAATCCAAAGCTTGATTATACAGTTTGAACCTAGCCGAGTCTTTTTATCCTCCAGAATTTCAAGCAAAATAGTGGAAGAGGTTGCTGATTTATCGATTCAACATGGCTTTATTTTCGATATGAGGCCATAACTGGAGTTCAATCCGGAGATTCTTCCAGAGCTATTGATACAGCTTGAAGAGAGCTAGATAACGGTAGTGAAAACACTATTTTCAGGTTAATAATGTTCTTGACCCAGTTCTCAAACATGCTGCTCACCGTATGGTATACCCAGAACTATCTAGAAGTTATCGATACCAACACAAGATTTTAGCACGGATGTTTCTGTTCTTTATGGTTACTAACAGAGTCATTTCTTCAGAGCGCCCCAGCCGAAGTCTCTGGTTCGATCGGAATGATTAATTTACAAGGAGCCATGCTTATTGATGTCGATCTATTAAATTCATTACATATTTTACCATCACCTGCACCGGGGGCACAACAGAAAACTGGATGCAACCCCTTATTAGAATTTGTGGACAAAACAGTCACCGTTTGTGGTAGCCAGTTACTAAAATCCTGGTTGATAAGGCCGCTGACAGATTTGGATATCTTGGTGGAAGGACTCAACACAGTAGATTATCTCATTTGTCCTGAAATTTACACTCTAACGCTGCAACTACAAAATTCCCTTTCAAAAATTGGAAATATACCTTTAGCATTATCTTGCTTAAAGTCAGGTAACTGCACCTGGAGAACCTGGAAGATTATCATTGGTTTCGTTGAAAGTACCATAACCATCCACACTTTATTGAGGGCTTCCCATAATCAACACAAGTCTCTGCTTATCGAAACGATCACCAGCCATTTGAATTTTGATCTTTGTCAAACAGTGCTAAGTTACTTGAGGCATTGCATTGATTTTGCAGCTTGCGAGAATTCGCAGCCTTTGAAAATACTACCTAATGTTGACTGTAGGTTGGATGACTTAAGATCAATTTATGATAGCTTGGAGACGATACGTCATGAGACGGAGAAGTGATTTTGCAAACTCCTCATAACCTCAAGAACTTAGTCAACACTGCTTACATTCCGCAGGTTGGTCTTCTTGTTTCATTACAGACGAACAAAGAAACCTTGCAAGAATTACCGTGGGAATTAATCTTCTGTACAGAATCAACTGCCTACTTCAAGAATGATGCGGTAAGACTACTAGATGAGAAGTATGGGGACATATATGGCTTAGTTTGTGACCGTGAGATTGAGACAAGACACGAAATACAAACAGCTATATTGAATGAAGAATCATCACTCATACAAGCATTTCAAACTCTCACGGAGTTAGATTGTCAAGTTGCCCTAGCAATAGTTTCCCTGAATAAATCACTTTGTTCGTCCCAAATTACTGAATGGTTTGGAACTCGAGATAGTTAAGGGCAGACACACCCTTTAGTTGAAAAATGCGTACCAAGCTTTGTTCCAAATAACACCAAGTTGAATCAACAAGCAGAGAAACAAATAATTTTATTAACAGGGGCCAACTATTCCGGAAAATCTGTATATTTGAACCAAGTTGCTTTAATAGTAATTCTTTCTCAAATAGGGTGCTACGTGCCAGCAGAAGAAGTCATTCCATGAGCTATTCAAATGCAATTTCTCTCTCCTTGGTGGAAAGGAGAATATTCATAAAACAATATTTCATTATATGGAAGTGATTAATAACAAAAGCTCCAATTCAAATACAATAACATATTTATACCAACTCAAAACAGGTTTTTCGTTGAATTGTTTTGGTCATCAATGCGCTAGAGTGTGTGGCATGTCAACAGAGATTGTTGATAGGGCTGAAAATTTAGGTAAAATGATTTTAGAAGGCGACAGCTTGATATCAGAGTTTGCTAAATTAACCAAGGAAGAAGAAGAAAACTTTGATGTCGCAAAATCGTTGGTTGCAAAATTCCTCAATATTGATTTCAATTCTTTGGCCTACGAGGAAGTCAGCCAAAGCTTGAAATCCTTTAGAAATATCATGAATTAAAAATTACATAGAATGATCAATGAAATGAATTAAATTAAGAGTCTATATATACATTAATTTTGTAATAATTTAGAAGTCAAAGCTTCCAAATCTTCCAAGGTTTCTGGTTCATCAAGCTCAACAATATTGTCTTGAGCTTCAGAATCCACATTTTTGTCATTATCAAACCATTTAGGTTTCTTTGATTTGGGTTCATCTTGCTCATCGTTAGAATATTCGAGATCTCTATCCAAATCAGCATTTCCGAGGGTGACAACTGTTTCCTCATCACCATCCGAAATATCTTCTTCCCTTGCGGCTTTTTCAAGTTCTCTTCTCTTTCTCTTCTTTTCTTGTCTCTTTTCTTTTGCTGTCATTTTATCTTCAACATCAGCCTGGTTCATTAAAGCAGTTTCTTTATTGACAAAAGCTTCCTTTTGGGATTTAGCGTCTCCAGCTTTAACAAAAACTTCTTCTTCTTCTAATTCATAAATAGGATGAGCCACACCTTCGTCGTCGAAAACAAGTTTTGTAGAGTTACCTTTGGAAGCGCTACTTGCTTTCTTTGAAAGTGCCTTTTTAGCTTGTCTTTTGGAGACTGGGATGGTCAAATCTGGGAGATCTTCTTCTTTTAATTCGTGATCTTGACGTTTAACTGACATGAAATCATCTTCATCGCTATCTTCATTCTTATCATCCCTGAGTTGAGTACCGGTTAAATTCAAGTAATTTTTAGATAAAACGGTTTGATTTTGTCTTTCAAACATTCTATCGTATTTAGTTTTAGGTTTTTTACTTTCATCTTCTTCAACCTCACCATCTTCATTTGCCTTTGATAGCGCAAGTAATTGTCTTGATGCATTCTTCTTTTCTTTGTTTGCTTGTCCACCTTTTATTTTAATTTTAGGAGCACCTGGTAAACCAAGTGATTCAGCATATTTTTCAGCTGGCAATTCATCTACCTTAAATACCTCTTTATCTTTTTGAACGTAAACCGACCTATAGTATGAAATGAATGCTCTTTGACCAAGGTTTTTCATGGCGGTATCATGGAAACATAATGACTGCAATTGGGGTCTTATAGATTTTTTATTTTTCAGTTTTATATTCATGAATTTAGGTTCAATTTTATGACTTTTCAATCTTTTCAACATAGCATCTTCCTCTGATGGTAAAAGCATGAGAAGAGATTTACCTTGACGACCGAAACGGGCAGCACGACCAACTCTATGAACGTAGGTGGCAGTATCTTCGGGACAATCAACTTGAACAACCCAGTCAATAGCAGGAAAATCCAAACCTCTTGCAACGATATCAGTTGCGAAAAGACACGCTGCTTGTGCTCTTGAGAACTTGACGGTTGTTTCCATTCTAGAAGTTTGTTTATTACGACCATATAATTTCATTAAAGTAATACCTGGTTGCAAAGTACGGAATGTTTCGTATGCAAATTGGACTTGTCTCAGTGACGAGAAAAACACCAAAATTTTACTCTTGAGATGGGATTTTATGAAAGACCATAAAACATCCAATTTTTCATCCAAGGGTATTTTGATATAATATTGTTCTAATGATTCAGGGGTAGCAGATATTTCTTCATCTGATGATATACCAATTCTTTTTGGGTTTGTTAATGATAATCTGGCCAAATCCTTGACAGTTTCTGATTGAGTAGCTGAATATAAAAGCGTTTGTCTTGTAGGAGGTAAATGCCCAATGATATTGTCAATTTGTTTTTTAAAACCCATGTCTAAACATCTATCTGCTTCATCAAGAACAAGCATTTGTAAATTGGAAGTTTCCATACCAACGGTTTCATTTAAATGCTGAGAAACTCTACCAGGAGTACCAACTAAAATATTCATTCTGGAAACTCTTTCCTTTTCGTACTTAACATCTTTCCCACCAGTAACTAAACCAGCCGAAAATGTATTATGTCTACCGATTTTGGTCAACACTTCGAAAATTTGAATGGCCAATTCTCTAGTTGGAGAAATAATAAGAGCTGCAAGACCATCGTACTCAGTAATCTTATTTCTTATCAAGGATTCAATCATTGGAATTAAAAATGCTAAAGTTTTCCCAGAACCGGTTCTAGCTGTTGCCATAAGATCATCTCCTTTCAATGCAACACTAATGGACTTCTTTTGAATATCAGTTAGCGAAACAAAGTTTGAATCGGTAAGACCTTGTAAAGTATTCTTGGTTATTGGGAGGTCGCTAAATCTAGTAAACGTCTTTTCATCTTTTACTGGATCGATTTCTTCTATTCTTTCTTGGAGTTTCTGGAGCTCCTCTTCCTCCTTTTGACGCTGTTGTTTTCTATTGAGAGTGCTCTCTTTCCGGTTCTGATTCTTCTTACCCATCCCGTCTGTTATATAACTATAATCTAGTGGAATGCTATAACGATGCAAAAATTAATCAAATCTCTTCCCATCTCATCGGTCGCATAGAAAAATTATTTTCGCTAACAAAAAAAAAAAAAAAAGAGAAAAAAAATTCAAGACCAGGCATCACGTGACGCAAACCTTCTACAATACAGAACATGATACGGAGAAAGGTTTAAAAATTAAAGATTTCAGAGTATTGAAGAGCCAAATCTCCATATTTATCTAGTGAGGAGGGATCCAAGACCTCACAACATAAGCTACCCGTAGGAATGTTGTATTTTTCTATTATTTTTTGGAAGGATGCTTGTCTGTCATTTTCTTTACAGTTTTGCAATTCAATTTGTATTAGAAGTCCTCTAAAATTACCATGCAAGAAGACGTTTGAGGTTCTGATTATTAGATTCCCATTCTCAAGCTCGTATATTTGTCCACCGTCACCCTTGATCGATTGTCTTTGAGTCCAAAGACCCTGAAGTCGTTGGTTTATTACAAAATCAAAAGGATCATTTAATCCCGTGGTAACTCCCTTATGTAAATGGTCGTTGGGTATTGCAAATTCCGGATTCAATTCCCCAGCTTCTTCTTGGATCAAATTGCTGAATATCCCCACAGTTCTTCTGTTTATCAATGTAATACATGAATCATTCAAGTACGATGGGGTTAAAGTATGTAAATATTTGGTGTCAGGAGATGTCTCATGGGTGTGGATCAACTCCGGAGGTATGGAAAATGGATTGTTACGGAAAATCTTGAAACTGAAGTTCCACTCGCCTTTCAAGTTTGGCAATTCATTAGATAATTGATCGTGGAATTGTGTTATCGTTTCCGGAGTAGCTCTTTGAACGAGAACAAGGCTATTTCTCAATGTTAGCATGCAATTGACCAAAACCTATGTCAAATAACTTAATACGTACGCTGATACCATTATGGAATACAATATATTCAACTGAACCTGCTGATGTAAATGACCCCAAATACTTGTTTATCGTGTTTTCCAAAGCTGCTTAGTTGAAAGATTTCAAATGTTCGTTCGCGATGTTTCTCAAAAATTTTTTTTTAAATTCAAGTCTTCGATTTTTTTTTTTCATTTTTTGATTTCTGATGCTTTGAAGTTCTCCTTAGGTAATAAGCATGACTGTTTTCAAATTCATAGAAGAAGAGGCCGTGTTCATAGGTGCCAACAGACAGGCTTACGTTGCTGATTACAATCAAGCAGAGAGTTTAGTCGCATTTGGGGCTTCAAACACTATAGCCTTATGGGATCCAATTGCAAAAGATAAGAAAGGTGTTTACTCTACCTTGAAACAACACACTAAGGAAATCACTGGTATAAGATTTATTCCTGGAACCCCGTATTTTGTTTCCGTTGGTGAAGATAGTCAAATCAACGTCTGGAAGAATGAAGGAAGCTCATTTACTCTTCATCAAAGTATCAACTATCATGAAGATTCGATTACTTGTCTCAGTGTTATAGATGAAAGAGTCTTTGCTACAGGTAGTGCTGATGGATTCATTGCATTATGGGGGTTTAGTGAAACGGGAAATGTCAATTTGATCCACGAATTCCAAGTAAGATTCAATTTTTACCCATTAGCCTTGGCTCTACAAGATATTGACGAAAATGGGAACTACCTTTTAGCGGTTGGTGGGACCACATTCAATTTATTCATATACTCATTTCAATTGTCATCGAATAACTCACAAATCTCCCATTTCAATCAAGCAGCTGCAATGACTGGTCATGAAGACTGGATTAAGTGCTTAAGTTTTGTTGCAGATACTAAACATAAAAGTTATATATTGGCTAGTGGTGCACAAGATAGATATATAAGATTATGGAGACTTCGATTAAACGATATGATTGATGATTCAGATGAAGATGAGCTGAAATTAATCCTTTTATCCAACAAACAATATAAATTTACATTCAATGAATCTGCTTCAACACCATCTAGAGCAGCATTCAGTTTCGAGGCTCTTATAATGGGACATGACGATTGGGTCACTGGATTACAATGGCATCCCTCCTATTTGAATGATTCACCCAACAAAAAACTACAATTATTATCATCAAGTGCCGATACTGCATTAATGATCTGGGAAATGGATGACGAATCGGGGATTTGGTGTTGTGTGAATAGACTTGGTGAAATGTCTATTAAAGGTGCATCTACTGCTACAGGGGCTAGTGGTGGTTTCTGGTCATGTCTTTGGTTCTTGGATAATAACCAAAAACAATATATTCTCGCTAATGGTAAAACTGGTTCGTTCAGGCTCTATGAGAGTAAAGACGAAGAGGCCAAAACTTTTGAATCAACTTTAGCAGTCACTGGTTCTACAAGGGAAATCACAGATGTTGTTTGGTCAAAGAATGGTGATTACTTCACAGCTACTTCTTTGGATCAAACCACCAGATTATTTGCTCCTTGGGTAGCCGGAAGAGACTTTAAAACTTGGCATGAATTTGCTAGACCACAAATCCATGGGTATGATATGATTTGTATGGATAATATAACTAATACAAAATTTGTTTCTGGTGGTGATGAAAAAATTTTAAGAGTTTTCGAAATAACCAATTCTATAAGTTCTCTTTTGAAAAAACACTGTAACATAGATATTCAAGCAAATGATGATGCATTACCTGAATCTGCATCCTTACCAGTTTTGGGATTGTCTAATAAGGCTGCCAATGAAGCTCACATAGAAGATGGTCAAGTTTCGCAACAACAAGAAGACGAAGCCAACAACGTCAGTGCAGCCACCGCAGATGACGATATCTTGGCTACCTTGAATGGACCTCCTTTGGAAGACCACTTACAAAGATATACTTTATTCCCCGAAATTGAAAAATTGTACGGCCATGGTTACGAGATCACTTGTACCGCTACTAGTCCAAGTGGTCGTTTGATAGCTTCAGCTTGTAGATCCAATTCTGCAAAACACGCGGTCGTTAGAATATTCGACAGTGAAGATGAATATAAACAACTAGATCAATTATTAGAGGGCCATACTTTGACCATCACCAGTTTAGAATTCTCTCCAGACGGTCAATACTTAATTGCAGTTTCAAGAGACAGATCCTTCACTTTATGGAAAGTTGTCGATGAAGCAAAAGGAAGCTTTGAGCTAGTTCAACTCAAAGAAAAAGCCCATACCAGAATTATCTGGGATTGTTCTTGGGCACCTCAAAACAAATTCGGCCAATTCTTTGTCACCGGTTCTCGTGACAAACAAATCAAGCTTTGGCAAATAGACCAAACCGAAGCAAGACTCATTGCTTCCTCGAAAGTGGCCGACCCAGTCACCTCTGTTGCATGCTTCCAAGAATCATTACTCAGTGGAAATAAGTTGAGTATAGCTGTGGGTACCGAAAGTGGCTCTATATCCTTATACTCAGTCAATCTCGAAGAAGAATCCAAAGGCTTTGTCTCTAATCACCAATTTGACACCATCATTACCCCAGCCGGAAGAATCAATAAACTTAGCTTCAGTCCTCACCTCCATGAAAATGGCAACAAGCTTATTTTAGCTGTCGGAAGCGTCGATTCCTCCGTCCGTGTATACAGCATCGAGAAGTCAATCGTTACTTAAGGACCCTTTTGTATATTAATCTATTTATTTCTAAACTATCCCCAACTGATGTAATTATATGATTGCAAAAAACGACATATGTCACGAAATGTCGTCTGGCACTGAGAAATTGTCGCACGTAGCAAAAGATTTTGAAAGTTGACACGCATTTTTTGTTCACACTTTAAAGAATCGAAAGAAAACTGGAACTCAAACATTGATATTAATAGTTACTTTTCAGTACAATTGAGTAATTGAAACTAATACAGTCGATATAAGAGATAAGATGTCTGATAAATATCCAGCTTTAGAAACCATAGATAATGATTTAACATCTACTGAACCAGGCAAAGAGTTTGATTCTGATTTTTTGTCCCGTGAAAAAGAACTATTAGGGGAAGAATTCAAGACTGATCAAGATGCTGATGTGTTGAACGGTAGTGACGACGATGACATAAATGATTTCAAAGAACAGTTTCCAGAGGTCGATGAAACCGAGGCCGAAAGGCAAGAACAAGCAGCAGCAGAAACAGAAGCAGAAACAGCTGATGAAGGATTTAATGGGTCTAACGATAACCATTTGATTCAAGGAGAATCAGAACATTTGAAAGAATGGAAGGAACGTCGTGAATTGGAAATTGAGAAAAGAGAACAAGCCAATGCTAAATCTAAACAAGATATTGTTGATAAAGCTCAAAAAACTATTGATGATTTTTATGATAATTACAATAACAAGAGAGAACAACACACCAAAGAAGTCTTGAAAGAGCAAGAAGAATTTTTAGAGAAAAGAGATGGATTTTTGAAAAGAGGTACTTTATGGGATAGAGTTAATGAATTAGTTGGTGAAGTTGGTGAACCAACTGCTGATGAAAATAGAGACAAAACTAGATTCAAAGGCTTATTGACTAAGTTAAAAGGTAAGGAGAATGTTCCAGGTGCCGGTGGTTATTAATGAAACTTGATCCTTTATTTCTTCAATTATAGGCACGAATTTAATGTGTTTTATTTCTTTCTTCTCTATGTAATTATTAGAACTTTCAAAAAAAAAAGAATTTTTACATTTTCTATCAACAAAAAGAACAATTTGTAGTATTATGAACGTCACTAGAAACATTAGTAAAGATTATAGATTACATTATCCGATCGACCAATTTAATTAACGATTCATTTTGTAATCTGGCACATTCACGGAAATTTTCTGGAATATTATTCCAACGAACAAAATCATTCAAGTTCATTATTTTCCAAATTCCATAACTCATTGCGATTGCCTCAATTCTATTCCAGGATTTGAGAGTCAATAATTTGAACCAAGGGTGATTCTCTTTCAATATTCTCCACTTGGATAGAAGAATTAATCTGAAAAGGTAAAGATTTAAGGCATCGAAAAAACTCTTGGATATTCTACGAACATTCTTCGATTCTCTCACATTATGGAAACTATCTTCTAGGCTATTTTCGTAAGCTGTTGAGTGGTATCCGGTATCTGGCAAAAGATCCATTGAATTAATGTATAAAGTGATAAATGCTGCCAACGCACCAATAGTCTTAACGTAAGATTTAAAGAAGAATTTTGAATGGGTCAAGTATAACCTTTGAAAAAAGTTTGCTGGAGATGTTGGATTAGCTGAATATGCTAATATTGGTGAGGATATAGTAATGAAAAATATAGAAAGTAGATTTGAGCAATAGATAAAGTTGATGATAGAATTACTTGTATGGAAAGCATACAAAAGATAATTCTTAATAATACCAAAGTAAGTTTCAGTTTTGATTGGATAAATCTTATGTTTCAATTCATAATAACGATCAAGGAAGCGTGCTTTGAAATTTGTTAAAGCAATAAAACTGAATATACACACATTGTGGAATAAATAACTCTTGAAAAGTCCCAACCAGTCTAGACTATGATAACCAACCCCTAGAGAATAGTTAATCCATATCGGATTCAAAAGCCATTTTTTGATAGAGCTGGACAAATACCGCTGGTTGAGCTTATACCGTGTTGGAGTTAAATAGTTAGAAAGTATCTGGGCAAATATCATCGGGTAGATAACATATTCTTTATTCCGATAAATCCTGGTTAGCCATTTGGATCGGTAATGATTAACCTTAAGAAACGGTGAAATGTGAGGCGAAACCAAGATATTCAGTGCACTTGGAGGATTCAACTCTCCGTAGTAACTCATCCAAATGTATATCAGTCCGTAATCTTTAGGAATCTTATCATTATCAGCACTAGCAAATAGTAGAAATACACTAGTTATGAAATTAGATAGTTTCGAAAGTCTCCGTTTCACCGTAGCCAGTTCAAAATCTTTCCTATAGGTCTTAACAACCCTTTGCAACAACTTTCTTATCAATGGATTCAATGCAATAAAGTTAGCCCATGAAACAGGCCTTGGTGCTCTGGCAATAAGCAAGATAATGATCCATTTACTCCATTTCAAAACCGATGGGTCGATATTGGCCAATATTGGGGGTCTTTCAATCATCTCAAAACTCACACTATACCGCCATACATATACTGATCCACTCAATTGTCTACCAACTGTTTAGGGTATCAAGTAGTGCTATCTTCCAGGTGAGACGATTGTTACTGTATTTCCTTATTATCATAACATTTCGCGCGTTTTTACAAAATCAAAAAAACAAAAAAAACCAAAAAAAAAAAAAAAAAACGACAACTACATAAAGACGTAAAACAGTCTTCGATAAACAGTGTATAAACAATACAATACCAAACAAACAGACAACTGTCCTGAGCAGATCAAAACATCGGAACGAGTGCTATAATTGGAGTCACACCGAAAGATTCAGGTACGGTTTGCTTTTATTATCTTTCAAGTATCTTTATTAGGTCTCTGACTAGCGTTCCCATTTACAGGTGTCGAGGAGTTAAAATCAACAATGATGACGGGATCATCATCCCCAGTTAACAGCAGCCCATTGCTTCCTCAGGCCGAAATCACCACGCCATCACCGGCAAAGCAATTCAACCATTCCCGGACATCCTCAGCATCCAAGCCAAGGTCGGCCCCAATCACACGATCGAGTTCTTTGAGATCAAAAACCAAGGGGATCAATTTTAATCTAGCGGTGTCGCCCATCTCATCGCATCCAAGTCCCTCCAATGCAAACGGCCACAAGAGAAGTAGTTCGATACTTTCCAATACCCAAGTCCCAAGTCAACAGTCATTGCCTCAGCTTCCAGAGAATTCGCCTCTGATTACAGTGCCTAACTCCCCAATCCCATCAGCGACCGAAGAACTCAAGTTTGATGTGCCTTTGCCTCTGAGCGAACATTTACAAACTCTTGAAATTGATGATCAACTAAGGTTACTTGCTTTAAAAGAAATGTCAGTAGTGGAAATAAGAGATAATATTAATAATTTGAATAATAAATTGAACAGAAATGAAAAGGAACTCCATAGATTAAGAGAGGTCATTCAGAAGTCTTTGTACAGAGAATTAAGCGGCCAAAACCTAACTGCTAATGGCAGAGGGGTTAGGCAGAATAGTAACCCTAGAGATGAAGCTATTGCAAGTACTAAGATTGGCCCTAGAAGAAGAACTCTATCATCTACATCTCCAAATGCCGTGGTAAATACTAGCACTAACGATAATATCCCACTTGATCCAATCTCCAAACAGGACTCAGAAAGTAAACATAAGTCTGCCTTATGGTCTAATTTATCAAAACCTTTAAATCTCATTCAACAATTCGACAACATACTCACTCAGGAATTTGAAAAATCTTTAATCCCGAGTCCTAATTCCCAACAGTACTTCAACAATAAAAATCAGAACCATGATTATACTCATTCTAATACTAGTGCTCATCCACATCCTCAAGCACAACCATTTCATTCAAGAAAACTCTCATTAAGTAGCACTTCCACAGATGGTAGAAAAAGACATTCAGAGGATTCATTATCCAGTACAAGTGCTAGTGCAAGCTCGATTCCCTCACCTTTGAAAAGCAAATCTGATAATCGAAGTAAATCAAATATTGATCTAGATCAATATTTTCCTCCAGCTTCTGATCCAATACTAGCAGAAACAATTAAGTCAAAATCACGAAATAGAACTTCAGAGGATATGTTGCAATCTGTTAGCTCTTCGATCTGGTCCTTTGTTAACGATGTTAAATCAAACGTTCTATCTTCTTTAGGGGAAGACGAAGAATCAAGTAATCAAACATCTAATGAACTGACCGGACCAAATATTCGAACTGAGCCAATGTATAATTTAGAGACTGGGTCTACAATTAGCTTGGATGAAACATCTCCTGATACAAAATCAACAATAAAGGCACCGTATGATAACAGTGACTACGCTAACAATAATGATAATAATAATAATGATGACGATGACGAGGAAGTTGATCTTACTATGTACACTCTGTTGCGCAGATCTGAACTGCTTAAAAGACGGTAACTGTCCTGTCATATTTTTGGTTTCTTTTCTATTTTTTTTTCTTTTCTTATTTTTTTTTTGGTTTTACTTTTGTTTACAGGGATTCTTTGGAATTTGTTATTGGGTTTTAGATATTACTAAGTAGATTTATAAAGCCGAATGTATATAACATTTTATTACTTGTTGCAGTAACGATATAAATGAAGCGCAAATAAAAAGAAAATAAAGAACATTAGATGTAAAAGAACCGAAAATGAACTACAAACCTTGCAAACCTTTGATTAATTCAGATTGTTTGGATTTATCCAATTGTTGACTATTGAGATCACCAACAGACCTCAAATCCCTCAACATGATATTTTTCAATTTATCAAAATAAACTTCCTGAAGTAAATTTCTAACATTTGATTCCGATTTTTCAATCAAAGTACCTAAATTGATTAAGTGAGCCGTTTCCAAATTAACCCCTCCATCTAAAGATAAATGCTGTGATGATTCAATTTGTCTAGTTAAATTACCCGATAACGATAATGATCCCTTTGAGGAATTTTGTAAATCAAGAATAACGGAAGAGGTTAGCTTATAAGTTGCAGATGTAGTTCCTTCAGGTATCACTTCAAAAACATGAATGGAATCCCACTTTCCAGAGTTGTCCTCTGTTTCCTTTTTGAATAAAACAACTCCAGCAAAACCAGCAGATAATGAATCTTCTTCTTCAGTTTCTTCTTCAGCAGTGTCCCATAAGTAAACAGATGATGCACCAGCACCATCATAGTATAAATCACGGTAGATGTCAAAACTTTCGTTTGCCTTCAGTTCTAATTGTCTTAAAATATTGGAAGGATAAGGAGGTGCTTCGTCGGTTGTAACAGTTGGATAATACTTATTAGACCATGGAGATCTGTACGAGTCTCCGTCTCTGTTATAATCACAACACAAGTAGTCCTTTCCGGACTCTTTACATTTGGCAACCTTCAATGGTATATCAACCGATGATAACAAATCTTGAGTCAAATCTTCATTCTCACCGGCTTCTGCTTGGGAATCGTTTTGAATCAAAGTACATATATCATTCAAGTTCTTGGAGATATCTTTGGGATCCAAACGTCTCAATAAATCAAGAGATGCATCGTATCTATCGTCGTAAGACATTTTATAAGCTTAAACAAGTCAATTGGTTGTATATTTGAAAGTTATAACGTGGTTCTGGTATTTCGTTGTTTTTTCACTGCGTTGTACTTTCTCGCAGGAGTTTTTTTTTTTATATTGCAAATTTAGTACCTTTTGAAAGCTTACAATAAGAATAGTTTTATGAAATTTAAATAATTATACAAAAAAAAAAAACGAACAAGAGCAAATGGAGGGAAATAAAGAAACAAAAGATATGCAGAATGGTGTTGGGTAGAATTAGAGGGATTAATTCTCGAAAACAACCGGAAAGAATGGAAAAGTAAAGAATGCAAATAAGGCGAGGCAACAGGGTCTATCAAAGCCAAGGGAGACTACTAATCGTGTCTATCCTGTTTCAAGAACTCAATGTGTTGAGTAATTTCTTGACATATTTTGTTTCTTTCATCAGAATCAGGTTCAGGTACACCACTTAAATGAATATTTGATAATTTACAGAAACACCAATCGAGATTTGACATCACTTCCAATTCGAAATCATAGCCTTTTAATTCATCGAGGATTTCGTAACTGTAAAGTCTTCTTCTTTTATCATGTTCACCTTTTGGACCTCTACCGTATGAGTTACGTAAGAACATTTCAACTAAATCGAATTTTGGCCAATTAGCATGTAAAAAGAATAAGTTTGAAGATTTGAAATAATGGTATTTATAGTTAGAGTTACCTTTATCTTCGGCGTTTTTAGCATACACAGTTGGAGGTTCATTATAGTAATCACCTGCAGTTTTACCATCTTCTGGTTTAGATTCAACGTCTTCATTAGCTTGAATATAATCAATGATTGGATCATACTGGGCCATGCCGAAAACTTCGTGCTTACCAGTATCACCTCTGAATGGACCAAATTCTCTATTGAATTCTTTAACTTGATAATAAGGAAGTTTTAATTTATGAGCAGCAGCAATAAACGTTTCTTTGTCACCTTCACCAGCAGCACCTTGACTGAACAAAGGATAATAGTAATCAGGACCATAATAATTATAATACATTGATAAGATTAATGTTTTGAAATGTACTTTTTTATCAATCAAAACTTGACCGGTTTCACTTGAAGCTTCGGGAATGGCACCATCACAATCATGCATTGAAATTTCATCTGGTTTGAAACCTCTATCATCATTTGCAGGATAACTATTACGAACTCTAGAAGTGGTATCAACGTTAATTTTAGCAATATCATAATATAACGGAGATGTAGATCTTCTCCATAAATCCGGCCAAACAACCAAATGTTTATTTGCAAAAGGTTTATTAATGAAAAGAATATCTGGGTTTTTGATTGGCAAATTATCCGCATCAAGGTATAAGATACGTTCGAAAGAAGAAATCAACAAGGCAATGTTTTTCAATTGGAACCCACTAATCTTATCACCAAAATGCTTTGGTAAATAATCAGTTAAAATTTTACATTTAGCATTAAATTTTGGTAAGATTTTGGAACATAAATCGATATCATAATCGCTCCTTTTAGGAATAATAATTTCAACTGGTAACTTAGAACCGGTATTTCTCAAAGTTCTTATTGAAGTGAGTGCTAATTGATTATATTTTCCTCCACCTAAATAAACAATCCCATCACCTTGCATAAAATGATGAGGTTTACCATAATCGTAAATTTCTTTAGGGAAATCTTGGGGCATTTGATCAATAAAAGATTGATGGGAATTAGCTAATGAGTTAATTTCATGTTCAGAAAGTTGAATATAACTAGCCAACATTTCTTTAGTACGAATTGCTTCATCCAAATAATTTTCTCTCAAATGACCGCCATAAACTGGCATTTTACCATCGTTGTTTGAATACTTATTATTCTTTTTACTTTCTGAATAATGATCACCATTATTAATACCAGGGATCTTGGGATCCGTTTTTTCAAATATAGTCCATAAATTCTTGAAAAAATCAACCAAGTAATTCGCTAATAAATTTTCCGATTCCATCATTTCAAAATGGGACACATTTAGTCTCAAGTCATTCGAATGTATTTCAATCAAGTCCTTTTCATAATTGTACCCATCAATCAATCTAATATCAAATTTATTAGCGTTATTATCGTTAACATATTCCGATTTCATAAACTGCCAAAAATGAGACGCAATCTCATCGTTAAATTCATTATTTGGATCTGGTTGTTTCTGAATAATCATCAAGTCATTATGAACATCATGATGGTACCCAATCAACGATATCGGAGTTATCTCTTTGATCTTAGAAGTCGGTGATAGCTTACTGAAATAATCATTCTTTAGTGAGCTCACGTATAGCGAATAATCTATGGTGCATGAATATATGATGTTGATCACCGTTATCAACAAGCACACCACCACGATCTTCTTCGTATGCTTATACATCTTGAATAGCAATCCTCTTGAGATGGTTATCAAAATTAACTGTGATTGGTAATGAACTGAAATCTTCAGTCTAAAAATACCCAACGGAAAAAGAAAAACAGATAATTAGTGAGACCTGACAACGTGCAACTCCAAGAAACGAGAGGCTGGTTGAGATGGTTCAAATAGCGAGTGGAAGGATAAGAAGTAGTACTTCAGTAAGGTAAGACAAGGATATGAAGAAAGGGCTTTATTAAAATTTTCTTTTTTCTTTTCACTTTGTTCAAATTTTAAACGAGAGCAAAACTACGATGGAATGAATTTTATAAGTATTTCAGGGCTATCAACGATTCACATGTCCTGGCAGGGAGATCAGATGAGGGCCAGGGGTAGTTACTGGTATGCTGGAACGGGGACTGAGGGTGTTTTTACGTTTGGGGAATAATGTAGGCCTACAAGGACAAGGTGTTTTCACTAGAAAAGGATATAAAAGGTATTAAAATAATATAAGGCGTGGGGCGGAATGCAGAAAACTGAGAAAGGGTGTATAGAGATAATAATACATTGGAGAAATGAAGAGGGTGGATCATAAATCATCATTAAAGATATTGAAGACACTCAAGTTTTTATTTGATTCGAAATCGTCGGTCAACCCACGAGATTGCATCCATTTTGCATCAATTTCTGCATTACTAACATAAACTTCGGAACAACGATTATTTGTTTCGTTAATAGTTCTATCGATAGCATCAAGCACTAATGAATGTAATTCTTTTAAATGATTTTTTGAATATTTTGGTTTTTTCAAAAAATTCAGTTTTGGGTGATGATAATTATCTTTGTAGAATTGAATGCTTGTAATTGTTTTCAAAACCAAATCATGAGCTTTTGTAATTCTCCAAGCATAGTAGTACCTATTGCTTAATTTCAGAATTTGGTAAATTGAATAATTTGAAATTTTAATTAATGAATTTCTAAAATTTTCAACGGTGTTAAGATATTGGTAGAAGTTTGAATTTTTACCTTCTTTCAGTTCTTGACTAATTTTTTTCATTTCATAAATAACAAATCCTAATTTAATTATGAAGGACATGACTATTTGATTTGCCTTATGAATTGTCATTTCAAGGGTTGGATTCAATATGAAATCACAAACCAAATCAGAAGATTCAACTATTCTTGAGTAAAATGGAACAACTTCTAATAAAAATATAAAACTTTTCTTTAAATAGAAAAAGGATAAATTATGATTCTTATTTATGTAAAATAAATATAAATGGAAATAAATCGAAATGAAAAATGATGACATTGATAAATAAAATTTAGTATCGTGAATTTTCATGCAATCATCAGTAACAATTTTTTGGGATAAGTCAAATCCAATTTGAGGATTTTGATCGGCAAATGTTTTATCAATTACTTGTTCAACTTGAATTTGATTTTTTGATTTTTCTAATAAATTTTCAATACTTAAATAATGACCGAAAAATAAGGTTTCTAAATCACTTAAATTTTCACTAACTTCGATTAATTTAACTTTACCATCAATATTCAAAATTTGTTTTAATACTTTATCAATTGGTTCTTTAAATTTGAGGAAAGTTTGTAAATTTGAAACAACTTTCTCTTCAACTTCAACGTTTGGAATACTTGAATTTTTTGAATTAACAAATGGAATTTTAGTATCATAAGATATGGATGAAAGACTTGATGGATTACCAAATGTGTAACTATGATATAACTCAGCAAATACTATAAAATACCAAGTTTTTCTTTTAATGTGGTTTAATTTTGCATCTTCATCGTTATCTTCTGAATATTTTGAAGGTTCCCGATTAAGACCAGAATGATAAGCCATTTGAACAATAACTGCATTAGACATTTGAGCATCACCGCCATCGGCACCATCGCCATCTTCCGGGGCAAATCTATTATAAACTCGAAGATAAAACATTAATTGCAAAGCTGGTAAAGAATAAGCTGCATTTAAGGGGAATAAATGAAGACAATATCTTGCTAATTCAATAACTTCTACTGAAATCGGATTTTCAATTAAATAACCAAAATTTTCCACACAAGCTTTAGAGCATTGAATATCGGGGTATCCTACTTCATTGAAAACCGAACTTAGTAATCCCATATTCTCTTGTTCGTTATTGGTGAACATTGAAAGAAAAGAGAATCGATGAATCACAAATAATAAACCAAGTTTGGCGAATTCTTCTTTACTGTTGATTTTCAAATCTTTGATTTTTTCATCAACAGGGGTATCATCAGGAGGTTTTCCTCCGAGAATGTTTGTCATTGAATCTTCAAAATTTTGTTGGTCAAGAAACGGAGCAAATGGATAAACATACCTGAAGAATCGGTTTATCAAACACCAAGTAACTCTTCTAGGCGGTAAGTGGTTTAAAATTTTTTGTTTTAAATGCTTCATATCCATTAAATCAGAATTTTCTTTTGATCTTTTATTCCAATTTTTTATCAAATCGTTATACCGGTCTTCAATTTCATCGTCAATGGCATGATTTGAGTCATGAGTCTTCTTCTTAATATCGGATTCTTTTAAGCATCCCATTTTATACGTAATCATGTATTCCCATAGCATATTGAGGCCATCGTCGCGTTTCATCATCGAAGACCAAGAAATAGGACCATAATTGACTCTTCTAATTGGAGTAGAAGAGTGAATGGTTGAATAGTTTTCATAAAAATTGATGGTCTCTGAAGTATTGGCCACTGGGTTGACCCCAACCACTGAATTCGGACTACAATTCGAAGACGTTATTTTATCTAGAATGAAATCACAAGATAAGTCATCGTAATAGTTCATTTTATGCTTAGTATCCTCTTGTTTCAAATTTATAGGTGGAAGCACTGTAGGGGGAACATTTACTGAAGGTAATGCAGTGGATACATGAAACGACGATATAGAATTCCTCGATGAAGTAGACGAATTATCAAAACTCGACAATTCATTTTGTTTGGCTTTAAGGTCTTCTAGATACTTGATTTTTTCCTTAAGATAATCGATTTCTACTTTTGCTTGTTCAACATCAAAAGTGTTTTCATTATTGAGTTCAATAGAATGCTTATTCCCAATGGACCAATTGGAATAATGGCATGCTTCATGTAAATTGGATCTGATACAGGAACTGCAAGGTAATTGCTTATCACAACGGATTTTCCTTTTTTTACAATTATCACAAACAAGCGTCAACCGTTGACGTTTCCGGGGTGGTTTCTTAGCACAGTTTTCCTCGATAACAGTGGTCGGGGTCATGGCACTCGTGGTATTGCTGGTAACAGTAGAAGAGTAAAAACTTAAATTTTGCTCATCGTTATCAGTAAGATCAGCCAGATTATCCTTGGATCGTACCGCAACCTCCTTCCCGTCCCCGTTCATTTGGTTCATCCCACTCCCATTCACTTGCTTCAACGCAGTTTTGATATTATCCCAAGATGGAGTCATTTTGCAATAGACAATTTGCAAAGAAAGAAAGAAAAAAAAAAAAACCTGGAGAAATTCACCAATGATTCAAACAAAAAGACAAATACCCGTCGAAATTCAATCCTTTTCCTCTCCGGCACTCGCTGTCTGACTAAACCTATAATTTAAGAAGTAACTAGCAATAACTTATTGGAAATACTCAATACCTGTCCAAACTAACTCGACCGAAAAGACTGCTTTATTAAGCAAACGATAAAAATTAGTAATTAACAAAGAGAAAAAAGAAAAAAAAAAAAAATCCCGAAAAAAACATTCGGTGATCAAGCCTTGGTGCGGATATATGTTTTTCTAGAGCTTAACTTCGAGCACGACGAGATGACCTTTGCCTTCGAGGAACAGTCAGATCTGTTGCCTCTGTTGCCTTCTGTTGCCTGCCACTGGCGTATGACCAGGGGTTTGGTGGTGATGCTGGGTTTCGCTGGCGGATTTGGCTGGTGCTTCGCTCGGTGGTACGCGGCGCAAACCGCTTCGGCCGCTCCGTTTTGAGCAACCCCGACGGGTGCTGCTAGTTTCTTCTACTGCTAGGTCTGTCGGAGGTACGCGGATATACTCTCGGGTGGCCAGCCTACGGGTGGACACTTGGTGGAGACCGGCCAGTTGCAGTGAGGAGGATAACCTTGGGTGAAAGCATTACTAAGTCGCATTAAGGTAGTAACGGTAAGTAAGACAGTGACGTTACGGAGTTTTGAGTGGGAGTTTGGCGAAAGATCCGAAAAAAACAGTTAATCCGGTCACGTGATGCCGACAACCCTCCACAAAAAAAAGGGCCACAAAATGGGAAACGGGAAGCATGAAAAGAAGATCCGTACAGTTTGTGGTTTACGGAGGTTTTGTTGTTGTTCACGTGACTCGAGGGCCCGAATAAACTCCCGTGCACCAGGAAAACCCTACCGGCTGACCAAACCTCAGTTTGGTGGGCGGCAAGTTGATAAGATACCAACTACTTCATCGACAGCAACAGCAACACAATCATTGCACTTCAAATGAGCTTTGGAGATCAATTGAATGGTAAGGTATAATATTTAGATCTGAGATCGGTAAGTAAGTGTGGATCGTCATCTTTGCAGTTACTTAATTGAGGTTGTTTATTTACTATTCAACCATCGCTTAACCTATAACAACAGTTTGTTTGAATTAGTATTTGCGGACTTATTGAATAACTTTAATCAATCCATTGTTGGAAAGAAGTCATTCATCTCTTGAATAAGTTGATCTTGGGTAGTTCCCGTTTTGTTTCCAGGCCCTCCGTTGATTATTTTTGTTATTTTCAAAATTAGTATTACCCCTTACTCTTACAATCAATAATCACACGACGATGAATTCAGATATATTCGAAGATATTGAACAGGATAATAATCCTTCCTTTTACGGGAATCAATCATTTCTTTCTGACGGTAAAAATAAATCAAATGGTAATGCTAAAGATAATTCTTTTAATAATTCTATAATTAATGATGAATATGATGATCAAATTAGTTCCAAAAATTACCGTAATATGGATTTAGTTAATAACTCCCTTGGGTTATCAAATAAAATAAGAAATTTTTTACATGATGATAATTTATCAATTGACGTTATATCAAGTGAACGATTAATGAATTCTTCAATTATAGTTTATTCAATTGAAATTTCAATTGATTCTTCAAATTCAATCATCGTTAAACGTCGATATAGTGAATTTAAATCTTTCAGAGATAATTTATTGAAATTATTCCCAACTTTAATAATACCCCCAATACCTGAAAAACATACAATTTTTAATTATTTAATTAATTCAATTAATAATTCCAAAGAATCAACTATTATTGAAACTAGAAAAAGAAATTTCAAGGTTTTTTTAATTGATTTAATCTTTAATTCAAATCCAATTTTAAAAGATTGCCCTCTTCTACATAAATTTTTGGATCCAAATTATGAATTATGTTGGAATAATGCTATTAATGAACCTCCTTTAAGCTTATTACCAAATAATCTATTATTGGCTAATCCAGTAAACCCAACCGATCAAAATGGTTTATATTCTTTATTACCAATTGTTAATGGATTTGAATTCAATTCCCAAATTGATAATCTTCATTCGTTGAAAAAAATTAATGATGATTTACATAAACTAAATGATCAAATTAATTTATTCAAAATTAAAGAAGAAGATGACAATTTAAAAATTTTAAATAATTCTTCAATTTCAAATACAAATAATGAATTTATTAGCTTTAAAGATATCCCAATTGAATTAATTTCTTATGAGATTATTTTCCATCAAAACATTAAAATTTTAAATGAATTAAATAAATTAAATAATAAATCAATTAAAAATTATAAATCAGTCATTAATAATTTAATTGAATTGGGTGGTAATTTAAATAATTTTTCATTACAGATTCATGAATTATCAGATTTAAATAATCATTCAAACTTTAATAATCAATTAAGTTCATTGATTGAAAAATTTGGCTCAACAATTGATTTGAATTTCTTAAATTTTGAAAGTTTTGTTATTTCAAATTTAATACCAAATTGGCAAGAACCAATTAATCAATTAATCCAATATTATTCAACTGCATTACAATTAATTAAATTTTATAAATTTAAATTAATTCAATTTAAATTATTATTCAAATTGAAATTTAATAAAATTCAAGACTTAATGACTTTCAATAATAATTATCAAAATCATATTAAATTAAATGACTTAAAAAATTTAAATATAAATAGTCCAAGTATTAATGATGCTATCAAAAGAATTGAATTAAAACAGAAGAAGTTATCTACAAATAGTCGTTCTCTAAACTCTAAAAAATCTTGGTATGGTTTGTTTGGTGGTAATAAATCTTCTTTCATCTTACCTGATGATGATACTTTCCAACAATATAATTCTCATCAAAATAATCAACTACAATCTAAGGATACTTATAATAATTATACTTCTCCAACTTCGTCTCCACAAAAACCAATTCCAAAACCAGATCCTTTAGCTGATCTCCCTCCCAATGATCTTTCAAATCAATTCCTGTATAAGATTCACCAAATTGAAAAAGAATTAACGAAATTAGATCAATTAATCAATTTGGTCAATAAAGATATGATCGACTTGACTGATCATTTGAAATCTACATTCTCGTCCTTTTCTACAAGCATGGAAAAGAAATGGCTAACTATAATGTTGGAATTCATCAGATCTGGTAAAGATTTATTTAGTGAAAACTTGGCTAATTGGAATGACTTGAAAGCATTTATTGATAATTAAGTCTCTTCCCCTCAATTATTCACTTGCTCAAGGCTGATCTCCTGATGCCGGTTATGATAGGAACTGCCTTCTTCGCCTGTTTATGAACTCTCCTTATAGAATTGGAGTTTCAAAGATTGTTTTCATTTGCATTGGTTTAACATTTTTTTATTTTTTTTTTTTTTTATATATTTTTTTCAGGGACATTGTATCTGCTAGTTTTATCGACTTTAGTAATGCATTCTTGTGAGTATAGTGTCTTCCTGAATGCAGTAACTATTATGTATCTATGATCCTGAATTATGTCTTAGATTGTAATCGGTATTCTATTTGTAATGGAAAACTTATATATGTACGGATGTTTTATCAGAAATCGAGGTGGCAAGAGATTCTTTGAGAAACTCCAATGTTAAAGTCTACAGTTGAAAGAAGTTGACTTCACAGATATTAGTTATTTCCAATACATATCAATCGTTGAAGATGTCTGCAATGGAGTTAGATGGTGATGTTTCCACCGTGTTAGCAAGCTTGAGACTGGAAGTTGAGTCAGGAGACTTGATAAATATATTCTATCAATTTGAAGATTTCTATGAACGTAAATTATGGCACCAATTAACTTTGGCTTTAGATGATTTCTATTCTTTACCAGATTCTAAATCCAATAATTTAAGAATTAAGATTTATGATTCTTTTGTCAGTCAATTTCAACAAAAATTGAACCCAATCAAAGTTGTTGACTTCTTATTAGCTAGTTTCCCAAATGACGATAAAAGAGATCAAGAGGCTGCTTTGGAAAAATTGATTCAATTGAAAGACCAATTCATAAGCCAAGCTACCCCATCCTTGAAGAAGGCCGCCACTGATGATGACGAATTAAAGGCTTTGTTAAATAAAGAAGAATCAATTGTTTATGTTGATTTACAAATATCACGCTTCTACTTATTGTTGGGTAATAAAGTTAAGTCAGAAGAAATCTTAGAACTGGTTGAAAGTAAATTTGATGATTCATCATCTGACTCTCAAGTGTTCAATTCCAAGATAAATGCAGCATTTTACTTAACAAAATGTCAATTATATAAAATTGATGAAAACTATAATCAATTTTACTCAAATGGTTTATTATATTTATCATCAATTGAAAATACTCCAACTCCTTTAACTAATGAAGAAAAAATAAGTTTATGTTATGATTTATGTATTGCTGCCTTATTGGGTGACAAGATTTATAACTTTGGTGAATTAATTTTACATGATGTTTTGAACGTCATTAAAAGTGAAAGCTCTCCGTACTTTTGGCTATTCAATTTAATCCAATCTCTTAATGCTGGTAAATTGAACGATTTCAATCACTGGCTTAAAGTTGGTATTCCAAAATCACCATTCTTAGTTAAATTCCAATTTTTCTTACAACAAAAAATTATTATTACTTCATTATTAGAGTTAATCTCATTAAAATCCACAACCAACAAAAGATTGTCGTTTAAGGAAATCAGTGATTTCACTGGTACTCCTGGGAATGACGTTGAACATCTTATAATAAAATGTTTTTCACTTAATTTAATCAAAGGCTATATCAACCAAATTGATGAAATATTAGTGGTAACTTGGTTACAACCAAGAATTTTGAACTTAGATCAAGTTAAAGCCTTATACAGCCACTTGGTTGATTGGGATGCTAAAGTCGAACAATTGGGCAAACAAGTTCATGAAAGTGGTGGACAAGTTTGGGCTGGATTATGATGTAGTTTATTAAACTTATAGATATATATAATCTTTAAAATATTTGAATAAATAATCAAACAAAATCATTTACTAATCATAGTTATTACTTAGAATTTTTATTAAAGTACATACGTATACAACTTTATCTTAAATCTATTCTTCTTTATTTAGATTCTCTTAAGCGATCATCGCTTTTGTTAGGATCATTATCATCATCACCTAGTTCAAATAATGTATTACTACCAGTTGGTTGTAAATCTGATTCATGAGAAGTTGACTTTTTGTGCAGATCAGTTTCCTCGTATTTAGGAGGAGCATCATTACGGGTGGTATTACTTGAATTGTGACCCAATTCAAAGCTATCATCATCATTATTATTTCTACCATTTTCTAAATCATTATCACTGTGACTCAATAATGATAAATCATCCAATTCAAACTCATGACCTTCATGGTATCCTTGACCAGCGTTTTGAGTTCCATTTTCATCAATATTATCATCAGTTGCAACTTGTTGAGAAATTGCCAACATATAACTGGTTTCTGTTGGTCTCCATAACCAAGAAACTCCCATGAAGACCGCAAAAAATACAACACTTGGCCAAAATTCAAAAATAAAATAAGATCCTTTCCAGTGTTCTTCGATCATTTGAGTGCTACTCATACTTAAATAAATGAAAGATGATAAAATCAACCCACCGAAAGTTAGGAGAACAGAAAGGAATATTATTCTAAATAAGTTTTCATAAAGTTGTAACTTGATGATTTGACGTTGCTTATGTAAATTTGCAGTTGTCTTTTTAATAGAAACCAAAGTGGCAACGTAATAAATAGTCAAAGTGATTGAAATTGGAATCAAAGGAATTAATCCCTTTATTTCATTAAATTCTGGATCATCCTCAGCATTTGAATTAGAGGTTACAACACTATTATTAGAGCTATAATAAGTTGCAAGTAAGTAAAAGAAGGAAGCAAGAAAGTGAACCCCAGCCAAAATTTTACATCTAAACATAATTTTCTTACTAAGTTTCAAAACGACGACACCATAACCCAATGCTATACAAAGTAAAAGGAAAAAGCAAAAAGTGATTTTACCAGCATTCAACATAGAAAGGAAAACCATATAAAAGGTAACGAATCCAGACAGTGGGTTTTTAGTTCTATTGACTAAATCAAAATAAGACCACACAACTAATGTATCAAAAGTCAAAAATCCTAACATGGCTAATAAATACCTTTGCAAAGGTAAAATTTGATGTTCATTTCTTTTCTTAAAGAATTGGAAGCCATATAATGCAAGGGCAATAGCATAGCATAAAGTTAAAATACCATAGGCAGGCAATTTCGGAATTTCACTTGCACTTAATTGACCAAAAGCATTTTGGAAATTGACAACACCTTTATACTTCATTGCTTTATTCTTATTAAAAGTGGAAACACAATAGTATCCGGTCTTGTTGACTGAATAGTCGAGATTAACTGGACCTAATTTATTTATATGAGAAGTCATTATCGTAGAATTAGTAACATCTGCATTAATGATGAAATTTCCTTCTTGCTTTTTATCACAAATCTTCAAAGTATCAATGGCGTAACTATCACAAATATATTTCTTACGACCGCCTCCAACATCAGCACCTAAGTTATCAATATCCTTATATTCGAATATAACATAACTGACCAGCACGTCTTCACTACCTTGAGCATCCTTATTGTTGGAATCATAGTGATCTTTGCCAAACTGATTTAACCTGAGGCCTATATGAGGTTTTAAACTTCCACCCCAATCGTGCTTAGCGTACATCCCACCACAAACTTGAGAGTTCATAGTTTCATCAAATAGAACCTTATTTGCTAGCACACTAGTGCATAACAAGAATAGAACAGCCAACCAATTCATTCTGTAATCCAATTGCTCAATAGAATATCTGAAACCACCTTCTGGATCTTATCTTGTTCAATTGTCAGATCTGTCCGTTGAAAAATTAACAAGGGTATAAGTTAGTGAATCTAGGACTCTTCAATATCACTCAATGAGTACGACAAGATTTGCAATATTCAACCAGAAAAAGCTCTACTATCTTCAAACAACTATTCGTAAGAGTCTTGTCGAATTGAAATAATGAAGCTACCAGACTTCATCATTCTCTATATTAGCTGTACTTTATTTAACAAAGGGAATCTGCGGGAGGATTTCGGACACGACTTTAATTTTCTTAGTGTTTTTTTTTTTTCACTTTTGTATGATGATTTTTGCAAGACTACAACAAGGCTACTATAACAGAAGGAGTAGGTTACTATAAGAAGGACATACGGTCTAATATATATTTAGAAGAATTGAAGAATGCAAAAGGAAGACGAAGGTAAATTTTTTATAGAAGATGGAACCCTACTTGCATGATCACTTGAGTTCTTCTAACCTCGACATTAGTTTGACTTCTACATCAGACCAATTATCAACCAAGCCTTTGTAAAACTTGATCTCTTCGTTGCATAACCCAACCATGTTTTGTTTCAATTCGTTTTTGTTGAATTTATCCCAGTTAGGATATTCTTCATTGATGATTTTATTGGTTAAGCTTTGAACCAAGTCAGTTTGAAGTTTGATTTCATTTTCTAACTGTTCGATTTTGTTTTGTAGTTTTTCAAGCTTACCATCGGTATTCGAAGAAGCAATATGGGGGGTAGCCGAAGTTGAAATGGTATCTTTGATCAATTGAGTTGTATTATTCACAATGCCACTGGGCTTGTTCCCATTCAATACACCACTGGGAGGAGGTGCATTGCCAGTCGCATGGCGACCTCCAAAACTAGCTAATTCCCCTCTTGATTTGTTAAGGTAGTCTTGTAAAACTTGTAAATCAATTTTTTTATTGTGCTGCAATTCAATTAAATTAGTCAAGCTAATGATGTACTTGGAACAATCTTTCAAAGAGACTAGAAATGATTCATCGATATACTTATGTAAGCTTGCCCAATTGTTTGAAAAGTATGATAAAGATTGAGCAAAGACTTTGAAATTATCGGTGAATTGTTGTTGGTCTTTTGAAGATTCAGTAGCATCACCATTAACTTCGTCCGAGTTAGTCCCTAATCCTGTTTCCTGTCCTTTACTCTGAATAATTGATAGTTTACTTATCTGGTTAGCAAATTGTTCGTAATCTTGACTTAAATCATGGTTCTTCTTATTCAACTTAGTGAATATTTTATCTAGCTTGAGAAGATTTTCATACAATTTCTTTAATTTGTCACTAATTTCCAAAATATCTTTATTTGTTTCCCGCTTATGCTTTGCAGGGGTTAAAAAGTTCATTACAGTTTCAGTCAATAAATCTTCATTCACAACTTTGTTAACAACAGAACTTGTAAAACCTGATGATTCAATATTCTCTTCCTGAATAGAGCTTGTATTATTTTTTGAAATTTTCAAATTCTTAGTAAAAGTTGACCAGTCTGGTGAATCACTCACAAATAAATGAAATATTGACAGTTGAGATAAAATTGAATGATTTGTGATGTATTTGACAAATCTATCCAAAGAATGTAATCTCTTATGTACAAAAGCAGTACTGAAAGTATCACCAGTGAGATATTTGAAATTCAGCTTTGATGGTAATGGAGGAACGAGAATTTGAGGGTAATCATTACTCAAACAATCATGCAAAAATCTGAAATCTCCATATCTTCTTCGAACTTTTATAGTCACTGCACTATTTGGTTCTGTTGGTTTTATAGAACTCAATTTTATTACCGAGGGATGATTGGTGGTAGTTGTTATTTGATATGATATAAATGGCTTGGATGCGCTATCCAAATCACGAATTGGGGAGGTAACTGAACTATCAATTGTGTGACTGTAAAATAAATTTGGTTCATCTGTACTTCCAAGCTCACTTTCGTACCCGCCAGAAGTGGCGGCTGCAGGAGAGCCCAAAAGATCGATATTACCTTTATCATCGGCTGCGGATTCGAGATTATTAGAGTGTAATGATTTAATACTGGCATCCTGGTTGGGGTGATCGTTATCTGAATGGTCTCGGCCATTTACATCGGCATCACCCTTGTCATCACTGGCTCGATCACTATCATTGGATGGGCCTTTGGTCATAAGTAATGAATTGGAAGGATCGGCATCATCTGCATATTCATCTTCATTATTATCTTCAGTATCTTCGAGATCTCCCACCCCTAAGGGGTTCCCATCTTCAATTTCATCAGCTTCACCATCATCATCATTATTGACGTTTATATCAGCATCACTGTTAGCATCTTGTACATCATTGACTGGCAAAGAAGTATCGTTATCGTCAGTTTCGCCTTCAGAGATTGTTGCCGGAGGAGCACGCTCGTTCGCTGGATGTTGGCTTTCTTCGCCCCTATCCCATTGAATGGAGGTAAAGGTGTCTTCTGCACTCATTTTTGACATCGTATTGTTAATCTTCAACCCACAATATGTTTCAAATTTAAAACACTACTTATAATCTGGAGATATGGATGATCGCGATAAGATATGTCGTGTGAATCTTTCCTTCACAATTGTAAAAGCAGCACAAATTAATAAGACTAAAGACTTGGACGCTTCACTGGTACTTCAATTGATACAAGTCTCGATATACTAATAGAATTCAATTTGTTTGGATCAAATTGAAGAAATAGCACTAGATGCTTAACTTATCCCTTGACCCAAAGTTTTTTTTGTTTTTTTAATCACGGACTTTTTTTTTTGCTTTGGGTGACGGATGTACGGGTCTACAGACAATATTTTGCAGTACGTTAATGAAACTATATAAGCTACTTTTATATTTAGTTGTGATAGAGAGGTCTTATATCACAAGCCAGACACCGGTACCAATCAAGGCCGAGCCGAGAATAGCGGTGATGATACCAGCACCAGCACGGTCACCAGCATCTAGCGATAAAGGAGTTGCATCGACGGCAGTAGTAGAATAACCGGAAGCAGGATCACCAATAGAAGAACCACCGGTGTTAGCAGTGTAAGGAGGATCGACATCACGGACTCTCAAGTTGGTCATAACCTCCAAAGCGCACATTTGTTCACCTAAACCATAGTAACCATCCCAAGAACCATTTGTCCAGGACAAACCACAGGTATGGCCGTCCAGCCCACCGGAACAAGAGGAGGCAGCAGCATTTGCGGAATCAACTAACCATGAGTGGATGATATCATAGGTTTGAGGAATTAAAACAGAAGTTAAACCCAAGAATCTTGAGAAAAACGCTTTAAAAGAACGTTGATCTTGATTACAATTATTTGAATTTTGACAGGCAGCTTCATACATGACGGAGTTATTAGCAAAGAAAACTTGAGCCCCGTTTAACAAGTTGAGTGAACGGTTCAACCATAAGACATCTTCAGTATAATTGTACAAGAAGGCACAACCAGATAATAATAAACCTTGATTGTAAGACCATTGGTATTTGGTGACTTTACTACAGTTATTATCAACTTTGACCCCATCATAAACAAACCACCAATCACCTTCAGAAAGAAGTCCAATTCCATACATCCAATCCCAAACTTTTTCTGCCCATTCAACGTAGGAATCATTACTAGTATAACGAGCTAAACGAGCAGCAATATTGAATAAACAGCCATTTGAAACGGAATTCTTATAGTCATAACCCGAGTTCCACTGGAAAATTTGCCATCTAAGACCACCATCACATTCCTTATGATCCCATCTAGCAGTCATGGTATTGAAAACTGCTTGAGCTAATGATAACCATGCCTTTTTCGGATTTTCAGGATTCGAGAAATTCTTTTCTGCTGCAGCCATCACGGCAATCCCCCAGAAACCTTGATCATCATTCCCTTCGGTAGTGGATTGATTTAAAGGAATATAATTATAATCATCACCAACTTGATATTCTAATGCCTGTTTAATCAAAGGCACTAAAGTATCATTTTTCATATAGTAAGTGTAATCAATAAGGGACCCCCAGGCTCCCCCGGCTTCCCACCAATAATATGGCCAACTAAACATACCAATGGTACCCCCGTATTTTTCTCCTTCATAATAATCAAGTAAACCTTTTGCAATCAACGCGGTGTTTTGCTCGATATTAGTAACATTATTAGTATCCAAAAACACTGCTTGTGTAAACGAAATAATCGTTGATAACGAAAGTATAAGGGAAAGTTTCATACTAATCCGATGTTATGAAAAAATGTCCCTGCTGAGTTCAAAATCTAATCAGGGATAAAAGTCTGCCAGATAAAAGATCAGGCCAAGCTTAACAATTCGAATCTGGAAAAATGGTAAGAATACCGCGGTCCGTGTTCTGATCTGGAGTTTCAAGCGAACGTCTAGTCTAACTATCGACTAAGCTTAGAAAAGTAATAGAAAGTAATATCAGACCTTTTGAAATGGTTGTTTGAGCCCGTTGAAGTTTTTTTTTTTTTTTTTTTTTTTTTTTTGTGTGTGCTCAGCTTGAAATAGGTGATTTTTCTTTTGAAGGAGGCTGCGATAAATACGTGTTTAAACCCTTGAAAAGCTTTAAAGTAGGAACTGAACGGTATACTTGAAGCTTAGAATGTAATCACGGTGCGGTGTTGGTCTTGGCTTTGGTCTGTAGTTCGCCATTGGAGGCTAGATAGAGCTTAAGTAGGTTTCTGTTGGCCGTCAAGAAGTTAGACACGCATGATTCTAATAATAACTTATACGGGAACAACAATTATGATACAAAGATACGGGGAAGATGGTGGTTTATCATGGTAGAAATACATCAAAATATATATATTGTACATGAGAGAAGAAGCAAAATCATTGATCGAAAACAGGATCGACTTCTTTTGATTCTTCCATTGGACGAAAGGAGGTTCCATCCTCCATTTTGGAAGGAAGATCAGAGGAGTCGGTTGGATTTTTTTGAAGTTCAGAGTTAGTTGTAATGATATCGTTCAAGTCAGCATTGACTAACTCTTCGTTTGATTTGATTGTCTCAAGAGTTTTTTCAAAAGTAGGGAAATCTTTTTTGAATTGGATCAAAGGAACTTTTTTAATGAAATCCCCAAATTGTTCATCATTTTTCAAATATTGGTATAGCTCAATAGCACTATCGGTATAGTTTAACTTATCATTACCAAGTATTAAAGAATTGATTTTCTTTAATAGATCAACTGAATAATCGATTTTTTGGAAATGAAATTTATGATTCAATTTAATAATCAATAAGTTGTTAGCAATATTGTAAATCATTGAAATGGAGGAAATATTTTTATCTTGATCGGAATCAGATTCTTTATAATTGGCTTTGATTGGATTAGTTGATTTATATTGATTCTTCTTAGTGTATTTATTGACTGTTGGTGATGTTGGAATATATTCATTAACATTCGTCTTTACTTGATTGAAAGTAACATTGTTAATTATACCCATAAGAGGATTCAAATAAATATTTCTCAATGAATCTAATAAGAATTCTCTGAAGATAGTTTCACTACTAATTGGTTTTTGATAATCCAAATGATCGATAAAACGGGGATTTAATTCACAAATGAAATTTAAATCATTTAAATCTTCCTGACCATTAAATTCAGCTATATGAGACATATATTCATTAAAGGATTCATAAACATTCTCTTTGGCAAAAGGGTTTTTAAAACATTCATGACATAATCGATAGACTTCATTAATTTCATCTTTTGGTTTAAGATCATCATCACATAATTCACAAATATACGGAGTATTCATTTTAATTCTTTTAATAGTGGCTTGTTGTTCACTGGTTGGATATTGACGCGGTTGATTACTCGTTTGAATTGATTGCGAAGATGAGCGATATTGATGTAATTCAGGATGGGGTCTTGTAGATATATGTCGAGGTAATCCATTCTTAACAATCTTATTCGGATTATGGTGATTGAAAGTAGAAGGAGTTGGTATTGAACCAGAATACGAATTCATTGTTGGAATTGAATTGCTCGAATTACCTCCGTTTGGTCCTTGATAGAGAGAAAATTGTTGTCCGGCTCCTCCTCGTTGTTGGTACATATCATGATTACCTGGAGATGATGATTGACGGAAATTAGTAGTTGATCCACCATTATTATTACTAGCAGAAGTAGTACCATTAGCACGATTAGGAATTGTGCTTCCTAGATTTGCCGATTCCAAAGTTATAGATGGAGTTCTACCTTCAGCAGCAGCAGCTCTTTCGAAAGCCTCCAACTCCTTTTTCAATTGTTCACTATAAAAAATATCTTCGTGGGCATTGGAATTCTGATTCTGTTCATAGAATTGTTTCAACCCATATCTCATGGTCTCTTCCGCCAATGGTTTTCTCAGCTTCTTCTTCGTACGTTCAATGATCCGACATTTGGCACATGTCTTATACTGTTGAACCTCAAACGGTTCATCGTCGAGTCTCTTTCTTTTACAACGACGACACCTTCTGCTATCAGCCATAATCAAATTACTCACTCACTTATAAAACTGGAAGTTCAGTTAAAATAAAATTAACAAATCTGAACAGGCTTGTAACTGGAAATGATACCTTTCAATCCTTAGCTATCGCCTTCCTTATCTTGTTGTATGGATAACCGTGATAAAAAAGGTATTTCCTTCTGTTTTGATTTTTCAATGGTTTTCCTGTTTTTTTTTTTTCTTTATGAGTTTTTTTGTCTGATTTTTTCTATGAGCTTTTCCTCGCTGGTTTTCTGCTAAAGCTTCTCGCTTTGGATTTTGCAACGATTCACTCGAGTTCAACTGAAGCTGTATGCTGCTTGGACTCCTGGGCTGTAGCAAGTGAAGAAGAAGAACTGTCAGAAGGTTCTGGTGGCAAGAAGTCTTAGAAAAAAAAATTAGTAAAATTGGCCGCTTACGTAATCGGGGGTGGTGGGAGAAAGAGGAAGAACCGGCCTACAAACTACAAACAGAGGTCTTGACAGAGGTGTAGCGGATGTGGTAGTAGATGTTGAGGTAGAAGGTGTGGCATATCTTGTAGTTCTACTGGTTTACGTTCTAGAGGTGGGATTTGAAGTTGAAAAAGTTGACTCGATGGTGCAATTACGTCTCGTCCTTGTGAGCCAACCAACAACCCCCAATGGCCGGGTTCAAGCTGACGGGTGGCCCCCTGCTTGAGCATCCGGTAAGTGGCAGGGGGACGGTCTGGGTAAAGCACAGAAGTATCCCTAGACAGAGCCAGTATCAGTAATGCCGGGTCACTTTTTTTTCCATTTGGTTGTTCAAAAAATGTATGCTCACCTGTTCAATTCTCCGGCTGTTTTTTTTTCTTTTAGTTAATTCCATCTTCTTTTCCAGAATTGCTAAGCTAATTTATAGGTTAAGACTGATTACTTTGGTATTTTAAGTGGTAACTCGGTGATTTATAGGGTATTTTGTTCAATTGGACATATCAGTGGGGAAACTTATTACAATCTTTTCGAGGCTTATCAGTTAAATTGATTGATATTGGTTTTAATTGGAAAATTAGATTAAAAGATGTCCAAATCGTTTGTTCGTTCTATAAAGAACGTTGCCAATGGGTACTCTTCGGTCCAGGTGTCTGTTAGAAATGCTACTTCGAATGATCCAACTGGACCAACTACTTATGATATGGAAGAAATTGCTTCTTATACTTATCAATCTCAAACTGATTTTTTGGAAATTATGGATATGTTGGATCGCAGATTGAATGATAAGGGTAAGAATTGGCGCCACGTTGCTAAGTCCTTGACTGTGTTGGATTATCTTATCAGATTTGGTTCAGAAAAATGTGTTCTCTGGTCAAAAGATAATTTATACATTATTAAAACTTTAAGAGAATTTATACATTTTGATGAAATGAATAATGATCAAGGTGCTTTAATTAGAGTTAAGGCTAAAGAATTGGTGGCTTTATTAAGAGATGATGAACGTCTAAAGCATGAACGTGAATTGGCTGCAAGATCTCAAAATGGTCATTTATCAAGAAATGAAAGTCCTTCAAGACGTCAAAATAGATCTCGTAGAAATACTGCAAGATCAAGAAGTGATCCTTACGATGACGATTTACAAAAAGCCTTGGAATTATCTAGATTAACTGCAGAACAAGAAAAGGCTCAAATACAACAACAACAACAACAATCAGACCCCGATTTAGAAGCTGCTTTGAAATTATCAATGGAAGAAGAAGAAATGAGAAAATTAAGACAAGAACAAAATAATAATCTTTTGGATTTAGATGATTATCCTCAACAGCAACAACAATATGCTCTTGTTCAACCTCAATATTATATGGCCACCGGGTTTGCTCAACAACCTCAACAATTTCAACAACAGTACGATATGTTTGGTAACCCTATACAGAATCCAATGGCAACTGGCCTCTATCAACCTCAACAACAACCCCAGTTCACTCAACAACCTCAATTTACTGGGTTCAACTATGGGCAACAACCACAACAACAGCAACAACTACAGTCTCAACAAGTTCAAGCTCCTCAACAAGAATTACAACCACTTAAAACCGGTTCAAATAACCCATTCGCTTTAAATTCATCTGCTTCTCCTGCTCCTCAACCTCAAGCCCAATCTTTAAATGATTTAGCTAATCAAGAAAGACAACTGCAACTGCAACCTTCTTTCTTCACTCAACCATCTGCATCTCAACCTCAACAACTGCAACTGCAACCTCTTAGTGCACAATTGACTTCATCTTCTAAGTTCAATGACTCTACTCACGCTGACTTGAATAACTTACTAGCTCAAGGTACAGGAATTGATACTTTTGGTAATACCGGGGCTACTAGAATTCCACATCAACATACTAAAACTCAAACCTTCATCAATTCAAGTGGTACTGGTTATCAACAGAAGACTGGAGATGATATCAGATTAAGTTCGAACGCCACCGGTAATCCATTCTTGAATACTGGTGTTGGCTATCAAAACCAACAACCTCAACAACCTCAAATTAACCCAGCGTACACTGGTTATGGATTTGGTAACGCTCAACCTCAGCAACAGCAGCAAAGACAGACGAACGATGGCCCTAGCTTGATAGATATTTAGCTCTTTTATTGCTACTTTGTATTTTTACATTTTACCTTCGTATTTTCTTTTTCTTCGATTTGTCTTAACTTGTCAACTAAAATCTCCCTTCTCTGTGAACTTCAATTTTATGTTCCTTTGTCATTATTATAACTATACTTTTAGTCGCTATCATATTTGCTTTTAGTTTTAATTCTATCTTTCCTGCTTTGATAATATTCTCCTTGATCCTATTAAAAATACAAAATTTACTCCTTATATTTAAGATAGTTTGTAGTTCTCAAAAAACACATTGGTCTTAAGTTCATTTATTACTATATAATTGTAAGCCCCTATAATCGATAGTCCTTAAGGTCTTCTAACTTCATTCTGAATATAGATTTAACACACCAATCCCATTCCACAATCATTATATTATCATCATTTTTCTTTATAGAACTTATCAACTTTGAATCCTTACTTTTATGTGCGACGAATATAACTTTACCATTGTCATTTTTTAACAACTGTTTGATCATGGATGCTGGTACCGACTTGAAACTTTTTGCTTCTTCTAGCCCATGGGTTTGGAGAATGCTGGTGATTAAATTCACTCCTCCGTTTAAATTGGTGGATAAGTTAAGTTTAATCCCTTTAAATAAACTACCCTTATTTTCGCTATTGAACAAGTCGGATAGTCCGTTCGTTTTTGTGTTTGCAATCCCAAGATCTTGGTTTATTTCTTTGAGTGGAATGACCTTATCTAATGCATAATCCGAAATATTATACTCTTTTGAGAGCTCATCCCAAGTTATCTCCTGCTCGTTAACTTTCTTCAAGGCTTTCACTAAATAATTAGGGTGGATAATACGTTCAGCTTGGCTTAAGCTTTTTAAGAACTTTTCGGTTCTTAATATACGGGGAGCAAATATAGTATTGATTTTATGTTTAGGTGAATAGTCGTTAACAATCTTGATTCCGGAATGAGAAAGCTTGACAACGTCAACGCGGTTGAGTACTAACTCCAGTTCACAACCAGTCATAATTGCAACTACTGACTGTGTTCTATCTGGACTTGATGGCTTCTTCTTTTTTACCGGTGGATGAGAAGTTTGTGAAGTCAAAGGCGAGGTGCTTCCATTGATTACATCTTCCTTGCTACTAACCTGGCTGCTTTCAGCACTTTCAGAAGCAGGTCTTTTCCTTGAAGATCCCTTGATTGCCTCTTCACGAGCTTCCAACTCTTTCATATAGGATTTCATCTTTCTTGAGCTCTTGGATAAAACTTTGTAGGCATTTAGATCTTCCATATCAGAATGCAACTTCAAAGCTGCCTTTTGTTTGGCTGATCTACCAACTCTGCCGCTGAATGCGTCGGAAATGCTTGGGGTAGCTGCTTGATCGCTACTTTCAAGGTTGCTTATATGAGCCTGATCCTCAATCTCGACACTTTTATCGAGGTCAATTTCTGGGGTAGCTGGAGTTGGTAACTTAGAAGCTTGGCTCTTGGATTGACTTTCATTGGAATCATGTTGTGATTTTTCAATTGATTCAGTGTTTTCAGGTTCTCCTTCGTCCTCTTCATCATCCTCTTCATCATTAAAGTCCACTAGTTCTTGATCTTCTTCTTGCACATCAGGTTGTATTTCTTGATCATTCTCGCGTTCTGTGTCTGTTTGTTTCTGGCTGATGGTATTTCTTGTTAAAGTAGGAGATTCATCTTCACTCATACTATCATCAACGTTTGTTCCTTCGCTATTCAATTTACTAGAACCAATAGAAGGGTCGAGGTACCATTTTTGTAAAGCTAGGTGATTGAGTTTAGTTTTACCCAACAATGATTCAGTTCCAGCTCGTCCACTGGCCTTGCTACCGAAATATTGGAAGCGAGGTAAATTAGAATCAATGTATGACCAAGAGGAGTAGCATTCTTCTAGCCAAAGATGATTAGCGACTTCCACAATAGGTTTATTATCAAGATTCTTCCACTTATTTTTTGCACTTTCGTATTTTTTTCCATCGGGTTTTGCAACAATTAAAAAATCATTTTCACGGGTTAAAGTTTTCGTAAAGTCACCTCCTAATAAGGTTATTAATTTAGTTAAGTAAAAACGAGCATCACCAGAATAGTTGGTTACTGATATTTTTTTGTTTTTAAACTCAGCTAGAGGGTCTTTAGGGAATGGATAGTGTAATAAATTTGAATTTTGGGGTAGGATCCAAGTATTAGTAAGTAAGACATGATACATCCATTGTAAATTGGCAACCACGATTCTATTTGAAAGACAGCATTTTTTATATTCATCACCCGAACGATATTTACCTATATAAATATCAATATCCTTCACATTAAAAGTCGAAACTGTGTGCCCACCATTGGACTCGACTAGTTGAGAGAAACAATTTGACATTCTTTCCGAAAGATTATAATCCGAAGAGAAATAAAAAGTCTTGTCTTTGAAAAAATCTGTAGTTTTACCTTCTATATTAGGCAAGCAGTCATCATTAATCAATTTGTTATTTTGATCCGACTCAGGAATAAGCGAATACATTGGTTTCTTCTCCTGATGTACTTTTGGATTAGATAAAAGATACGGTTCTTCACTTAACTTTTTGCCTTGTTTTAAACAATCATTAATCCAATGAGGTAGAACTATTTTGATGTCAATAGAGTCATCACTATTTGACAGTTGATTTGCACTTGATGCGATTATACATTTAACGTTAGTTAGATCCAATGCGATCAAATGAGTAGTATGTTTGGTTAAATCATCCATATATTGACCACCAAAAGCTCTCACCCCACCGTAAATCACTTCCTTGTCGCCAGCTGGTAAATTATCTGCAATACAAACAAAGCAATCTTTTAAAAAGTTTTTAGGATCAGGATTGTAAGATTTAAGATTCAAAATCTTGTTTTGTTCTATACTATGGGAGATCCAGGAAGCTGTTGTGACCGGAATCATAAGAAGCTGAGCAGCGTGGTATTCGATGAACTCCACGGTGTCTGAAACTATGTGGTTTATTGGTTGATCTAAATCTTTATCGAGATAGTTAACGTCAGTATCTGACTGGTTTTTGAAATACACTTTAGAGACGTGTTGAGATAGTAATTGCCTCTCGGTTTCCTTTGCATCTTCAGCAGTGAACGTATCAGACGTCACTAATAGCACCACCAATCCTTTGAACATAGTTGTGGATCTGTCAGTGTCTTGATAAAAGATGTTTATTGATGTTTTTCTGAAAGAAAAAAAAAACATCAAAACACTACGCGTTAGCTTCATTTTTTCGTTCTTTGCAGCGCACAAACTACTCATATAAATATAAAACTGTGAAAATTATAAATCTAAATAAATGAACGTAGCGAAGAAGCAAAGAATAAAATATATAATCAACAATCAAAAAGGATATACAAACATCGTATTGGTCAACTTTTTTTTTTAAATTTTTTTTTTTTGATTTGGATAAGTTTTTTTTTTGTCTTTTTTTTTTTTTTGGGATTAAAAAAGAATTTTTTTAAGTTCTTCAGTTTGATCTTTTATTGATTTGGTTTCTTGTGAATTAGATAGACCTAATTGGAAAGATTAATGTACAGGGAAAGAAGAAGTAGAAAGAAAGCAAAAAAAGAAGGGGAAAGCAAAAAAAAAGAACAAAATAAAAACAAAACATCATGAAAAGGTCATTAATGAAGTAAACTTTAAAAGAAGAAAAAACAAATTCATAAGTAACAGAGATTATTTTGGAATTCTATCAGTAATTAAGTTTGGATCGAATAAATCTCTTTCTTCACTTATGAATTTACGAGCCCAACCACGACAAACAATACTTGCCTTCATAAATTTTCTAGTAGCGTATTTTTTGAAAAATTCATCATGCTCGACTGGGGCAATTAAATATTCCATAATTAAATTTATACATTCTTTCATATCAGAAACTTTATAACCACCAGAGTAATGAATTAAGTTACCGTTCCAAACTGGATCTTTACCTAATATTAATCTAGCAATATACATTGCTGAAGCTGAACATAAGGACGGTAACATTCCAATGAATTTATAATCCATAATTGTTATTTCTAAAAGATATTTACCTAAAGTTCTTGATTGAACATCATAATCATCAGCTTTAGAGATTCTTCTTAAGAAATTCATTGGATTTGGATAATTCAATTCAAAATCTAGTATGGTAAGAATATATTTTTCAGCTTGTAAAATTTCATCTTCAGTATAAGAACCATCAGTGAAATAAGCATAATTTTTAACTGAAGGAGAGAAAACTTCTTCATATTTAGCAGCAATGAAAAGAGAACCAGTTGCTAATAATTGTAATTTATCAATTTGAACCACTTCTAATGACATAAATCTATCCATTATATTAATTGCAAGAAATAAAGTTTCTGGTAAAAGACGAAATCTTTGATGCATTTCAACCAACCAATCAACTAAAATTGATCTCATTCTGGGTTTTAATTGAGTTTGTTTATATAAATAATCTGCATCTGGTAAAGTTTTATATTCTAATTCATTTAAATAAGGAAATATATCATTAACATATTCACTAACCATTAGAGGGTCATCGAAATCTTCTTCATCCAAATCCTGCCATTCATAATCAATACGTTTTGATTTTTTAAATTTATTTGAATTATTTAATTCGTTTGTTGTATGAAGTTTTTCAACCAAATTCGAAGAAGATTCCGTGGCTTGTCTTTTTCTATTTGGAACTAATAAATTATTTTTTTTAGATGCAGAAATATTAGATGCTGTAGTTTGAGAAGGTTGTAACATTATTTTAGAATCATCATTTTCTTTATCAAAATCAGTGGAAGATCTTTTATTATTTGATTTTGAAGGAATCTTAGAAACTTTATTATTGGAATTGGATGAGGATGAAGTTTGTTGGGTTAAAGGAGCCAAGTCTCCAGCCAAGGGACGTCTTTTGGTAGTGGTTGATGAAGTTACTTGGACTGGAGGAGCTAGAGTTTCTTGTTGATCTAATTTTTTATCAGAATCTTTCGAATCTTTTGAATTAGTAATTGATTTGGAGCCACTAACTCCAAATTGGTTTGAAACGTCAGCTAAATGAGGACGGGTCGAGTTAGTAGAAACAATCACGTCTTCTGAGTTTTTAACCGTATCCGATTCAGGTTTATGATTATGGTGAAGTTTTAATTTTTTCTGTTCTAGTTGTTGACGCTGACTAGCTAAGGATTTAGATCGAGTTAGTCTATATTCATTTTCGTTGTTTATGGATGACATGATGGAATGCTAGAGATGAAGCAAGGATGCAGGGTTTAATTCATAAGATATAAGGAGCCGGATGTTGTTGTCGTTGTTGTCGTTGTTGTTGTCGTTGTTGTTGTTGTTGTTGTTGTTGTTGTTGTTGTTGTTGTTGTTGTTGTTGTTGTTTTAGTTGATGATGTTGATGTAAATGTTAATGCTGTTGACTCAACGAATAAATCAGGGAGAAGCGCAAGAAGAGCAGTGGAGCCAGTACCAGTACTAGTATGAATAGAAGATGTATAGTTGTTGAAAAGAGTACAACAGAAGATATAACAAAAGATATAAGATACAACAGAGGATAAAACAACTTGTTTTTTTTCTAATGAAAAAAAAAAAAAAAATAAAAATAAAATTCTAATAATAAGAGTAATAGGTTTGAAACTCCAAAAAAGCACCCGGTATAGGAAAGCTTAAAGATAGCTGGATCTAGTAATAAAAGAAACAGTAAATAGTAGGAATTGGAAAGGCAGTTATTGCTGTTAGCGCAGTTTCAGTATTGGTGTTAGTGTATTGAACACCAGAAAGGACTGGAGGATTAAATTGATGGGATTGGTGTTTGTGGAAAGTTAGTCAGATTGGAACACACACTCGCCATACAGACTCCCTCAATATGATATGAAACTGATTGTTATTGTTTTGTTTACTCCTTAATAGAGTCCTTTAATTTGTGTTTATTGAAGTTAATTCGCTTGCTTGAATGGAATTTGGTGTTGTTGATTTTGATTTTTTTGGTTCGCGTATTTACTTTTATTTTATTTAGGCAATTGCCATACAACTATGATATAATCCTATGGTATTATGCTGATCCATATGAGGTATGATAATATATATGATAATATATATGATATATGATAATATCTATGATAATATCTATGATGGGCAGTAATTCATGTACAGTAATACATACGTGATGAATGCTCAAATAAAGTTTGTACTCGTACATTACCATACCAACACCAAAACAACACGTCCTTACAGGCATCCCATTGGAGGTTCCCAAGTCAACTGGCCATAGAATGGTCTTTATGGTTCTCGTGATCTCGCTGGTTGATCAATGAATGCCACAATTACACGAATTGCTTCATTTCTACACAAAGGTCCATCGCGATTTTGTTTTTGTATCTTATCTACTCATCTACTCTACTCATTCTACTCATCTACTCTACCCATGTACCCTGATCATATGTACCCTGATCACAGTCATGCTGATCTGCTGATCTGCTCATCTCAGCTCATCGAGTTAAGCGATCTTTCCGTATATCTTGCAGTCTAGGTTTGAAGAGATGTGGTTCAGTATACAGTGGTATGGCCATATAAACAGCAGCAGGAATATATTAAGGTATGCAGTGGTACGCACATACAGCGATATACTGGTATAGTAGCACATGTTAGTAGTGTATGTTAGTAGTTTGTTGGTATGGTAGTATGTTGTTAGTATGTTGGGGGTACATGGTGGAAATTGGGTGCAAATTTTGATGCAAATTTTGATGCAAATGCGCAAATTACGTATTTATTATACTCATTATATATTAAACAGTATTATTCCATCTATATTGACCCATTAACGTTTGGGTACCTTCTTTTCGGCCTTCCTCAGTCACATCCTCGTATTCGTCCTCTTGTGGTCCTCCCACTGAGGTGGAACTACTCAATATTTTGCGACTCCGGCCCACTCGTCTGGGTCTTCTCTTCAACCTCCTGTTTTCTCGTTGTAACCTATTCAAGGCCTCCATTGCAATTGCACAGGTCTCACACCGGGGTCTTTCCCCGGTGCTTGTACTCTCATTGGTGAAATCTAAACTGTCAACCGTCTCGTCCCCCAAATCTCGTTTATCACATTGACAATACACCATTACGTCTTTACTCCTGTTACTTTTCAGTCTTGATGTTTCAGCCACCGGCTTCACGCTTGAGGAGCTCGGCGGTGCCGACTTCTCATTGAGCAACTTATCAAGACTATCTCGAATCCCAATCAATAGTTGAATCATCTTATTTTGTTCTCCTTCTTTTGGAGTTTCTATTCTCGGGTCAGTCTCTTCATTCTTCAATTGCTCAAACGCTTGTTCAAACACTTCCAACATTTTCATTTTGCCAGGTTCTGTTTTTTTCTCTTCTTTAATCTCCGTTTCTACGGGTTCCTTTTTATTATTGGAAATTGTATCCATCAATTTTCTGACCAATTCTTCAACCATCCCTTCTTTTTCAATAGCATCATTCTTCAATGGCTCCTGTCTCTTTTCTTCTGCTTCTGCTGTAGGCTTGGTCTTCTTCTGTTCTTCATATAGTCCTTTGTATTTTATTAACTTTTCTCTCAATAATTCATTCTCTTTAACTAATTGGGAATTCTCATTGCTATTCCGGTTGGTTTCTTCAAGTCTCTTCTTCATTAACCCCCGTTCTCTTTCCATAATCATTTCTCTTTCTTGATGCACCTTGGACATATTATTTATCCGATTCTGATTATCCCTCAATTTTTCTTGTTGCTTTTCACTTTTTTGCTTTAATATCAATATTTCTTCTTGCAATGCTTGGTTTCTCCTTCTCATTTCATCTCTTTCCTTAACCACCTCGAGGTTTTCTCTCCGATGTTCTTCGGTCAGTTTAACTGCTTTGGCAACTGCAGAATTCAACATCTTTTCATATTTTTCAAATTCTCGATTCCCAGTTATTGAAACCGGTAATGATTGTATAGCTTTATGGGTTTGTTCTAAAAGTTTTTCATCGTCAAAATCCTCTTCTTCATCTTTACTAATCAGCTCTTCGAAATTGGGCATAACATCCCCTTTACCAATTGAAAGTAGTCTCTGTACATCTTGATCAAATGGCTCTTTGTTCTTACTCTTCTGTTCGGGTCGTTCTTCTCGGCTCCTGAATCTTATCGGACTCGGAATAGATATAGAATCTGTTGGTGATTCTATTATGCCTCTATTCAAATCTATACTATTATCTCGACTCAAGTCAAGCAGTAAATCATCTATTCTCAATAATCGATCAATATCCGGGTCGATATACAATCCTCCCATCAAATTATCACGGTCCTCTTCTCCAAACACAGTAATGTCATCTATCATACTATTCCCACTATATTGTCGCTTCTTCAAATGCGGTGATGGGTTATTACTATCTGCTCGTGTCTTACCAGAAGTACTTCGTGAATGCAGAATAGGTTGTTCTTTGGTCCGGGCTTGTTGTCCCCTCAAGTACCCATCAATAATGTCCTGGGTATTCGTGAAGTCCATTGCCAACATACACTCTAATATCAATCCTGGGCTAACCTTCAATGGTATTGAAAAGATGGTTATTGGTGATTTTTTATTGAAACATCAAATCTCAAGGTAAACAACACGCATTTTCAGTCCACAGAAAAAAAAAAAAGATCAAAAAAAAATTTTACACGCGACTGAGACTTACAAACCGATATTAAAGATGCAAAATTCGTATATTTGAAGAATGCTTTACTCTTCCACCGATACATGGATCAAGTAATCTAAGGACTTACCGACGGCATTGATGTGCCAGGGCACTAACAGAACCGCGTCCTTATGATCTACTTCCTGTTGATCGAAATTATCTGTAGTAACGTCTACTTTTGTAGATGAAGTAGACGTTTGGATTTCAGTTAAGCCCAAAATATCATTCAATGATATTAATTTTTTATATTGCTCCAACATTATCTTCATGATCGCGTCAAGTTTCCAGAAATTGGAACAACTGAGTATAGTGGTTTCATAGACTAGATATTTTTTAACAGAACCACCATCACCAACTTCTTCTGAATCATTTCCACACTCTTTCAACAAATATCCGATCTTCATTCCTAGTTTTGAAGGGGAAGTAAATGACGGTAAGGCTGTACGGGGGATCACTGCTGTTATGTCGCTATTACGATCATGTAAAACAACATCCGATTCATTGAATATGATTCCTGGTCCATTGGCACTATTAACACCTGCTCCAACAGTGCTATGTCCATTGGTAGTAACATTGTTGGCCGTCCCAGAAGCTCCAGTACCTACCAAGTCTTGTGGCGATAAAAAGTTACCGGGGGCGTTCAAGAATTGTTGTGGAGAATGGAAATTAATGCCTCCATTATGAGATGGTGACGTTATCATGGTGGCACCAGTAGTTGTAGGACTAGAATTACTTGAAGGAGGAAAGTTGTTGAAATTCTTGAAAAAATCCGGAGCTGAGCCTGGTGCTGAAGGTGTAGTAGCACTTCCCATACCAGTAGGTGCTGCATTCTTTTGTCCCCCAGAGACAATATTGGATGATGGATTTTGTTGGCCCTGTTGTTGTTGGTTTAGTCCGGTCAACAAACCCGATGCCGATGAAGGTTGTGCTTGTCCAGCTACAGTATTACCAGAACTGTTCAGACCAGTTGTACTGTTAGAGCTTCCTGCTATTGTAGCGGCAGCCGTACTCAATCCAACGTTGTTGTTACTGGATGCATTGCTAGCATCATCTTGTACAAGATCATTATCATCTGGACTGACGTCACGGTTCGAAGTGAAGTCAACATTGAATAAAACCCTAGGAGTCCTGTTGACTGACAAAACAATCAATGAAACATCTTTATATTTCATACTAAGTCTCTTCCAATGAACCAATTCGTCATCGGGAATAACGTTATTAATTCTTGTTAAGACCAAGAATTTCTTACCACCTAAACCACTTGTCTTTTTGATTATTTCGGCATTCAAAGTCTTGAATAATTCATTAGAAATATTCCAAATCTCATCTATAACCTCACCCATTTCATAAATATCTTTAGTATGTTTCTTATTATTAGTAGGCGAACAGTACCAAGATTTGACATGAGTGGTAACACCAAACGGATCAGACCATGCTGCTGAAACCCAGTTTTTATCCACAGTTCTTTCATAAGCCAAATGTAAAAATATATCGTCATTATATGCCAAACTTGTACTTTCCTTCCCACCATTAGACAAAAATTTGAATTGAAGCTTGCTAGGAGGGGATTTCACTAAGTTTGTGAATAACGACTTAGTTAATTGTTTATTCGTCAATGATTTTAATCCCAGGAAAGGGTCGGGGCATTTGTTATACAAAGTCATGGATATTCTACTAAGTTTATAGTTAGATAAGTACCTGACTGATTTTTGATTGGCAACTTGTTTAAAGATGAAAGAAGCTGGAATAACATGTGTAAAAATTTCAACTAAAGGTAATTGATATTGATTCAAAAATAACTTGAAGTTACGGCATATCTTCGATATTTGTAACATGGAGTTAACATTATCATCAAAGTCAACAAAAAATAGTAATAATGGACGATCAAATTCGAAACTATTGGTTTTGTTTATTAAGTCTAGTTTTATCAACTCTACCAAAGACGTCAACCGTTTATTGATCTTCTTATAAACGTCAGTGTATGACGATGTAACACTATCTTCTCCTTTGTTCATCAATAACAATCCATCATTAATACTTTCAAAATCCTGTTTGGAATCAAGGCTTTGTAGGTTCAATTTAGTTATATTCCCGAAATGTCCCTCATTATAGTTATAAATTAATGAGTTTAAAAACTCGGAATTACAATTATTTTCTTCTTGACCTCTTTCCGAAATTAATAAGACCTGGAAATTCTTGGGCCCATTGAGTGGGCTGTAATTCAAATATCCCCAGAATCTGAGACCAACGCTATTTAAGTTGATGATCTCGTCGTTGTTTTTGAGGACCCTAGCTTTATTATCCAATAACTGGAAAAGATGGTCTTCATCATTCTTTATGTATGAATTTACTTTATTAAAGCTTTCAATTATCTCTTTATAATGACGATAATTTTCTTCGTTCCGTTGATTAACTGTGTAAAATGAATCCCATTTAATTGAATTTAATTTCTTCAACTGTGACTTCGGATTGAGGATGTCATCATTCGCAATATCATCTAAGAAGCTGAGTTGATTGGTGAGTTCATCCTGTACTGTACTATCTTGAGGATCCTGTGGACTAATTTCGTTTATGAATTCATTCAAACTTACTTTATAACATAATGGAAATAGTTTGAAGAATTTGGATTCAAATTGAGATATTGGTACACCAATATCTACGGAGCTAAATGTATCATTTTCGGTAAGCTTAGATGCATTTGAGGGCAAACTCAATCTTAAATTCGATTCATATTTATTTAATCCCAAGTCAAACACTAAATTCAGGCCAAGCCATTTAAGAAATTCGTCTAAATGATTGACTTTCACTACCAATTCATTATTCTGATTTATCTCGAAATCATTCTCTTCTTCATCAACATCCATATTAAAGTCGGATGTCACGGTTGAAATATTCATGGATCCACTTATATTGTTTAAAAGAAACAAACTTGGTATTGAAACCACATTTATCCCTCTTAATATCAAAGGTAAGCAGTTAGACGATTCAGAAATTCCGACAGTCTTAGACGGTGAAGACACGGCAGGAGTGTTACCAGTGCTTACTGGGGACTGGTCTTTCTTAGAGTCATCATCAGGTGAAAACGACTCATGACCTTGAAAGTCATCTTGAAATACCGGAGCAGAAGGAGGAGGTTGTAAGTGTTTGTTATCAAAAATACTGGATGGAGATCCTGTTACCATCTGGTTGTTATCAACAAAGCTTGAATTCATTCCAAGCGGAGAATCAAATTTGGAACCAGTATTATATTTTGCAGCTTGACCCAATGGAGAGAAAAATCCACCTGTATTGGTTAAAGTTGATGGGTTGAGTTGCTTTTGAGTTGTATCCAAATTATTTCCTTGATTCGATGATCCTTGATCGTTATCAGTATTGAGCTTCAAAGGTGGGGAGTTCTGTTCCTTTGAGTGATCAGCAACCTTGTTTTGATTAATGTCTTCATCTTCATCACTTTCTTCATCATCGTCATCTTCTTCTTCATCATCGTCACTTTGATCGCTAGGATCATCATCATCTGCAATTGCATTTTCATTATCTTCATTACTGACAATTCCACGATCTTGATTTTCTGAGCGAATTATGCCCAACCCTCTTTCATTCAGAATATCAAAACTATGACCACGATCTTCTTTTTTAGCTGGATATTCGTACCCACTGACACTTGTTGCTCGTAACTTTCTCTTTTTTGATTCACTATCAGAACCAGCTGATAATTCTTTATCGACATAAAATTTCCCTCCCTTCCCGTATTTTGTATCTATATTGCTTTTAATTATTGGGTTGAATAAAAGAGGAGAAAAGACCGACTTATTGTCAATTTCGGGAGCACCTGAAGGGGTCCATGAACTTCCAATATGACCTAGATGGTTGTTATAGAAGTTTAAGTTCTTCAGGTCATTGAAACTATTTTTTTGATCAGGAATAGTTCCCGAAGATTGAGGTGCCGAAGAGGGTATTATTGGGGTTGGCACAATGGGCAATGGGGCACCTGGATCATCGTATACTTGAGGAGTTTGAGTTTTTAAATAACGTAATGGAGCTATGGTCATTTGATCTTTTGGAATATCAATATAAGTGCTATTAGAAGCTGAAGTAGATGATCTTGGTTTAGGTTCCTTAAACTCTTTCTCGACATCCTTTTCTGGATCTTTCTTGCTTTCATCTTGCTGTGTTTCATAAAATAAGTCAAGCTCTTTCGTAGAATCTTTATCTGCTTGTATAGGTTTGTTTTCTTCGTCAACCTCAATTGGTTGAGATGATGGTTGCAGGTCAAAGTTATTGTCGAATTGAGGCTCAACTGGCTTTGCTGCTTGTGACTGATCTTCATCACTACTATCATCCCCAAATAGATCGTCCAATTGATCTTCCTCCTTGGCTTGATTTTCTTGTTCTTCTTGATTTTCTTCGATCATTTGATCACCTTCGTTCAAATGATTACCTTTTTGATCTTGATGAGTGTCTTTCGTTTCATTTTGGAAAAAATTCATTGACTCGTTAGGTGCCATGGATATATCGAAAATATCATTCATCATGCTATTAGTCATGTCTAGGTGATCTTCATTTTTAACAGTGCTGCCAGTTTCATTATTTGTCGGTCCAGTAGAATTTGGACCAGTTGAAAGAGCGCTAGCACTTGGGGCAGTAAAGTTATTTGATGATGATTTGGATTGGTGAGTTGAAATGCTAAAGTCCATAAAGTCAGATATAAGACCTAAGGGGTCAATGTCAGAAGAGGAGCTTCTGAATGGTTGATTTTGAGAAAGGTGGTTTTGATTATCATATACTTGCTTTTCAATATAACCGAATTGCAAAAGACATAATTTCCAAGGCCAAAGAATGAATTTTTTATTGTCAACCAGATGAACGAACTTGGAGATATTTGAAGTTTGGTTGTTAAGATGCTGCAAATTTGGAATAAGTTTAACCCATAAGAATTTTTCATTTGATAAGTCTACTCCAGTACTTAATCTGATCAACTTGATCAAGTTTTCACAATTTTTAGGAGGATTATAAGTAAAACTTTGTTTTTTATTCACATTGTCGTATAAATGACATCTAATCCCGGAAGGGATCAAATAAATGATAAAATTTGAGTCTAGAGCCATCGGATCATTATGATCGACTATTGAAGAGTTGAATAGCGAAAGATTACGCTTTGTCGATATTGATAATAATAAGTCACCATTAGGTAATAAGATTGGATCTATATGAATGATTGAATTGGATAAATTTTGATTGACGACTGCATGATTACCAAATAAGTGAGCAACGTTATTCAATGACAAATTATATAAGACTAGTTTTTTAATAGCCTTCAAAAAACTCAAACTAGCGTATGCAAGGTATTCATCTTTACGATCAATTGATTTGGAGTTTGGATTCGATAAATAATCCACTGGAACGTTATTGCAGAATTTAACTTCTAAACGAGGGTATTCTTTGGATAGATCCCACGGAGGGGTATAGTTGGTGTTATGCTGCTGACTCTGTTGCACCGGTTCTTGATTTTGTTCATTTTGTTGATCGTCTTCATTTTTCCACTCCTGATCTCCATTTGAATCCGCTGTATCATTTTCATACGTAAGAACAAACTGGTACAAGCATTTATTGTAGTAAGTGACTAACACACGAGGGTGATCGTACCTTATTGACAATTCCAACTCTAGTAAAGATTGATCATTTAGCTCGGTGGATGCTTTTTGGCCATACACCGTGTATGACACATTTGATAGATGTCCCAACTTATAAAAATTGGTTAGTATGCGGGATGCATTGAGACTTTCCGTCAACATTTCAAACACTGGTCTCTATTTCTGAAGGAGGTAATGTACCCGTTGGAGTTCTCCCGTTGTATTTGCTTAGAACGAGCCTGGTTGAAACTGGCGGCTAATGACAATTCGACTTTTTTTAATGGGATCTTTTAGATCTGTGAGCATGAAAAAAAAAACGCTTACACTAAAGTTAACTATAACTTATAATTTATATAGTTTATAATTTATAATTTATATAACTTATAAGTTATAATTTATATACTATACATGTTACAATTTCTGGTAGTTGAACTTATTGGCCAATACATCATCTCTGAAGTCGTTCACACCTAGCGCACTGGTATGACCCCAGGGTTTCTCTTTATTCTCTTTATCGATTGCCAGGGCAAAACAAGATAACCAACCTTCTCTGGAGTATTTTTTATTGATGGCGTCGAGAGTGTCGATATGAATAAGATGGGTGTTTAGCCCCACGTTATCCAATATAGTGGCAATCTGCAAAATCAGACCAAGACTGGTAATGAAACCAGAATCACCCAAATCCTGGTGTCTGATGATGGCTTCAGCCACTGCATCGGCGTAGGGCTTGTCCCCCTTGGTTTGTTTCAAGATAAGTTCTCTGGATATAATTCCGCCGTAGAACTCAAAGGACATTTGAGTTGCCAGCATGTTTTTCTCGGTAGTAGCAATATCGTGGAGTAGACTAGTCACGAATACAACCTCTGGTTCAAGCTCCCAATCAGGGAACTGGTCCTTGATTATGGCCACGCTGTACTGGAATACCCGAAGCGAATGGAGCAAAACCGGGGGAGGTAATTCTTCCGTGACATAATCCAAGACAAACTTGGCCAACGGTGTTGAAGGAAGACCCACCACTGGCTGGCTGGTGGGAGGTCTGAAAGCTTCAGTGGCTACTTTGACGTTTCTTGGAATTTTGGTGAATCCGTATTTCGACATTTTGTTTCAACTGTCAATTGTCAATTGTCAATTGTCTTGCTAGGGGGTTCAATTGTCAATTGTCTTGCTAGGGGTTCAATTGTCAATTGTCTTGCTAGGGGGTTCAATTGTCAATTGTCTTGCTAGGGGGTTCAAATGGGAAATGGATATAGTCTTATAAATACATTTTCGGAAGAGCAAGAAACGCCTATGAAAGGAGAATTGCTAGATATACGGTGTTTAGGATGTGGGGTGAAGCGGTAAAATCTCTTGAGATTGAGTTTGACAGCAACCGACGCATGACTTTTCTTAAACTCAGCTTAAACCTCCTTCTTATATCCTCTTATCTATACAACTGGCAAAGCTTGTTACTCTCATATACAAAGTTCGCGTGAAAAATTGTAAGGGTGCACTTCTTTTTGTTGTCTTTTTTTGATTTGAAGTAATTAAGACAACAAGTAAACAAAATAGACGGAAACTCTTTAAAGAAGTGTCATTTAGAAACCAACCAGTTATAATTGATCAAGCCATAGGAAATACAACAGCGTGAAAATGTCTGCTATCGATAATATACCCGCATCATCTGAAGAGCTTCCAATTTTGAAGGCATCTGATTTGGCCGAAGATATTCAAACCAGGATATTAGAGTTATCACAAGAAGCAACTCACACGTATTCAGTTGAAAAAGATATTGCTACATTTTTGAAGAAAGAATTGGATCAACTTTATGGACCAACTTGGCACGTTATTGTTGGGAAAAGCTTTGGATCGTATGTCACTCATGAACAAGGTTACTTTATTTATTTTTACATTGGAGAATTAGCATTTTTATTATTCAAAAGTGGATAATCCAATGCCCCTACAATACCCTTTTTAAAAATGCATGCAAAAGAAGCTCGTCACGTTTTATAATCATGATTATATACTTAATTAAGCACCTAATTTTTCGGTTTGACCACTTAATAAAGTGAAGACTGGTTTACCTAATTTATCTCTACCGTGTAAGAAATCTAATTCCATAACGAATAAATATTCTAAAATTTCTGCTTCCGACTTATTAACTAATTCACCAGCTGCAAAAGCACTACCACCAGTTGCCAAAATATCATCAACAATAACGACTTTAGAACCTTTTGGAATAACCCCTTGTTGGATTTCAAATTTATCACTACCGTATTCTTTTTGGAATTCTGCACAAATGGTTGGTCCTGGTAATTTACCCGGCTTTCTAACTGGAATAAATCCGGCATTCAAAGCCAAAGCCAAGGTGGGGCCGAAAAGAAACCCTCTACTTTCCAACCCAACAACATAATCAACCTTGGTTTCGCCGATATGTAATTGGAAGGCTTTAACTAATTTTTGAAATGATTCGGGTTGAGCAAAAATTGGTAAGAAATCTTCAAAAAGAACTCCTTCCGAAGGAAAGTTTGGGAACTGTTTTAAAGCACCTTTTAATTCTTTGGCAATTGAAGCAATCTCGGACATATTATTACTACTAGATACGTTCAGGTATTCAAAGAAACCAATGTCATCGGACCTTTTTCAATATCAATTTTTTTTTTTTTCCAATCCTCATCACAGAAAAAAAAAAAAAAAAATGGAAAGAAAGCGAGCCACATAAACGTTTTAAGAAATGGTATCACCATAACCAGGGATTTTGGCACCGCAGGCCAAGTATCTGGGGTCAGAGATACAGGTAAAGATGGGCTTTGTACTGAGCGAGTTGACTCTGACTTTGGGATGCGTTCGCCAGTCGGTAGCTTCAACGTTTCTGGGTTTCTTCGTGGTTGGATTTTTCCAACTACGGGAATGTTCAACGTTTAGTTCACGGACTTTGCAGTCTTCAATTTCAACGAAATGGGCTTGCATAAACACTTGCCCCGTGGAGTTGGCTGGAACCGTGCAAGTGTAAGCACCACTTATAGTCAAGGTTGTTTCAACAGAAAGCATATAGTCCAAAGTTGCTTTCCAGTTCCCCCCGTAATCGATAGCGTACCCAAAGTCTGCGCTACTGGTTCCACCTAAAGTAAACCCGATGTTCAAGACTAGGGACCCTCCGTCTCCGTGCTGGCTATTCAAGCACCCAGAGATTGGGATCCTGGGTCCGAGGACCGTGGTTCGTGTTCCTCCGTTGAATTCGTACCACTTATTCTTATTTTCCTTGGTGTTGGATGCTCCACTGAACATGGTCCCTCCGGTTCTGCTAGCAGTATCTAGCTTTGACGAGTGTAGAATCACCGATCCGTTTTCTTCGCAAACGATAACATTGTCACGGCTCTTGAAGTTTTCCACATCCAAGAGCCCTGCAGAACTGGCCACTTTAACTATCTTATAGTTATCTAGGGCCTTTTTGGGCACCAGTTTAAAATCTCTAATACCTCCCACTGTGTTGGCAGCTGCCCCACAAGTAAGCAAAAGGCATACGCAAACACATGCGAACTTCATCTTTACAGTGCTATCTCTCACGGCCCCCAAACGGTTCCATCCCCCTTCTTATATCCCTCGTTGTTAATGATATGCTATCATCATCATATAGTTGCAAATACTGCCCTCCAACATGTAAACCCGGCCTCAACCTGCACTTTAAATCGCTGGTACGCTGGAAACCAAAAAAAAAATCGACAACGCTCACAAAAAAAAAAAAAAATACAGGAAATAATCAAGTTAAAAAAGCGCTTGCCAATTTGAAAAGCTTTCCCCATCTGCACTCTAAAGGTTCATCTGGCCATAGATACTATACTAAAGTTTGGTGAATCATTTAATCAATCATATTTGCCATGTCTGATGCAGAAAGGAGACACAACTCTGATGATGAGAGTGGTCCTGTCAAACATGAACATCCTGATAACTCTACTCTTGAAGGAGCCTACGATATAGAGGATAGAGATGTTAATGAGCTAGATGACGACCAAGAAGAAGGAAGTTTTGAACAAGAAGATAATCAGAAAGAGTTCAACATTGGTGATAAGCGTCCATTGGACGAAGACAATGATCCATCGCTTACCAAGTCAGAATCAACCGCTTTGAATGATGATAATGAAAGGGGTGAAGGCGAAGGCAAAAATGAAGGCGAGGATGACGAGGACGATGATGAAGATGAGGACGATGATGAAGAGGACGATGATGATGTTGCATCCTCAAAAAGAAAAAGAAGAAGAGCTAATCAGTTTATTGATATTGAAGCAGAAGTTGATGATGAAGAAGAAGAAGAAATGGATGAAGATGACGAAGAAGCAGAATTGCTTAGGCAACAATTCATTTCAGATGATCGTGTGGAAACTGCCGATGGTAAAACCGACGATGGTGAAGAACACCAAGATGATCGACTTCACAGACAATTTGATCGTCGTCGTCAAGAAGCTGAAGATCAAGATGCTGAAGAATTGGCTGAAACTTTGAAACAACGTTATCGTAAAACTCATAGTGTTTATAGAGGTGATACTACTGCAAGTGGAACTGTATCTCAAAAATTATTAATGCCTTCTATTAACGATCCGGCCATCTATGCTATTAGATGTAGTCCGGGTCGTGAAAAAGATTTAGTTCGTAAATTATACGAAAAAAAGAAGACCTTAGCCAGATCAAATAAGCCTTTGGATATTTTAACTGTTTTCCAAAGAGATTCTTTCAAAGGTTATATTTATATCGAAGCTAAAAAACCTGAAGCCATTGAAAGAGCTTTGGCTGGTATGGTTAACATTTATGCTAAACAAAGACTTTTGGTTCCAGTCCGTGAATATCCTGATTTATTAAAACAAGTTAAATCTTCCGACGTGGAATTAGTTCCAGGTATCTACGTCAGAATCAGTAGAGGTAAATATAAAGGTGATTTGGCTATCGTTGATAATTTATCAGAAAATGGTTTAGATGTCCGTTGTAAGTTGGTTCCAAGATTGGATTATGGTAGAAATGATGAAATCACTAAAGATGGAAAAGTTGTCAAGTCCAAAATTAAACCCATTCCAAGATTATTTAATGAGTTGGAAGCAAGGACTTATGATGGTGAACATTTACAGCCTGGTCGTGGAAGTCGTAGTTATATATATAGGGGTGAAGAATATAATGAAGGTTTTCTTTTCAAAGATTTCAAATTACAATATATTCAAACAAAAGATGTTCATCCGAGATTAGAAGAATTGGATAGATTTCAAACTGGTAATAATGAAGAAGATGGTTTGGATCTTGCAGCAGTTGCCGCTTCTTTGAAAAATAAAAATAATAATGAAAGTGGACAAAAAAGTGCCTTCCAACCTGGTGATAAAGTGGAAATCCGTCGTGGTGAACAAGCCAAAACTGTTGGTAAAGTTTTAACTTCTTCCTTGAATGAAATTTCTATATTGGTCACTAATAGTGGGGATCCAAAATTCGTTAACCAACAACTTACAGTTCCATCAAATGATTTAAGGAAAGTTTTCGCTCCTGGTGATCATGTCAAAGTCATTGAAGGTAAGCATTCAGAAGAAACCGGTTTGGTTATCAAAATCGATAATGATTCTGTGGTTTTATTAAGTGATCAAACAAATGAAGATGTAAGAGTCTTTGCTAATTATTTGATTAAAGCTACTGATGCCTCACTGAGTACTGATGTTTTTGGTGGTATGTACGATATTAAAGATTTGGTTCAACTTAATGCTTCAACTGTTGGTGTCATTGTTAAAGCTGAAAAGGGCTTATTTGGTATTATCACTTCAGACGGTAGATTAATATCAGTAAAACCATCTGGTATTGCCGCTAAGTTGAAATTAAGCCGTAGAGAACAAATAGCTACTGATAAAAATGGTTCTACTATCAAAATTGGTGATACCGTTAGAGAGGTTTTGGGTGAAAAGAAAAGAGAAGGGGCGATCTTACATATTTATAAAAACTCCTTGTTTATTAGCTCTCATGATATTATTGAAAATCTTGGTATTTTTGTTACAAATAGTTTAAATGTTAGCACAATTGCTACAAAAGATTCTATAGTTTCTAAAAATTTGGGCCCTGATCTTAACCGAATGAATCCAAATTTGAAATTACCTCCTCCAATCGCTGCAGCAGGCCTCAAGACTGCTGTTCGTGGCCGTGATAAATTATTATATAAAGATGTTTTAGTTAACGGTGGTAACTATAAAGGTCTTATGGGTAAAGTCACTGATACTGACGATGTTGATGCAAGAATCGAACTTCATACAAAATCTAAGAAAATTAAGGTCAATAAAACCAGATTGAGTGTCTTAGTACGTGGTGAAACAATCCCTTACTTAAGATTCATAGGTGCCTCAGATGCTCCTCGTAGTGGACCACCTGGTGGTTTTGCACAACCAAGGTCTGGGCCCCCTGCTTTCTCCTCCGGTAATAGATCTTCCTGGGGTAATGGAACCCCTGCTGGTAATTCCTCAACATGGGGTGGTGCTTCTTCTTGGGGTGGTGGTAAAACCCCTGCTTACAGTTCTGGGGGAGCCTCTTCTTGGGGTGGTGGTAAGACTCCTGCTTACAGCTCGGGAGGTGCTTCTGCATGGGGTGGTAACTCTGGAAATGGTGGTGCTTCTGCCTGGGGGAAAGGTAATGGTGGTGCCTCTGCTTGGGGTAGTGGAAATGGTGGCGCTTCTGCTTGGGGAAGCGGAAATGGTGGTGCTTCTGCTTGGGGTAGTGGTGGTAACTCTACTTGGGGTAAGAATGGCGGTAACTCTACTTGGGGTAGTGGTGGAAATTCTACTTGGGGTAATAACAAGAATGGTGGATCCAGTACTTGGGGTAGTCGATAATTCTACCCAGTTGTATAATAGACCCAAAAAAACAAATATTAAGACACACAACTATCTTTTTCCCTTTTATTTTCATAATTTTATTCATTTTTTTATCCACAAAGCTTTTCGATCTTTGTTTTATCGTAATTTGACATGAACTTGTAATTATTATTCTTAAATATACGTTTTTGTATTAATCTATAAAAAAAAAGCTATATATTTTCACACCCAGGACAATTATGTAGTACTTCATGCACAAAGACATCACAGTCAATGCAAAAATCGTTTTTGCATTTAGAACACTTATATCTAGAACTAGAGAGATGTTCTAATGCCTGGTTCTCATTGTTTTTGGTGACACCTTCGGGAAATCGAAGTAAACAACCGTAACAAACTTTACTCTCGTAAGTATTTGAAACTGGTACTTCTCTGAATTCGCCGAGCGGTACTAAATGATGATATGATCTTGCAAGATGAGTTGACAAGATAAGCATTAGCCCACAAATAGGACAAATTGTTGGTAAATGACAAACCTTGTTTTTGCACTGAGGGCACTGATAACCTATGACGCCGGACGAAGCATTCATTTGATTAGGATCTGAATCATTTTTGGATTCGTTAGACCCTTGGGTCGGATGACAAGCACAGAGCTGAGGAAAATTAACTGTAACAGAAGAGTTAACCGACGTTTGTAAAGGCTGTATTTTCAGGGGAAACCCCATTTTTATTAAGGGTACTCCCTTTGGGCTATTTTGTTCTATTTCAGTTTCAATTGCTGTAATTGGCAATGGGATCACTGAATCCATAAGTAATTCTCTAAAATGGGCCTCATTCATGATTACCCCATAATAGTTACTGCTACCTGATGCAGCTACTCGATGTTTGTATTTCGAATAATTCGTTCGATTTACTATTTCTTGACAAATTGCAACTTGTGCTGATAGACCAATTACTTTCACTTTTATTTCATCTTTGACAAGATTGTCAATAGTTTTATGGATGTCACCAGGATCACTAGTAAATAATGCACCGAAAATGACTAAAATTTCTTTGGAGTTCTTGTTTTCATTAATATTACTCCCAAAGTTATATGCTAACATGGAACGAGCCATTTCAAGAGAGTTTTGTAATGATGGATCACCTTGAGGTTCAAACCTATTATGCTGGCGAGCTTTGAGCTGTCTAACCTTGTCTATGTGATACTGAGGCGATCCGTTAACTTCACTGACAAGGTTAGCAACCCCATTTCTCATCATTACAATTCCCAACTGAGATATTGGATTTTGATCAAAAAACTCAACAATAAAATCTTGTAGTAGCGATAATGTCATGGAAAATCTTGTTGGTCTCAAATCTTTTTCAATCATTATCGAGGATCCATCTATTATTACTATCAAAGTTCTGATAATTCCCCTTTGAAAAGGAGTAGATGGGTTTTTCATGATTTTTTTCTTTCTGTTTTCTATAATTGATTGAATGATAGTTTCAAGCGAACCACCTTCATCATCATCTTTCACTATATCCCATGATCTTTGGATTTCATCTTCCCAAGCATATCCACCATTAGCACCTTTCAAATCGCTAATGTTACCACTTCTAGGTTTGGCACTCGATCGCGTTCTTTTAGCCATTCCATCATCTTTCGGTCCTACTGTCGAGGCTCTTGAGCCACCAGTCGAAGTGTTTTGATTAGTACTTGGGGACTGTGTGAATTCTTCGTCGGAGTCATCCATATTGAATCGTGCTTTATCAGCAATGCAAATAACGGTACGAAGGTAAAGCTGGATTTTTCAATCTTTCTCAAAGTAATTTTTCTCGTTTTTCAGTTGCGATATCAAGTCTCAAAAGATGGATGTGAAATATTTCTACAGTAAGCTATAATAATACTAGAAATCTCTATTATACAGATTAATATACAATATTATTTACAAGGAGAGGCCTCTTCAATTCTTCTTTTCTTGTGTTCCAAACTCTCTGGCTGAACTAGAGCATCGTCGATCTTGATGATTTTGTAATTTTCAAAATCAATTTCACCAGACTCATTTACAGGATAGAATAGCTTCAAAAATAAGTCTAGATCTTTCTCTAGTATCGAATTGGACACTATTCCATCGACAAATAATTCTTGTATGTGAGGAATCTGTTGAATAAGTTCAATGTTGATCAAATCTTGAAGGAAGTACCCAGAGCCTAACTTGGGGGTGATTTCGTGCTCATTAATGCCCACGTAGTAATACTTTTCACATCTTTCAGGTCCATAGAAACTTGTGAAAGACTCCTTGGTCATGTACTGCTCGAACGAAAGATTGGGAGGGTATGTTTTATTTTCAATTTCTTTATTTTTCTTTATCTTTGGATTTGGAGCAGAATCGTTCTCTTGGATATAGAAGTTTCTTAGTAGTTGGACTGCTTCAGTCCTCAAAATTCCTCCATAACTGTTATAATTGTTTGCAACGTCTTCTCGATCGTCATTATGGATGGAAAGGACAGTTCCATTTCCTCCAAACCGGTCGTTTGCACAACCGTAAATGACTTCGCCTATACCCAATTGCTTCAAAGCCAGGGAGCACATAATACAAGGCTCAACTGTAACAAAAAGTGATACCTTAGCGAAAAAACTCTTGATGTATTCTTGATCGTGATGATATTCTTGTGGAATGTATTCTTGAAAAATCTTATCGATACCTATGAACTCGGCATGTCGAGTCCCATTCAACGATTTGTTGGTATCATTACAACCATAACTCAATATCTTGTTGGACTCTCGGGAATAAAACACACAAGCAACTGGGGTCTCGTTGGTCATCAAGGCTCTATACGCAACGTAAAGAGCCAATGCACTTATCTTAAATTCAAGAATCAAATCACTCATCCCCCAAAAATACAAGCACTAGCCCTGTGCTGATTGTATAGAATCTCAGTGGATAGTTTTGTTGATCTCCGATGTTTCAGGAAAAGTGGTGTTACTACTCCAGATCGGATTTCTTATTTGATTTTTCACTGAACCTGATTTTTTTTGCTTTTCGTTCTTTTCATTTCACGTTCAGTCGATTGTGCAAAGAAAACAAGGAGGGCCATCTGTATTACCGATTGACAAGATGTCTGATCTACACAAAGCATTCTTGAAAAGAGTGAAGCATCAGGAAAAGTCGCTAGGTTTATCTCCTTTATTGGAAGATTCAATTGAGTCTCCAACAAGTTTGAATCGCGTGGACTCTGACAGTCAACTGGTTACGAACAGCTCAGAAGACGACGTCAAATCGAAAGATGAGATATTAATGGATGCTTATCATCAGGCGATCCGTCTGACCTTTCCGATTATTGAAACGTACGAATGTTCGAATCTTGGGATTTCCTTCCAGACATACTACAGACCACCAAGCAATTCAAAGGCTCCTATATTTGTTTGTCATCACGGTGCTGGTTCATCCTCGATGACCTTTTGCAAACTTGCACCGAGCCTAACCGAAACCTATGATGTTGGTAAGAATGGGGAATCACCAGGATTATTCGTATTTGATATGAGGGGCCATGGTAATTCTACCATGCCAAAAATTGTCGATTTCTCTTTAGGATCACTAACAAAAGATTTTGAATTCATATTGAAAAAGTTTCTTTCGAGTCACAATCCTAAGAACTCTATATATTTGATAGGTCACTCGCTTGGTGGCTCAATTTTAACTAATTACATCATTGAAAATCCAGAATGTGAATATAATTTTAAAGGATTGGTTATGATAGATATTGTGGAGGAAACTGCAGTTAAGTCATTGATTGCAATGCCTCAGTATATTAAAAACCAACCAAAGTCGTTTCCAAATTATCAAAGGGCCATTGATTGGCATGTTAAACACGTAAGATTAATTAATAACATTGAGTCAGCTAAGATAAGTGTTCCCGATTTGTTGATGAAAACACAGAGAGGCATAGTGTGGAAAACCAACTTGGAACAAACTCAGCCATTCTGGGAATCATGGTTCACAGGGTTATCAGAGAACTTCGTCAAATGTAATACCAAAAATAAGGTTGCAAAATTGCTAATCTTATCAGGACATGAAACTTTAGATACTAATCTAATCATAGGTCAAATGCAAGGAAAATACCAGTTGATAGTATTCAATAATAGTGCTCACACAGGGCATTTTGTTCAAGAAGATATACCCAAGCAGCTTTCGATTAGTCTTATAGACTTTGCAAAAAGAAATGATTCGCCTGCAGAATACATGAAGCAAGAACTTGGATTTATTCCAAAATGGGGTGGGAAAATTAATAAATAATAATTATGTATATTCTAGATACAAAAGTATATATAGAATGGGTCATTTAATCAACACTAATATTACTTTCTTTAATTTCTTTCTCTCTTGCATTAATTTTTTCTACGATTTGGTCAATCTTTTTACTTGCAAATGGGAATCTCGGATTAATCAAGAACGGTCTCAAATCAAATCTATTATCATCTGGAGAGTATTGTTCTGCATGGTAAGCTGGAGTCATTGTAGTCATTTTATGTCTATTAATAGCATAGAAAAACCAAAATCTTTTAACTTTTTCAGCAATGACTTCAGCAGAATAGTTATATGGTGCTTGAGACCACTCGTGATATAATTTTATAAACATTCCTAAAGGACCACACTTATCCACTTTTCTCAATCTACCAAACCTTGATAATTCATCATAAGTCATACCCATATCGATTTCATCACTTTGAACATAATTTTCAGTGATTGGTTCTAATTCGGCAGTTGGAGTAGCGGTCAAGAATTCTTCTAAGTTCGGTATGTCAAAACTGGTTTTTGCCCAAGCTATAAATGCTTTCAAATCGGTTTTTGAAATCCCACCAATTGGATTGATATCAGCACTAGAACAATCATATTTTGTCAAGTAACCTCTCAAACATTCGTCAACATTAGCGCTACCGAGGACGAGTAAACCACCTTGCTTATTTCTTGTCCAAGGTAATAATTGAGCAAATAAGTAACTTAATACCATTCTCAATCTAGCTTGGATATTTTGTAATGCTAAATTTTCCGTCACTGAACCCCCAAAAATTTTGAAAATTGGTTTTTTACCTGTTGCAACTTCAAAAACATTAACTACTGCTGTAACTAAAGTATCCATATTCATATCTATGTGATAGGAGCCGACTTTTTCCGAGAGTTCTTTAGCTCTAGATCTTGTATCAATAGAAGAATTCACAGTACCCATGAAACTAGTATAAAATAATCTAGCAGCAACTTCTTGGGGAGTCTTTGGAATGAAGTCACTTTCATGGGTAAGCATTTGAACATCCTTTAAAACTTGTTCATTGCCGTCTTTAATTGATGCAACGACCAATCTACACATTGAATGGACAATGACTGCAGTTGCACATGAATCAATACCACCACTAAGCGGGAGGAAGAACCCGGCGCATTTTGATCTTCTCAAGTAATCCCAAAGCCAGCAAGCAGGACCCAATGCGATTTCTTCTTGTGGAAGATGGTATTTGATAGGAATAGGTTTTGTTGGTTTGACCAAAGGATCAAATACAAGTGAGCTTGGGGATAATTCAATTTTAGTTTCGATACTATGGTAAGTTTGAGTTTTATTAACAGTTTGTATAGCTGCTGATTTTTGATTTCTGTAAGATCTAACATCATCTAAGTCGATAGTTGCAGAAACAACTTCGACATCAGAAAGAGAAAATTGACTTCCCTGTGCAACCATTTCACCATTAACTACGATACAAGCACAGCCATCATAGTATAATCTATCACCATCACATCCCTTTTGATTAGCATAAAGGTAAACACCCCCACATTTTTTGGTAGCTTCAGTAATTAATTGTAATCTGGTATCTAATTTTCGTAACTCATGATGAGAACCAGATGAATTAGTAAAGATTTCAACCCCATCTAAAGCCATAGTGATATGAGGAGATTCAGGAGTGAATAATTCTTCACAAGTTTCTGGACCTAATTTAGTTTCCAAAGTCTCAATAACACAATCACCAATAACAACTCTGGATTGACCAGTTATTTCTTGAATTAATTTAGGTAATTGGTAAAGTTCATGATAATACTTTCTATTCCAGGGAGTGAAGTATCTCATTTCTCTATAGTTCCCATCGTTAGCTAAATATATTTTTGGTCTAATAAGTAAAATCTCTCCGTTATAAGATATGACTCTACAATTATATTTAATTGATTTATGAATGATTGGAATACCGATATCTAAAACAATTCCCTGGGTATCTGGATGTTTCAATATTTCACCATAAACCTCCCAAGAATGATCATAAACATCATTTTCTGAAAAATGATCCAAACAACCATACCCACATACTTCTAATTCCGGACCTACTCTTAATTGAGCACCTTGTTTTTTAGCATCAATAATACTTTGGATGATACGATCACGATTACCTTCAAAATCCAATGCCCATTGGTTAAGGTTACAAGTGGCAATAGTAACGTAATGGCCCATTCTCGATCGTATTTGCTGCTGTCAATTGATAAGGAAGCTTGAGGTCTTCAGGTTTTTCGCTCAGTAAATTTATTTTATTTTTTTTTTGGCGATTCTCAGGAAAAGGAAGTCCTCTGTAGGTTCCAATATCTACAAATTTTGTTATAACCAAAGCTTCAATTGAATATACATAGAGAATTGAACATATTTAAATATAAAGACACGTACACATAGATCAGAGATCTAACTTAGGATCGAGCCCACTGGCAATATTACATTGGTGCATCAATCTTCTTTCGTCTTTACCATTATTAACACCCTTCAATTCACCAGTAACACTGTGCCAAACACCACGATTGTAGAAAATAACCAAATCACCCTGGGACCAGCTATGGGCTAAGACTCTTGAAGGACTGATACAAGGTCTCATTAATTGGTGAGCTTTTTCACGAGCTTCTTTTAATTCAAAAGTTTTTGTTTCACCGTTTGGTAATTTTGTATGTAATTTATGGAGACAACAACCGTGAAGTTGTAAATGGTTCTTCTTAGTGACTGGATTTGTCCAAACCATTGGTAATTTTTTAATTTTTGATACTTCCCATTCAGGTAATTTATCAAATGGCATTTCTTTACCTTCAGAAACCATGGTTAAACCATCTTTGGTAGCACCTGCTGGTGAAATAAAAATATAAGGATGTGGAGCATACTCAACGGTAGTATTGAGGGCAAATTGTTTATCTTCATCTGATAATCCTGCAAAAGCTTGTTCTCCACTAACGAAACAGGTAGCACCTTGAGTGAGTTGTAATTTATCACCAGTTCCATCATCATAGTCAATTGTTTGAACTTGAGTAGATGGAGGAACCTTGATTCCCAATAAAGTGGTTACCACTGGAGGTGCCAAGTCATACAAGGCAGAATCAATATGCCATCTATAAAATCTTGTTCTATTTTCTTCAATAATTTGTTTTTGAGTTAATGGATCATGATGGAAAGTAGTATGAGATGGATGAGTTAAAGAAATGGTTTCCCCATTCTCATTACCTTGTTCATCAGCTTCGAAAGTTCCTTGACCCAAGATTTGAACTTGAGGTTGTGATTTAACCGTAGTACCATCTTTTCTTAAAACCGATTGGGCATGTCTAAACTCTTTACCATGACCATAACCAGCAAACCCAGAATCTTCTTTTGGTTCAGGGATAGTTGGATCAAATCTTTTGGTTAAAAGGTATTGTGATTTTGGTGCTAAGTCTGCTTGACCTGGAATAACTATAACCATATAAGTATGAACAGCTTCATATAATTTTTTAAAATCATCATCATTTAAATTAGCAGGATCATTATTAGCATAAGATGGTAAACCAATGACACAGCCAAATGGTTTATCTTCCAATGGAGTAACACTAAGAGTATCAGTTTTATGAACCATATTGATATAGAGCAATATTTCTAATGCAATTAAAAGTAGTTTGGGTTTCCCCGTACTTTATATACTTTCCCTGATAAGGTGTTCTCCGGTGTGCCGGTGGAGCCCCGACGGCCTTCCCGCATCAATCGGTTCCCCGATAAGCAGATCTGGTCACGTGCTTGGTGTTTGGGTCTTTGGTTTACATATACATAGTGGACTGATTCTATGATTTACAGGCAATTGGGAAGACTAATGCAAATATATTAAAGATAAGTAATTAAAAGCCCAAGTAAAAATCTTTTTGTAAGTACATCCATGTGAAACTGACAGTACTGACAATTAATGGACCGGCCAAACCTTTACCAAAGTTAACTGTACGGTAAAACAACCATTCACTGATGAAATGGCCACCAGCAACGACAAAAGTCCACATAACCATTTCATAAACCAGTTTATTACCAATTAAGTGATATGCACCGTAATATCTAACGATTGAGGTTATGAAGGTCCAAGTACCAAAAGTTCTGGCACTCAAATCGGTGACTTGGCCCGGTTTGGAATTGTCATAAACTTTTTTAGTAAGGGCCAAGTCTTTGCTTTGGTAGGTTTGAACAGAGTTGAAAATCGAGACTACCGAGATGAAGAGTAACCAGTGTGGTAAGTAACCACCTTGGGGGGTTGTTCTTGGTAAGTACGAGACCAAAGTGGAAAGAATTGACATTGTAGGGCTCTTGGGTTAGTTGAAAAGAAGTGCTTCTACGAGGTTTTTAAGACTTTTTCGTTCGCTTTTTAGTTTTTTTGACTTCTTGACATGGGTTGACTTTTACATTTTTTACGAATGAAACTTTTAAACGACAATTAATACATTGATAAAACCATTATAAACCCATAAAATGAAATAAAATAAATGTGAAAAACAAACTATATATATTCAAAAACTAAATTCTATATTATACAAGGATACATTTTTGAAATTAAATAATTTATTCTTCATCTTCTTCATCACCTTCGGCAACAGAGTAGAATTGTAATTTGTATTGGTTTTGTTTAACAGAAACAAATCTGATCCAGTCTCTGATTTGGTTTTTCTTCAAAAATCTCTTGGTTAAGTATTTTAAGTATTTACCAGAGAATTTGGTAGAAGAAACAATAACAACCTTGTTACCTTCTTCGGTAACGGTGATGTTGTCACCTAAGTTACCAACAATGTTTTCAACTTTGATGTGTTCAACTAAGTATTTGACATAAGCTTCTTGGTCAAAAACATCGTTTTCAACTGGAGCAGAAGTGTCAACAACAAATTTTTTAGCAGAAGCAGATTGTTTAGTGGTCTATAATAAAGGGAAATCCCATGTTAGCCTACCGCACTATTATCACAATATACACAGTGGTATAGTAGATAAAGACAGCATAGCCCAGGGACGGGTTTGCGATTATGTGAGACATCCTAAAGGATACCTTGAATTGTCGATATTAAAAAAAAAAAAGAAAAATGATTCATTCATTTACCGATATAACCAGTAAGTAGAATCAAAAAAAATCAAAAAAATCAAAAAAATCAAAAAAAAAAATAAATAACAAAACACACAGTAAATCAAACCCGTACAAAGGGAAAGCTTGTCAAATTATCCACGTTTGACATCAAGAATACATACGATTGGAGCCATTTTTAATGTTGGTATCTTTGATATAGAAGTAAAAGAAGTAGCAAACTTTTGATAAATTTTTCAATCCTCTTGTATGAAAAGCATTGCGAAGTGAAAAAAACAAAAAGAACAGGAAAACTATTTTGGTATTTGCACGAGATCTTCTCAAAAACTGACTGAAATAAAGCAGTCTCGTTAGGGCGCGTGCCCTTTGGTCGAGTGCACGCCACGTGCCCACGAGATGACTCAAAAGAACATGCTGCAAAAATCCGCGAGTCACAGTTGGGCAAATGAGTCTCAGGATGACTAAAGTCATATATCATCCTGGACATATAAATCCATCTATGTAATAAGATGATGAGCCAGTTAGAAAACCCATACCTGGCAAGCAGCCTATGCCATTAACTTGACCATTGTTATTTCTGCTTACGTAGCATAGGATACAGGTATAGGCATAGATGAAACAATCGAAGAAAATTATAAGAGTTTATATGTAAGGTTGTAATTAATTGTTTCATAGCCCAAGCCAGATTAATGAATATTCAGTTGTTACTGATTCATCAAGGAACATTCTCACTGCTAATCGAATATTCGTAGTGCCATGGTCCCATGACTCAAATTTGAGTCACTTCGAGTAGTGCAACTCTCATGAAATACTCCGCTAGCTCGATAAGAGGGTTTTTGCAATTCCCTGTCATTTTTGGCACTAATAAAATGTTGGCCAACCAAATAGTTGTGATATAAGATAATTTCCCAAAATTGAACAAAACAATAGCTTTTATAATTCACTTTTAATTCCGTTCTTTTCGATCTTGCTTTCCCTTTATATATTTGACTTGATTCCCAACCGTTCTTCTTTAATACCAATTTCTTTTCTTTTCTTTTTTTCATTTTTTCATTCTTTAATTAATATGGTAAGTAGGATTAGTACAAGACAATTGAGCTCTTTTCTGAAAAGGCTACTTTCTCCATCTAAAACAGATGTTCTTAAAGCTCAACAATCTTTTGTTCATCATGAAGTTGATTCTAAAATAAGTTTTAATATCACAACATCTGATGAACCAAAAATGCCTCGTATGAAACCTCTTGATATGGCATTAACAACTAATAAACCAATTAATACTTGGACAAAAGAAGAAATTAAAGAGATTTATAATACACCACTTATGGAACTTGTATACCAAGCACAAGTTCAACATAGAAAACATCATAATCCTCAAGAAGTTCAATTATGTACTTTATTGTCAATTAAGACTGGTGGATGTACTGAAGATTGCAAATATTGTGCACAATCCAATAGATACTCAACTGATGTTAAAGCAGAAAAAATGATTAAAATCGAAGAAGTTTTGCAAAAGGCTCAACAAGCTAAAGATAATGGTTCAACAAGATTCTGTATGGGTGCTGCTTGGAGAGATATGACTGGTCGTAAATCAGGATTGAAAAGAATTGGAGAAATGGTTACCAAAATTAATGAAATGGGAATGGAAACTTGTGTTACTTTAGGTATGGTTAATGAAGAACAAGCAGCTGATTTGAAAAAAGCTGGTTTAACTGCTTATAATCATAATATTGATACTTCAAGAGAACATTATCCAAATGTCATTTCTACAAGATCTTATGACGAAAGATTGAAAACAATCGATAATGTTCAAAAAGCTGGTATTAAAGCTTGTACTGGTGGTATTTTAGGCTTAGGTGAAACTGAAGATGATCATATTGGTTTCTTATACACCTTATCAACAATGGAAAAACATCCAGAATCTTTACCAATAAATAGATTAGTCCCAATTAAAGGTACTCCAATGGAACAAGAACTTTCAAAATTACCAAAAGATTCAAATAGAAAATTAAAATTTGAAAATATCTTAAAAACAATTGCAACCGCGAGATTAATTATGCCTTCTTCAATCATTCGTCTTGCTGCAGGTAGATATACCATGAAAGAACATGAACAATTCTTATGTTTCATGGCTGGTTGTAATGCCATCTTCACTGGTGAAAAAATGTTAACGACCATGTGTAATGGCTGGGATGAAGATATCGAATTACTTCGTAAATGGGGCTTAAAACCTATGAAGAGTTTCAGAAAGGAAAAGTTACCAACTACTAAAATTGACGATCAACCATCTCCACAACCTCAACCTGCCTCTGCTAATGTTTGATCATCTTTTATTTATATAATTTTATAATGGATCAATGACAATAATATTTCTTAGTATAGTTCGTGGTAGTTTATTTCAATGATTTTCAACGACAAGTTTATCTCGATTTAATACTTACAAAAAATTAGGCATCGACTGTAAAAATAAATGGTCCCTAGCAGGATCGAACTGCTGATCTTGGCGTTATTAGCACCACGCCTTAACCAACTGGGCCAAGGGACCAATTTATATTCAAAAAATAATGATGGCTGTTTATGTTCGAGAACTTTTTAATGCAATAAAAAGTCTTTTAAAAAAATATACACCCCCTTTTATATATTTCTATCTACTCTCTTTATCTCTATATAGTTAATATTTAGATCAAATATATAAAAATATACGTGAAAAAAAAAAAAAAAAAAATTTGCTTTTTCTCTTCAATAAACACATTAGCTTGTTTTCTGAAGTCCCCTATTGATACTAGAAGAGCTATTGAAGCGCGATTGGAAAAATGGGCTTGAAAATGTCCTGTCAGCAATGTGAGACAAAATCTCGGTTTTTTTTTTTTTTCTCTTTTTAGTAACTGTAAAATTTTGCAACAATTTTTTTAACAATATTTCGTTTCTTTCTTCTGATCCAGTCGAGCTTGCGGTGGGGTCTTTCCTTGCTTATGGGCTACAAGTGACCTTGCCCATCTGAAAATGATTTACTAGTTTTTTCTCGAACTTTTCAATTTTTCAACAAAATTACATATTATAAACATAGTAGAAATACGTTAATTACTTATTTAACTATTTACTTTTGAATGGAAAACTTTGATGAGCTCATCAATAGCTTTTCTTTCATTTATGAAAGCCATGGCAGCTTTTGTTGCAGCCTTTTTCTTAGATTTATCATAACCAATCGCAACAATGAAATTATCAATTGATAACTCTGATCTGAAACCATGTTCTTCGTCAGGCTTAGTAGAATACTTAGGGGTACTTCTAATGCGGTGACCTAATAAAGCATATAACTCGTTCTTTGCATTTGATTTAAATTCATCCTGGTCCTTATTTATTATGGGGAAAAAAGTTGATTTGATTTCGGAATTGGAATTGTTAACAGGAGGAATATCGGATGAGATGGGTTTATCATTTTGTAAAGAAGGGGCAGCAGGATCTGAACTTTTAATAACTGATTGAGCACGATCAGTATTTAATCTTATTTGAATATATTTTTCTAAGAGTTTTTTATTCTTTAATGCTTTCATTGCAGCTCTTAATCCGGCTTCTTTTAGACCGGGAGCAACACCTTCACCCAAAATATCATCAGCCATGGTACATCGTATTACGAAAGGTTTGAGGGCACCGTCACCAGTTTGAATAACAGAATATTGAGGATGAGAAGCTGCGGTACCAATCAAAGAATATAATTCGGATTTTGCATCTTTATTAATTTGCTCGACTTTTTTCAATTGACGATCAAATTTGCGTAATTTGGAATCCATTAATTTTATTAACCAATCCTTAATCTCACTTAATTCGAATCCGTGTTCAATAGTTAAAGCACCAATATAAGCTTCAAAAATATCAGCAAAAATCTTAAGTCTTCCTTGTCTGAGGAATTGATCGTGAATATTACTTTTCAATTTTTTATCAAAACCATACATGATTGAAAACTCTGTTAATACAGCATTATTAACGAGAGAAGATCTAATTTTAGACATGTCACCTTCCGAAGCATCAGGAAATCTATCATAAATGATTAAAGTAACCAAATTATTCAATACCGAATCACCCAAGAATTCTAATCGTTCATTATGAGAATTTATAACCTCCGATTGATTGAGATATGATTTATTATTAACTGTTGATTTATGGATGAAGACTCTTCCGTATAAAAGAGGACTTTTAATGATGGGGAGAGAAGGAAATGAGGAAGGTTGACTAACTGGAGGCGAAACAGCTGACGATACTGGAGAATCATCATCATCACTTCCCGAGGAAGAAGAAGTAGTAGAAGATGATACAGAAGCAGACACAGGTCTAGAGTTAGAGTCCGGACTCGAACTAGAACTTGAGACCAGATTTTTTCTTGAAGTATCAATTTCAACTGATTCATTTAGGATTTGATCAAATATCGGAATTTTCCCATCTTTATAAGAAGTTTTCAATTTTGCAGCTAATTGAATTAAATGATTTTGTTGAATTGAAAGCCTAGTATTTTGATCTATATTTGAACACTCATTCAATTCACTTAATTGGTAGATATCAGGAGCCTCATCGATAATAAGTTTAATTTGTCTTTGAAGTACTCTTGCAGCATATTCTAATTTAGAAGCAACAACGTAACCAAACGAAGATAATGGGTCATTATTAGTAGGTTCAGAATTGAAAGAACCAATGGTATCATTGGTAGAAGATGCTAGTTTCATTTTTTTGGTAGAATGACTATCTATACTATTACTATTGTTATTACCAAAATTAGTTTGAGCTTGAATCATATCAGATTCAGACCCGGTACGAGTTGATTGATTTTTCCTTTTACCTTTAGGCTTTTTCTCAAGAGTGCTAGAATCAGTATTACTAGCTGACTTCAAGCTTTCTATAAAATCGCTAAAGTTTCCGTTACTCATCTTTACTCCCTATATATATACAATCATATATTGTAAAGAATTCCTCTCTTCACTAGCATGAACTTTCCAAAGCTTAAGCCAGAATACAAAGAGGGCGGTTGAGTGATTTTTTTTTGCTCCCTTGAGAACTTCGTTACTCCTCTGAACGACGTGAAATTCTCTTTCTGAATTGATTAGATCGTTGTACAACCTGCTAATGCTTTCTTTAAAGGTCTTTTGGAGTCTTCTCATCAGGAAAAATGCGCTAATTTTCTCTTCGCTTTTTTTTGTTTTTTTTTTTTGTTTTGTATGGCAGAATTATGTCTTTGTATGGCAGAATTACGTCTCTGGTGCATCCTTTCATGGTGATTGAACAAAAAGCCTCGAGCAGGGCATCAACACGAATCGTGGACAGAAGGGCTATTTTAAGCAATTGACATCATTGAAAACTCGCTGACACCAAACTAACTATGAGTGATTTATGGCTGGGATTCTTTGAGTGATTTTTTCGTTGGTTTAAGTAATTGGAACTGCCCTTTTTCTATTGTTTGGACCAAAGTGAATGTGAATTCTCTTCAGCACTCGCTGTGCTGCCTCCGCATGGTAGATCTCTACAACGTTCTCTTGAGGGAATTATTCACTGGTTTGGATATCCCCAGAGTTATGTTTGCAATCATTCTATAAACCGGGTCGTTCCAGGACCAAAAAGCATTCAGAGGAAAGACAAATTTTTCAAATGTTGAAATATCAAAGTCAGCTTTAAGCATCTTTGGAGAAACTAAACATTTAGCCAGAGAGCAGGATTAAGTTAGTCAACAATGAGAATAAGCTTGTCACTTTTCGGTGGTGGCTTACGTAGCTGCTTACGTGGAGCCAGTGTCAATAGAATATCCACCACGACCCCAATACTTAATGCATTTAGATCATATTCCAACGCAGCACCAGCAGCTAAACCTTCGGGACTTCCGATAGAAAACCGTAATACTGCCAAACATATTTTATCCAGAAAGACCTTTTTGGTTGATTATTATAAATATTTAAATGATAATAATGAAATTTTATTATACGTTCATCATAACAATATTCCTAAAAATGATAATCTTAAAATAAGATCCGATTTGAAAAAAATAGGTGCCAAGTTATGTATGATTAGAAATAACCTTTACGAAGTCTATTTGAGATCAGAAAAGGAAGCTGATCCAGCCGATAAGCTCACTAGTATCAAGAATAAAAAAGTTAAACATCCATTGGCACCTTTATTAACTGGTCCAACTGCTGTAATTACCATTCCTGAATGTGATCCAAAAGTTGTTGAACAAGTTTTGAAGATTTTAAAATTCGCTCAAGAAAGATTATTCTTGGTTGGTGCTAAAGTTGAATCGAAAGTATTTGATATCGATGATGTTAATGCTTTTAAATCTTTACCTAATAAATCAGAATTACAAGGTCAATTAGCTGGTTTATTAAGTGTTTTGGGTGGTGCTGGTTTAGTTAGAACTTTAGAAGCTTCGGGTAATGTTTTATACTTGACCATGGAAGAGCGTAGAAAAGATCTTGATCCAAATGAAAATAAGGATGATTAGTTGTCGTGTAAATACTTTATAAATTGTATATAATTCTATTTCATTAATGTTATCTGTATTGGTAGACCCATACACCAAAGGGTTTTGGTCAAAAAAAAAAAAAATTACTGAAAAATTTAAAGCTCATCTCCAGATCTCCATCACTTTATTGAATCCAATTACTACCGACCATGTCGAATGAAGCTCCAGCTGTGCCATCTTTAGCAGGTGGTGCCTCGACCAAAGACAAAGAAACTCAATTAAGGGAACAGCAAGAAGCCGAATCGAAAAGAAAAGCATACAGAGAAAAGCAAGAAGCTAAAAGAAAATCGGTTAAATTTGATGATAAAGATCAACCAGAACTTAGTACGAAACAACAAGGTAAAAAGGCCAAAAAAGAAAAAGTTGAATTGCCTCGTAAAAGATTCTATAGACAAAGAGCACATTCCAATCCCTTTTCAGATCATCGTTTAGAATACCCTCGTAGTCCAGATTCAATGGACTGGTCCAAATTTTATCCAAAACATTTTGATTCAGAACAAGGTCAAATGAATAAAAAAGTTGAAATTGCCGATATTGGATGTGGATATGGTGGATTGCTTATAAACTTAGCCAAAGAATTCCCACAACTGTTATGTTTAGGTATGGAAATTAGAGTTCAAGTGACTCAATACGTTGAAGATAGAATCATTGCATTAAGAGAAAAATATGCTAAAGATAAAATTTCAAATTATCAAAATATAGCAGTATTAAGAGGTAATGCAATGAAATTTTTACCTAATTTTTTTGAAAAAGGACAATTACTGAAGATGTTTTTCTGTTTTCCTGATCCTCATTTTAAACAAAGAAAACATAAAGCCAGAATCATCACAAATACTTTATTATCAGAATATGCATATGTTTTAAAAGAAGGAGGGGTTGTTTATACTATTACTGATGTTGAAGATTTACATAATTGGATGGTTCAACATTTAAATGACCATCCATTATTTAAAAGATTAGATGAAAATTGGGAAAAACAGGATAAATGTGTTGAATTAATGTGGAATTCAACTGAAGAAGGTCAAAAAGTTACTCGTAATAAAGGTTCTAAATGGATTGCTTGTTATGAAAGGCTTCCAACTCCTGAAGATTGTGATTGAAACAAAAAAGATAAAGATAATTAATAAATTGTATAATAGAAGTATTTAATTTACGTTTCAAATAATAAAGTGCAAAATGACTCTTGTATTAGTAGTAATAACATATTATGATAATAGAAATAGAGGCAAGATTGTAAATAAATTACATATAATGAATAAAAACAACAAGAATAAAATAATCATTGGTAAGATACCAATCAAGATAACTGATGTGAATTTGGGCGCAAATTCATTTCAGGAGAATCGAGAGAAAGGAAGAAAATAAAAAGTATTCGCAGAATCAGCCATCTTACAAAGAAGTTGGAATTTGAGCTTCTTCACCTTTAGCTCTGGCTTCGTCAATGATTTCTTCTAAACCGGAACCAGAAGCAGAAGATTCTGGGTTAACGGATGGAACTTCTGGGAATTTAGAAGCACCGGTGGTAGTGGCAGTAGAAGGTTCAGTTTCAATACCTGGGTAAGAAGGAGATTTATCGGAACCAACAGTAGAACCAGCGGTTCTGGTTGGAATTTTAGAAGAAATAAAAGCACCAACTGGACCGGTTTTTTTAACTAAAGCATCGAAATGAGGAGCAGCTTTTTCTTGGGCCAATTGGGTGTATTCAGAAGATTTTTCTTTGGCGATTTTAGTGTATTGAGCAACGGCAGCATCAATTTCTTTCTTATTTCTAGTGTAAATGGCTGGACCAGTAAAGGCTAAAACAACAGCAATACTAATCAAGGTGTATAACGAGAACCAAGAAGTGACTTTATACAAGACATAAGAGATACCGGCGGCTTTCAAAGTGGTTTCAATGTCATGTGCATAAACAATTTTTTGGAATTGTCCTTCAATTTCTTCATTAAAGTTAGCAAGGTGAGGTAAAATGTCGTTATTAATGTATTTAGCATAAGATTTGGTAGATCCCTTATATTTAGTTACAAAACCTTGACCAGTGACAACCTTACCGGCGTATTCGGCAGCAGCAGAGGCTATAATAGTTCTAGTTAGTAGATGTTGCAATAAGAAGCACGAGACTTAAACTGAAGGGAGGAAAAAAAAAGAAAAGGATCGAAAAAAAAAAAAAGACGAGCCCTCGCCAGAAAGATCTTCCGTAATTATAAAACAGCAAAACATAATGCAATTGGCTGTCCCAACCATAGTAGAAAACCCTTTGACGGGAGGTGTAGACCAGATGGGATCATCTGCTCGATTGGAAGAGTGCACCGAGAAGAATTGTGTGAGACCGAGGCAAAAAAGTGGCGGTGGCGAGATAATGGCCAGATAACGATCGCCAGTTGCGAGGGGCCAACCTCTCATCATTGACAACCAGGAGAGTGGACAAGGGTAGAGCAAAGATCGGTAGAGGAATGTTGTCGGAGAAGAATGGATCAGACTGGATCAGACTGGATCAGACTGAATCACAAGAGGAGTCCAGAAAAGGGAGAATGGCCAGAAAGGGGAAGAGCTGAGTCAGAGAAGGGTTTGATCAAGAGGATCAGGGGAGTCAACGTACTTGATTTTCAACAATCAAGCAGAGTGGACGCCTGAATCAATTGATCAACGATTCGATTTTTCAGTTTTTCTCCAGTAGTTATGGCAATTGCCAGCAATAGAAAATACATACCTAATAAACCAATGTAGGCCAAATGGAAGAAGATATTGAACAAGTTTACCTTTTTGAAAACAACCAAGGCCAAAACAATGGAACCAAAAACCTTACCGGTCTTTACTGGATCTTTCCAGGTGAGCAATTCACAAGGTGAGTGTTGAGAAACAGCTTGGGTAACTGGAGTGACTGGGCTTTCGCCGTTAACTGGAGCAGACATTATGGAATAAATAACAAGGGGTAAACGGTTCTAATCAATTGGACCTGAGTAAACAAAAGAATTAACGATTGTTGAATATCAATTAACTCTTAATTAAAACCAAATGGAAAAGAAGTAATTAAAGGAAAAGGAGATGAAAGGTTTTTTTTTTAAAAAAAAGTGAAAAAGTACAAATTTTTATCAAAGGAATGAAATTTTCTCAATTTTGTTCACTTTTTTGTTCATTTTTTTTTTTTTTATTATTAGTTTTTTTTTTTTTTTGATTTTTTTGACGAATGGAATTAAACAATATTATGGCAACAGCAAAAGAACAGATTGTTAAGCAAAGGAAGCGATTTATTACTAATTGTGTATGTAAGGGCTATGTATTAGTAGGTTTGTTAGATGAGCAGACTGGATCAATTGGAGCTCAGAGCTGAGAACAGAGGTTCTCACTCGACCACAAGATCAGTTACTGCTATTGGATAACTCGTTTGATAGTTTACACGTATAGCGATAACTGGCAAGGATATCCTGATAGCGGTTTAACTGAGTTCCCGGTTGAGTTGCAACAGCGTTTAGAAAAGTTGCAGCAGTTTTGGGATGAGTTGCAGCCTGATTTGAAATTTCAGATGATCTGCTCATGTTTTGCTCTTTACTGTTGCTATATAAGTTAACCATCACTCGTTGGTAGTCAGTGACTCCTTTTGTTCCAATTAGCTCTTTTAACCAAAATTTATGTAGCTTGAGCCATTTGACCACTATTGCTTCGTACAATAGTTTGTCGTTGTCGATTATTTGGAGTGCTGATGTCATATCGGTGATCTGCAATGCTGCTAATAACCAGTCGACTTTATCGAGGATTTCTGTTTTCAAGGCAAGTAGGTATTCTTTGGTAATTTTTTGTCTTTTCTCCCATCTTTTGATGAAGCTTTCATAGGTATACGTAGTAGAGGTGATGCCATTGAATATAGGGTGTTGGACGGCCAGTGGCTGGCTGAAAACCCGGTACCAGAGATGGCTCATGTCTAGTTGGGTGCGTACAAACTTTGCAATATCCTGAATATATTGGTTAATTCCATTTTTGATGAGATTTAGTTGTTTAATTATACTCTGGAGCAAGTTGGTTTGTTCGGTTCTGATCTGTTCTTGTTGGTTATCGGAGGACACCTTCATTGTAAGAGTTTCGGGCTCGATGCTCTCTCCATATGCTTCTTCTTTACCAATGACTAGATCGATCTTTTGATTGTCGAATTGCTTATCAAATTCCTCGGACTGAGTCCAATCTTCAACTACCGCTTGTTTATTTACTGCTTCAAGTATCTTGTTGACCTTAATTAAAGCCAATTGAACTTCAAATACTTCGAAGCTGATCATCTTGCCCCTATCGTGATACTTCATATCTTCTATGGCGTTAATAAGTTGCTTTAGCCAACTCCTATAAGCAAACATTCTTTCGATCGGGTATTCAACAATCCTACTGAATTCTGCCGTTTGTCCAATTTTGTAAAGAAGTCTTTTCTTAAACTGACTTTTGGCCGTCATTGATATAATACTTTGCTTGTAGTTCTCATGAATAAATATGGTGTCGTTAAGTAGAGTACCTATTTTGATCCCCCAGTTTTCATTCTCTTGTATTCTCTTTTGAAATCGGTACTGGTGGCCCAAAATCGTCCTCATGTCTTGTAAAAACAATTTGTCAAATCGTATCTGTTCTTTTTCTCTAACTTCATTCGAGATCAAATTTTGAAGCTCTTGAAAATCTCTTCTTAAGTTCTCATAGTATTCCCGCTCTGAGGTTATAAATTGACTAATAAGTAAAGAAATCTTACTCGACTGGGTGTCTTTGCCGGGACCCTTTTCTTGAAGAACCACAAAGTTTCTATTATCGTGCTTGTTTGTCCCTGGTAACCGCTTGAGCCATGTTGGACAATAGATATCATCATCATAGTCGGTTTCCTTCTTTTGTATTAACTCAACCATTTGTTTAATATATCTTTGGAATCCTACAATTACCGTCAATTTCAGTGTTGTTATACGGATATATATATATATATTATAAGATATGCAATTTTTAATAAGTATAGACATGGTCTTAAAAATGTTTCAGTTTTTTTTTTCTTTTTTTTTTTGTTTCGCAGACAAATAATTGTTGCAAATTCTACTCTATGGTAACCGACTCATTTTCCATCACTCCTTTACCTAAGTAATCACTTACCACTCTGAAACGATCGTCACTCTCATCCAATTGGCTTTCAAAGAGATCATACTTTTCTTTAATTGATAATTGATTCATTCTCAATGTTTGACTTGAATCTAGTTCTCCAATACAAATTGGACATCTTTTCAAAGCAAAATTTTCACTGGCGGTGAGTGATCCATAACCATTTGATGCTGCTTCACTCAAATAATTGTTCTCATTGAGACACCTTTGGTGATATGAGTGTTTACATTTGAAATGAATTAAAGGGAAATCCAACCTTAAATGGCAATGTGAACACTTATTATTTTGAATAATGAATGGTTTACGTTCTAATTCTGTCAATTTATGGGAATTCTTCGTAGACTCTAGCTCGTACGATTGAATTAACTTCATATTATTCGAAACTTCTTTATTCTGCACATCAATATAGTCAATCAAATAATCTTTAATTAATCCTATTGTGATAAATTCATAATCACTTAACATAGTGATCAATTCTAATGGAGTGATTAATTTTAAGCTTCGAAGTTTTTCAATAATATTTTTGAATTCAAGTTCAGAAACTTGTTCAAAGATTGATTCTTTCGAAATAATGAATTTGAGCATTAATTTATATAAATGAGGATTTTGTCTTCCATACTTTTCCAAAATTTCAAAGCATTGAGGGATGTTTTGCGATATAGTTGCAGTTCTAAATAACCCTTCTTCAAAATTTTCACTTCCTTCTTTTGAAAAAATTTCCCCTTCAGTGAAATTATAAATATGTGAAATAAGAAGTAAATTTTTACGGTCCAAAAACGATGAAAAGTCCTTGATTAATCTTTGTGCCTTACTTAACCACTCATCTTTTTCCTTCTCATCCGCCAGTGATGAAGACAAGGATAAGTACATTTCAAACAAAGTGATTAACAAATCTTTTTTATCGTTAATATTTCCTTGATATTTATCGAAAGTCTCAATACAAGCTTCAAGAAATATAACAAACTCTTTAGGATTGTTGATGAAACTTGAAAAAATCAATTTTGGTTTTGGGGGCAAATAAGTGGGTTCTGTTGTTTCTGGTGAATGGGAAGTGCCATTTGAAGCTCCGTTTGAAGTTCCGTTTGAAGTTCCGTTTGAAGTTCCGTTTGAGGTTCCATTTAATGTGTGTCCATTTTCTGGAGTAATATATGACAAGAATGCTTGGTAAGAATTAAGAGCAATATTTTGATCATTCGAGGGTGCTTGATTAGAACTAGAATCGATATCCATCGCGGGGCCATCGCTAGATTTATTTGGCTTATAAGCACCAGTGAAAACATTAATCAATAATTCAGTTGTCTCGATAGGTAAAACATCTAACAAATTCTTAGAATGATCGATTAGAATCAATAATAAGTCATCAATTGATAGTGTCTTCAAATAATTAAGGACTTGTTGAGGTTGATTCAAATCATTAAGTTGGATTTCCACTATTAAATTCGGTTGATTTAACTTATCCAATAATTTAATAACTTGTTTGAAATAACCACATTCTTTAAATAGATTTATAACCAATTGAAAATTTAATTCATGTAAATTATAATTGATAATATTTGAGTCATTATCAGAAGTTTCCTCAAAATCCAAATCTTCGACAAACTTATCTAGTTCATCTATCATTTTTAATTTACAATAACAACATAATAATAAAGTAATATGATCATTATTTGACAATTTCAATTCATATAATTTGAATAAGAAATTTGTCAAATTAGTAATGTTTGATGGGTCTTTAAATTTTGTTATGACATCCATTATAAAATCATCTATATTATCATCATCTTTTTGTAAATGGTGAGCAATATCTTTACGATTATAATGTTTTAAATCGAATAAGGTTAAACAATTTATGAAGCAATTAATTGAATCTTCAAAAATCTGTTTATCATATAAGAACTCAGCATGTAATTTTTCAATTCTTAATAAAAGCTTTGAGCCCAAGTTGGACTGTTTAGCTAACTTTGTTGCAATTGGGAATAACTCGCGTTGTAAAATCAATTCAATTTGTTGATTGATTGATTTTTCATGAATTTTGAATAAGCTACCATCACTTGATAAAAGATACAAGTCCTCAGACCATTGAAATATATGATTAATTGAATTATTGGGAATCGTGAGGGAAAACGATATGTGTTTATTAAACAAATCGATTATCAAGAGTCTGGTCATTGATTTTTTAGAATTATTTATCATTTCATCAAAATTCGAAACGATCAATAAGTAATTTTTCATAAATTTGAATATTTTCTTCTTTGGTATCTCAAAGTTTATTATATTAGTTTTCAGAATATGATTATAAAACTTTAATGAGTCGTTTGTAGCAATGATTAATTCTTGGGTATCATGGTCGATATGAGAACAGTTAAGGTCAGCACCAGTACTCTTGGATAAGATTCGATTTGGTTTCCCCTGGTTTCTTCCCGTGGTTGAAACTGTTAAGATTTTAGAGGTGGTTGTTATATAAAGTAAATCTTGAGAATCATTGAAATGCACACTAGTAACTGGATCATTTGATTCATAGATCACTCTTTGTTTTGAACCTCTATCACGGATCAAGTCACCCCTTACCAAAATAACTTTCCCATTGGTGAATCCAATTGCAATGCAAGTAAGCAAATCATTAAATTTGAAACAACTAATGGGATACGAATTGTCGCCATTATGAATCAAAACTTGGGTATGATACTTGTGCTGATATTCGTCGTCGCTGATGGCAAGCGACTTGTCGCTATTGTCCTTAGAAAATTTCATGATCTTATTAAGATCCCATAATTTCAAAACACTGGGAGAGTTTTGATATTCTGCCAACGTGACCAATAAGTTGGAATTGGGCAAGCATGCAGCAAAACTAATGGAGTAATTGACATCATGAGCATAGAACTCTTTCAACAAAGTAAAATCCTTCAGTATTATCTTGATTAGTGACAGATTTGTGCATACAATCAAATAAGAAACACTGGCGGTAATACACGATAACGAGGGATCCGAATACAACGGGTCACTCGACCCGTAGTTGGGATCCTTGATTGGAACAAAGTCAAACAACTGGAATTGTCGCCAGGACGGTGGAAGTGACATCTTGAATCTTTCAGTTCCCTTGGCGCCTGCTGGAAAAGTGACTGGTCACATTCTACTGGTCTCTTTGATTTTTTGAGGAGTTGAGGAGGAGGACCCATATGCAGGACTATGAATTCCCTCAACAATATAACATCCGTACATACAAATCGAACAGTTGTTGTCTCTCTTTTTTTCTCTGTTTTTTTTTTTTTTTTCTTTCTTTCTTTGATTTTTGGTTTGCTTTTCCGCTCAGCTTTCACAATTGCAGTACAACCGTCCTTCGATTGCAATGACAAAGACTAGAGTGCACGAGCATTACTGGGTGATACACCATGACAACACCGGAAAGAAGGCTGGATAGACAGGATTGGGCAGTGTAACGAAGACAAGACCAGGCTACACTACTTGGTACCGTGTAAAATTAGAAGTAGTGAAGTGTTGATATTTTTTCAATTACATCTACAAGATTCAAGACCAGTACGCATTACAGTGGCTAAATGACCCGATAATTGTAGTTATTATGGGGACAAACGGTGTTCTTTGCTGCTGTTAGTGGTTTCCAGAGCCTCCGGTAGTCTTTGGAAGCCATTGGCAGAGTTAAAGGAGTAAAAAATCAACAAAGAAGGTGAATTTTCTATTTGAGTAAAAATGAGAAAAGCGTCTGATTTTTGGGAATAACCAAAAAATTGACCTAAACCAATTTTTTCTTTTCAGGTTTTCACCGAAAAAAAGGTATTGGAAGGTGAAATTTTGTTTGCTTTTGCAGTGTTTTTCGAATCGTCGTCTTGGTTTACTAGAAATTGAGTTGTAGAGGAAATATCTGAGATTATCAACACTTTTACTACTACATCCAATCATTCAAAATCTAGCTTAAAAGTATTATTTGACTATAGACACGCCCTGGTTCACAATAACGATTGAATTTTAAAGCCCATTACTTTTCAATTTTTTCAAGGCAATTTATTATATCTTTAAATTTCCGTTTTCCTTTTGCTTTACACTAGTAATACATCTTGACGTGTTGCTGGTTGAGATATTCAACTTTCTAATCGATAATTTCACTCAATCAATCTTAATCTGTTTTCTTCATTTATTGTATTCTTAGCTAATTTATTTCATTCTCTACTTAATTTGTATTCTTAGTTTATTCCTTTTCTTATTTCTACCTTATTTTTTCATCTGTACTAATTAATCATTTAAAGTAAAATGAGTTACGATCCAATTCATGATACTTATGTTCCAAGTGTTTCCTCCAAGATTCATCATTCACCTCCTTCCTCCACAAGCCAAGCTTCATCGAATGATAATATCACAAGTAATCATCTTTCTCCCAATGGTAATGCTTATTCTCCCAATGGTAATGCTTATTCTGCCAATGGTAATGCTTCTCCTTCCAATGGTAACGCTTCTCCGTCCAATGGTAATGCTTCATCTCCGTCTCGTAAAGCATTGTCTATTGAAAGCTTAGTGAGTCCTGCTAATGCCCACGCTTCAATACTAAACCCCGAACCTCGTAATGATGATATAATAGATGATCTTGATCATGAAGATCAATTTCATGAAGAAGATGATGATGGTGAAGATGACGATGTCGAAGAAGATGAAGATGACGACGACGATGACGATGATGAAACAAAATCAAAATCCAAAAAGAAAAGAGGTTCAGCTTCAAGTCCTAAGAACAAACTGAAAAATCCAAATTCAAATTTGAATAAACCTATACGTCATTTGAAAAAATCAGATGGCTCTGCATTCTGGCGTAAAGATATTCAATACGATTTTTTAAATGAATTATTTGAAGATGAAAATGTGGTCTTCACTAATCCTTTCCCCTTTTGTAATATACCTACTACTAATAATGGTCCAAAATTAACCTTTTCTGAATTATATATCAGAACATTAGCCGAATCCTCTAAATCTTCCAAAATTTTGAAAGAAAGGTTGATAAGGGAGAAAGATATGGCTAAATCGGTTGCGAAAGTTTGTTTATTAGTTAATGCTGGTAGAATGAATACAACTATAAACTTTGTTCCTGAAATGAGATCTTCTTTGAGAACTTATCATTCTATTCCCTCTTTGCAAGCTGATCCAGTTAATGGAGGCTCTAAACCTTTACAAGATACCCCAAGACTAAAATCAATCTTAAAAGCGGTTTGTGATGGTCAAGATCATATAAAAACTGTCGGGGATATCATAAATAACCCAAAAATCGTTAAACCAAATACTAATGTTATCCAATTAATATTTTTGTTGAGTAATCATTTCCATAATATTAAATATCATTACCCTGATGACCCACTTGATTCAAAAAATAATACCAATAAATTCATGGAATTCTTCTTAAGTCCTGAAATTCATCCCAAGTCAAGAGCAAGAAGATTCTTATGGTTAATGTATACTTATTTAGAAACCAGTTTTGCTCCAGAAGAATTAGCGGCAAACCCGTTTGGCTCAAATCAAATTCCAGATATTGAAATAATTCCAGATTCTGATTTTGATAAATTTGATGTTGATACTGATTATGAAAAAGAATTTTCTGAAAAAATGTATCAAACAAGGTTAAGATACTTAGTTGATGAAGAACATAATAGTAATCCAAAAAGGGGTAACAAATCTAAAAAGGACCGTGAACATATGCAACAACAATTAGCTAAACATCGCAAACTTCAAGATAGCCCTGCAGTTGATCCCGATTCTCTCAATAGCGATTCAATGATCGTAACATTAAATTCCTCATCTAAAGAAGATGGTAATGAAAAACCAACAAGAAAGAGAGGTGCTTCTGATAAACCAAAACAAAAACGGAAAGTTAAAAAAACAACTTCAAAATCTGAACCAACATCAAGCCAAAATCATGATTCTAATACTGTACCTAATAAAGCTTCTAAAGGTACAACTTCCAAGAATCAAAATAAAGCTAAAGATCCAAATGGTGATGTAAAACAATCACCAAACCAAGATATACAAGAAATGGAAGAAGAAGAAGAAAATAACAAATTAAAATCAAAATTATACCCTAATGGGCCCATTGACGATTTAGAAAAAATATTTAAAACTTATGTATCATCGATTCCAATTATCCCATTAACGAAAGATAGTAAGTTGTCAATGAGTAATCGAAATTCAGTGATTAATAAATCTAAAACAATAATTCGCCAGGTTAGAAACTCGAATAGGGCTGCCACCGTTCTTTTCAATAAAAGACTCAAGCTTTTGAATGAATGGTTAGTTAAATTCTTTCAATATAAAAAATCTACTCATAATGGTTTATTAGGTATGGAGTGGGAAGACATTCGTCAAGATATTACTTCTGGTATTGAAACTTATACTTATCAACAATTAGGTAAAGCTTTTACTTCGTTCCGTTCTAAACAATTGGAAGAATTATTTGAAAATGAAGATTCAATCAATGATAAACCAAGCAACAATGACTCGTCAAATTCAAATAATATTACTGGAAACATACCTACTATTAACGTTATAAATTCAATTCATGGTAGTGTTGGTACTGTTGATTATAATAATATCGATTTATTCGATTCTGGCTACTTATCTATACATGATTTCAATCATGCAAACGAAAAAAATCATTTTTTGGCTACATTACTATCATTTTGTAGTGAGTGGTTATTGGACATTAATGACAGAGATGATGATACTTCTGGTGATGTTAAATTAGATTTACTTAATGAAACTATCAATTTCGATTAAAATGAATACATATATATATATATATATATATGTATAGAAAAATTAAATTTCAGCATTTATCCCAAATATAGACTTTAATAAAGTATCAAGCCCACTAAAAATCCCATATTCTTTGATTAAGTTTTGAAATAAATTATTTACATTTTTCAATTTCGTGTTATCGGACTGTCTAATCATTAGTAGTTTTAATGAAGATTTGCAGTTTCCAGTAACTAAATCATTTAACTTTATGTCCCAGTATAGTTTGATATGATAAAGTTCATTATTTTTATCTATGACCAAATTTATTTGATTAACCGACTTCATAATTGCAAAAATTCTATTGTTGGATAAACTCTCATCTTCTATCAAGTTTTTGAATTTCTCATCTTCTATATATGACCTATACTTTTTGATAATCTTAAATAATAGACTGGTTCTCTCGTGGGCTACTATAGAAAGCGAATTCAAAGCATACATAAACAAATCAATTTCTCCTTGTTGGACAAATTGGCCTATGGCTTGTGAGACGGATGGGGATATCAATCTTAAAGTAACCAACTGAGTTTGATTCACACTGATCGATTCGATTGAATCTTTTAAAGAATTAATTCGAACTTCGACATTCAATTTGAAAAATAATGGACATACAACCGTAAAAGAAATTCCTCTCAAAAAAATTCCATCTTGATTATAAGTGGTAAAGGGTTTGATTTTCTCCAAGTCCACGTATGGATAAAACTTTCGAATATTATCGATTCGGTCATCCCAGTTATTTGAGGGGAGAACATTCAATTCATTTATGATATTAACTGTGGAGCCATTCTCGAGATTTAGCCCCGGTGTGGTTTCACGAGATGGCTCAATTTGTTTTCTGCTCTGTGATTCAATATAATTTTGATTACTGTTCTCAAGATATTCATTCAAGCGATTGTTAACATCACTTTTATGTTGAGAATCTTTTAAGGTTTTCAATTTTCCTGCCACCTCGTTAATTGAAGACTTGACGTTCAGTCTTTGCTTAATGAGTTCGTCCAACTTCCTCTTGAGCTCTAGCTTCTCGCTTTGTTTATTCAAGAGTACCTGGACGTCAGGAGTTGCCGTATTTGATCTTGTAGAAGAATAGACATTGGATCCATTGTCATTTTCTGGATCTTCGGGAGGCTCTGAGTCAAGCCGGCTCTCGGCTACATTCGCCACTATCTCTTCTGAATACTTGGATTCCGGCTCAGTAGCTATTTGTGATTCTGCCTGATTTATCACATTCAAAAGATTTGTTGGTATGGATGAGTTTAAGTTATTTTGATTCGAGTCGTTCGTTTGATTCTGTTCCGGGCTTTGATTGTCGGGCTGCGTTGGGGAAGTATCAATATCCGCTAGTAGATCAAAGTCTATATTACTCATAATTGGGGTGTTTTATAGCTATTGATGAACTCCAGAAATTGTTGTTTTCATTTCAATTATTTATCAGTATAACCTCATTGGAGTGCATATGGGGCAGATGGCTTCTTTTTTTCAAACAAACGCACACTGAAAGTTCTAACAAATGAATATACTCTTCCCTTGCCAGCGTACATAAGATATCCTTGAGTCATTAGCATGGTGAACGCTCCGGAATTGAAAGCTGTATGTCTACTCAGTTGTTGATCTTCTTTGAAAGAAGAATTACTAACAAATGTGCTTTAGTATTTGGATAAAAGAATTTCCGTCCAGTTAAATGGTTCCAGAAAAGTCATTGGAAACTTACGAGGATATGATGTATGTAATTGAAAACAAAGTAGCTAGGAGCTTGAGTACTAACATATTTCTATAGGTGTTTTTGAATATAACGATGGGAGAAGCAGTGGAGGAACAAAAGAACGGTGAAGTTATTAATATAGGGACTATTGTATGTATTCAGAGATGAAATGGGATGAAATAACATTATACTAACATTAACCTAGGTTATAAGAGGAAACTCTATTGTTTCATTAGAAGTATGTTCTAACTAGTTGTGATTGAAAGAAACAGTACTAACAAACTTTAGGCACTTGATAAGATTTGAAACGTCTATGTATTTTTTTATTCATACTATATAAACAAGCTCTATTACTAATGTATAATATTATCAATTTGATGTCTTTAGTTTACGGTATAAGAAATGTATTAATGATCAAATCTTTTTGACATTTCAACACCAGCATTGGAATAACCACATTTTTCGTAGAATCCAACATTATGAGGAGAGCAATCCAAAATAATTTTATAACAGCCCTTCTTTTCAGCCAAATCAGATAACCCGTTAATCATGGCAAGACCCAATTTTTTACCTTGTTCTGATTTGGCAACTGCAATATCTTCAATGTGGCCAACTTTACCACAGCCATGGATCAATTTTCTTTCGATAAGAAGCATCCCGGTTGCAACAACAACACCAGATTCATTTGTTATGACATGAGGTTGATACACTTCCGGTAATGAATCCCATTCTTTGAAAAGATCTTCAAATTGACCTTGTGAAATCTCCCCAACCGTGGTTAATACTTTGAGTGTGTCCAAGTAGTTATTTGAATAATCGCCGGTAGCGACTTTCCTGAAGCTATATCCTTCTGGCAATTGCATTCTTCTCTGACGGAAAAGACTTGAAGAGCTTCTGTTCAAAACTTCTGCTGTGCTATAAATATCTGTTTATCCACAAATTGTCTATTTTGATTCAAAGAAAACCTCCGTACATCTTAATTATGCGATCCGTACACCTGATGAAGATTCAGATGGGAAGAGTTTGCAGCTTGAGGTCCTTTTCTAAGTGATCAATGGAGTACTTTCAGCATGGTTTTGCAAAGCTATCACTCTTGGTGTTACCATTCGTGGAAAGAGGGAACAGCGGCTTCCGTTTGGGCCAAGAAGTGCGTTTGCTTTTGCGGAAGATTCGGTCTATGCATGTATAGATGCTGTTAAAATATTTTGATGAGTTTGGTGCTGATAGATGATTCACCGTCCGAAGCAGTCAATTTGCGCCTATTGTAGCTTATTATGAATGCAGCTTATGTACATCTAAGCATGGTGTTGCATACCGGCTTAGTCTATTGCAAGAACCCAACAACACTACGGCTCTTGATGATAAAAAGGTGCCAAAAACGCAATTAGTATAGTTGTTAGGGTCAGACTTCAAGTACGCCAAACGAACTCGAGTAATAGTTAAAGGTTTATAGACAAGAGCAAAGCCTTAACGTTGATGTTCTTAAACTATCCAATAATCAATAGATCAGGTTTTTGTCTTTTGCAGTACTAACTTGAGCATTGTTATTCACCAACTCTACATATCTATCACATAATCACAATCATCGTATTAGATCTTTTGTTTGTATAAGTAGCTTACCTTATTTGAGTTGCTATTAGTAGAATACTAAATTACGCTAGAGAATTGGTGCTACAAATTCCATAACACGAAAGAGAACCTAATTAGTAAACTTTGTCAGTCTGTTTAAATTTTCGGTTCAATTGAACTACAGCCTATCTACGTTTTAGCAATCCGTTGAACTGAATGCAAAAAAAAACGGAATGGGGCCCGGATGGGAACGCTTCTTTGTGGATCCGTACTCCAGACTCCCCGAGAATTCCCCATGGTACTAAAACCTTAACTTGCAAGTGTGTACTGGCGTTAGGATAGTTTAACTGATAATAATATGGTTAAGTAGTAACGACGGATATGAAATTTAGAAATCGTCAGCAATTTCAGACCGAAACAGGCCTGGTTTCATATCCGAGGGTATCACCACCCAAATGACTGTTAAGGTTTAACTACTTATCGAGCTAATTAAAAAAAATTTGAATATATTAAGAGAAAATAGATAAAAGGTATAATAACAATATATAAAAAGAATGAGAAATTATATAGTAATGGAAAAAGTCATTAAGCTAAGTTATGAGTTTTTTTTTTTTCTTTCTATTAAATAAGCTGCAAAGTGAAAGGAATCGTAATTCACTCTTGATGGAATTTGTATTAGGTATATATGAGTTTTTGGTATATTAAAATCTAAATCTAGACAGTTTCTTCTCTTGGAGATTTTTCTAATGGACCACCAGTTTCAGCTGGGGTTTCAGTACCTTCAGCACCTGAACCCTCTTTACCGGAGGAACTGGTGGAAGAAACGTTATCTTTAGTTTCAAAGTTTTCCTTTTCGAAATCATTATCGTAAAGACCTAATTGAGTACCTTGGTCTTCAATTTCTTGTAAGGATAATTTAGGTAAGGTAGCAGCAACTCTCCAAGCTTGACGTTTATCAGTGAAAGCTTTAGCGTAAATGATATCAATTTCTTCTAATGAACGACCAGCAGTTTCTGGGTAGAAGAAGAAAATGATTGGAACGAAACAGAAATTCATCAAGGCAAAGAAAAGGTAACAACCCCAATCAGCTTGATCCATGAATAATGGAGTGAACATAACAACGGCGAAATTACAAATCCAGTTAGTACAAGTGGAAACAGCAGAAGCAACGGTTCTGGTTCTTAATGGGTTAATTTCTGGTGGGTAAATCCATGGTAATGGCAAGATGGTGAAAGCAAAGAAGACAATGAAAAGGAAAATACCAACGGCAGCACCTTTAGCATTTTGAGTGGTTGGGTCAATTAAACAAGCAAATGAAATAATAAAGGAACAACCTTGACCAATAGCACCAACCAAGAATAAGTTTCTTCTACCAACAGAATCAACCAAAAAGAAAGCAGGAATAGTAGCTAAAGCATAAATGGTTGCAAAAACACCACCCATAATTAAAGGTAATTTACCTTTCAAATTAATAGTGTTTTTGAATAAGACAGTAGAATAGTAAATGGCAGCGTTACAACCGGTAAATTGTTGGAAGAATTGACCAGTTGAACCAACAACCATTCTTTGGAAATGTTGATTTTTACCACCAGATAATAAATCTTTGAAACCTAACTGAGCTCTGGAGAAACGGTTAACAGCATCTTGGATAACGGTAGCTTCAGCGTAAACTTCGTCAGAGTCTGTTGGTAAGTCATTTAAAGAACCCAAAACTTCCAAAGCTTCAGGTTTTCTGTTATGAGCAACCAACCATCTTGGAGATTCTGGTAAACCAGCCATACCAAAGAAGACAATTAAAGCGAAAAAGATTTGGAAAGCAACTGGGAATCTCCATTGAACAGAAGAGTTAACATAAGATAAACCAAAATCAATCCAGTAAGCAACAAAGGTACCGACAGCAATGACAGAACCTTCCAAACAGACCAAACGACCTCTATTTTCAGCTCTGGACATTTCGGATTGCCAGACTGGAATAGTAGCGGTATTTAAACCATTACCAATCCCGGTGATAACTCTACCAACAACGAATTGACCAGTACCCCAATGAGGACCGAAAGCAGCAGTCGAGATCACGGTACCGAGAACAATGATAAGGGAACCAGCAATAACCAAAGGTTTTCTACCAAATTTATCACCTCTGAATAAGGCAAATAAAGCACCAAAGAAACAACCAATTTCGTAACAAGAAGTGATTGCCCCTTGGTTAATGGTACCATTATAATCACCAACAATTTCTTTATTAGCAGCTGAGAATTCTTTGATAAATTCTTCACCTTCAATAAGACCAGACATTAACCCTTGGTCATAACCGAAAAGGGAAAAACCCATAACGGCGGTGAAGGTAACGAAAGCTTTCAATTTTCTACCTTTCAAACCATAGTTTGAAGTTCTAGTTAACCAAGCCATATTTTTCTTTTGGAACTAATACGTAAGACTAGAAAGATATTCAAAAAAAAAAAAGGACAAAACTTCCCCAACTTGTCGAAGAAGGTGGGAATTGGCTATATTTATATCGAGAGGCAGTATACCAGGGATTGAAAGTGGTGGAGGTATAAACAGTAATACCAAAACGTATCTTACCAAACTACAACATCATACAAAAATAAAAAGAAAAATAAAAGAAGCAGTTATGCATACCAGCAGTTACAAAAGGTATTAATAAGATATATGCTAATATTTATTGTATATTGTAAGCAGCGTAGCTATTTCACGTACTGGCGTACATATAAAACAATTCATTTTTAGCACCAAAAAGAAAAAAAAAAAGAAAGGAAATGAAAAAAAGAAAGATATTTCGAAGAGAATATAACGGAATATAGCGAAAAGAAAAGCCCAGGTCAAAAAAAATAAAAAGAACCCGTAATAAAATAAAAAAGAAAGTCTCTGGCTTCCTGTTATGATGTAATGGGACATTCTCTAGATGTCAAACAAAATATTGACTGTCCCATCGCTCCATCCACGACTAAGTTTAACTTTAGGTAGACTAGCCAGGCCCCAATAGTTTGTACCATAAAATATGTAAATGCCGTACTCTAGAATACGAACCAGGACCCAGAACAGCTTAATATGAGCTGACGTTTATTAACAAGTGGCAGCATCCAAGGTAAACATTAGCCACTTGCAAGAAGCGTTGATGGTAGACTCCACTCTGGCCTGCCCTACTGGTAGCTCCGAGCTTGCTGGATGTCTTACCAGTAACTTCTATTTGCAGCTTTGACCCGAATAGCAAAAAACCACTCAAAAATACATGCGGCAGAACGGGCAAAAAGAAACGAGGGTCACCGGAAATGCTTTCTGTTCAGCGATGATGAGTTTTGACTCTTTAATGTACAGGTATGTACAGGCTCGGGTGTTGTAACATTGCTTTGGAGCTCGCTTGGTCAGTTCTGCTAGTAGTAAGGTCATTTACTCATGAGCTTATTAGATTTACATTGTAAGATGGTTTTTCCATCTGTCAAAGTATGTGGTGGCTAAAAAAATTCTTAGTGCTTTCAAAAAAAAAAAAAAAAAAAAAAAAAAAAAAAAAAAAAAAAAATTGAATCTACGAAGAGGTCGTGTGAAAGGTTTCTTCCTTGCTCTAGATTAATAATATTAATGACATTCCGTGCTTGACCCAACATCATAAGATGCACAATCCGGCCAGGAAATAAAGCATGGTAGGTAAAGAAAAAGAAAAGGATTACCATCTAGTATAGTAAATCTTTCTTTTCCAGCATAACTCTGATATAAAATAGGTGACAAAATTAAGCCTGTTAACAGTGCAATATTGTTTTAACCTAATTGACTAGAACATTGTTTGGAATTCATGCTCGTGTAGCTAACCCTTTTTTGTTTTTTGTTCTACCTTTTTTTTTTTGTTTATTCTGTTTGACTGTCTTTGCTTTGCTATTTTCATTTCCGACCAGAGTTTCACAAAGAACATCAAACAAATAAAGCCATAATCCTTACCTTCCACCAGTATTATTACCAATACTACCACCTCTCACCACCCTCTCCAACCACCACGATGGCTTCGTCTGGATCCTTAATCTGGGATTGACATGCTGATTTATCCGTGACAATCGATGCTCAGCTCTTGGCCCCCGACTGACAGAATACCGGTGGCATCGTGCATATAATTAATCCGGGCATCGGCCAGAGTCCTTTGGGTCGCGACACGAAAAGGGCCGGGAGTGAAACGCCCGTACACCGGCTGTTTATTCGAAACTGCTAGTACCATCGGGCACCCCACATTTGCGGTGAATGCCTCTGGTATATCGAGTGTATGGTAGAACTATGCGTATGACCATGCGTATAATAGTATAGAATTAACCGAAGCTTCGAATTGTTTATTGGAACATTGATCACAACGCTTGAGGATACTGATTCTTTTGATATCTTGTATTGCTTCGTTTTTCTGGTATCGACAGTCATTTGTTATTCCCAGTCTTGGCTTTGTTATTCTCATAGCCTAAGTTGTAGTTGGTGGATTGGTGGATGGTACCTTGTCCTCTAGTTGTTCGCTGCAGTTCTGTGCCCCTCCCTTTTACCCCTCGATTCTGTCAAATTTTTCCCCCTTCCCCTCCTTTGTTTTTTTATCTTTTCCGATTGTAGTTAAAAAAAGAAGGTGTTTGCTAGTGACTTCTACGTAAGCTTACAGCAGTGGCTGATTCATACAATATACTTTTTGTTTATACAACGTTAATCATACTTTTGATCATTAAAATTGGGGAAAATTCGTGACGCGTAAACCATCAGATGGAATTCTTGATTAGACTCCGGTGAATCATATCTAAATCCCATCTTTTGGTGATATTGATTTCTAAACATCCAATTATAATATCGTAAAACCATTGGTATTCTTGAGAATTATATAAATTCCAACTATTGAATAGTTTTTTAATTTGTTCGTCTCTTTCTAAATTGGTATTCATTGACAGGAAACTTTGATTGTTCTCAGACACGGTTTCCTTTTCTTCAACCATTTCATCATCTTTGAGTATCCACTCGATTAAACATGCTTTTTTCAATTCTTCCTTATCAAATTTCCCACTACTGATCATGGCTCTCAATCTAGGTTCGTATGGATGTTGAAATGGTAACCTACCAACAACCATCGTATAAAGTAACACTCCTAATGCCCAAATATCGGCTGATGGTCCTAATGGTGGAGGATTCGGTGATAATAACTCGGGTGATGCATAAGGTAATGAGCCAATATGCAGGTGTGGCAAATTGGATTCAATCCCCTCTGATGGTAGAATATGATCTTTTGATTTAATTTCATGGAAATTTTCTAATGGAGATTTGAATTTATTGAGCGATAAATTAACCGATTGCATTGATGGGCCATGGCTTCTTTGAAAATGGTTGATTCCAATTTTAGAATCATCAGTAAATAAGAATTTACTATTGATAGTATCTTCTCCTCTATATGGTTTACGTAATTCACTGGTTGATGATTTACTTCTCATCATTAATGTATCTTCATCATTATCATTATAAATATTTTTTCTTGATGATTGTCGACTTAATCTTGTGGTATATACCCTTGACATTCCAAAATCACATAATATCATTTTAATATTTTTAGGATCCTGATTATCGACTAATACATTTTCTAACTTAATATCTCCGTGAACAGTACCCAATTCTTCATGCAAATATATCAAAGCATCAATGATTTGTCCAATAAAGTTGATTATTTGTCTTATTCTCTTTTTCTGCTCATCAATCAGAAACTTAAGTGGTCCTTGGGGATTAATGACTCCCATATTATAAACACCCCAGTTTGATACTACTTCAAATAATGTCCCGCCAAAAATTCGATCGGTTATACAAAATATGGTATCTTCGGTTTCTAAATATTGATATAACGGCAATATGTTATCATGTTGTAATCTTTTCCAAATCGCGATTTCTTTTCTGAAAACATTCAAAACATCAGGATTATGTTTGGACTTATGATGATGGTGGAATATCTCACTACCGGATCTTGTAGGCGATCTTGATGGTGATCTGATTGATGGTGATGAACACTGTTCTCTCCTTGATCTGACAATTTTGATGGCTTTCACCGTTTCATTTTCTCCATAACATTCTCGAATTATCCCCCATGCTCCAAAGCCAATGACTTTCCCTAATTCGTATCCCATTACAATTGCCCCCTTTTCATCAACATTCATTTTAGGTTGTTTTGATTCATGAAGCTTTTTAAAGTCAACCAGAGATGACATTGCTAATAATCTACCTGCAACCGTATTAGCACTTCCGACTCTTGATCTTCTTGGATTACTACCTATTGATGAGCCATGACGTGAATTTCTAATTGAATTGTTTGAATTGTTTGAATTACCAGAACCAAAATAATTTTTAGCAAATAATGAAAATTGAGAATAATCAATTGAATCGGAATAAGATAAAACAATTTTTTTCCTTTGACTATAAGGCAATTCGTTAAAGTTAGATGGTAAACTGTTTAATATGGCTTCATAGTTGACCTCTTCACTACCTACCTTTTTCTGTTTCTTATGCTTGCTATTTCCGTCATTTGTAATTGTCGTTGTAGACTCGTTATTAACCTCATTGTTGGTTGGATTTCTTAATTTTAGCATGTCACTTAATTTTGATACTGACATTTTACTATTTTGTAACGGGCTCCTCATGTTGATTGGTTGAGGAGCAACTTTGGAATGTAATTTATTCAAGTCTAGATACGACGAATCTCTTGTTGACGGAGTGTTGGAAGAGCTCGTTGTTGTGCTTGGATTATCACCATCTTTATTAAGATGGAAAGATAGATTTTGATCAGAAGCGTTACTGTTCCATTGGTAGATTACATCACTAAAGTCCAATCCTGGGATATATTCGTCTTCCAATCCAACCAACGAACAGCCATCGTCAATATAATCATTATGAGATCTCGAATATATCTTTGGGGGACCACCACCCAGCGGTTGGGTTAAAAAGCTACCGGAACCCTGTCTCGATAACTTCGGTCTAATTTTCCCGTCATCAAACATTCGATGACCAGTTTCATCATCGAAATTGTTGGCTTCGGTTTCTGAATAAGTTCTTGTTAGCTTATAGTTTTTAGTAGGCAGTGTTTCCCGAATCTCATCAATCCTAAGACTGTCTTCTTGTTTTTGCTTTTGTCTTCCTCCATCTAGTTGTATTTCTTCTTCCTGTTGTTGTTGTTCCTCCTCTGAATTTTCTTTGAGTGGAGATGTGATTCCTGAATTCAATATCGTTGATTTATGTTCTTTGCCTTCATTATATTCGCTAAATGAAGATAATTTGAACTTGGAGTCATCCAAAAGGTTGACTGTGGATACCTTTGGCTTTGATTTCAATGGAATGTCCATTGGAACTGGCTAAATTAGTGTTGGCGCCGAGTCTCGGTGAAAATTACTACTCTTTGATAAACTCTTTCAAAAACTAATATAATTATGGTTTCTTGCTATACTTGTCTTTCAATTTCAAAAGTGTCAAGTCATTCGATAATATACTCAACTAATTGTTTAGTGAAGTGAGATGTACGATATGAGTAGTGAAGAATTATTAGATCCTTTTTCAAAGGAACTTATTTAAACGTGCTTTTATTATACCATCAGACGATGACCAGACACCCGTACCACTGTCATTCAAAAAAATAAAAAAAGCTCCCTAAACAAAGGAAACTCGAGTCCCCCGCAAAAAAGTAACAATAAATTAATACTGTAATTTACATTTTGCAATTTTGCAATTTATAAATTTATCTAAGCTCTAAACTACGCTATTACTGTTTTGACATGATCAAGGGATTCAAGAATGGTTCATTCAACATGTCGATTGCGTCTGGTCTATTTTCGTATTCGACTTCGAAGGTTTTTTGTAAGAAATCTTTTGCTTCTAAAGTACACCATTCAGGTATTTGGGGTAATATATGAGTTCCAATTTTGAAAATAGCTTGCATTTGACTAAAGTTTGGGAACGGATGATTACCAGTAAACATTTCCACAATAAGGCATCCAACAGACCAAATATCAGCCTTTTTAGTGTAAGCAGTTTGTTTAACAACTTCTGGTGCCATCCAATAAACCGATCCTTGTAATGAAGCTCTTCTTCCCCCTTTCTTTTGCTGATTGTTTTCTTCTTCGGTATCATCGACATTTGAGCTGCCTACTTTCTTGGAGATTCCAAAATCACTAATTTTAACTGTTCCCTTGATATCAATCAAAATGTTTGCCCCTTTAATATCACGATGTATTATCCCTTCGCTGTGTAAATAATTCAAACCAATCAACACTTGCCTAATGAAATTACGAATTAAAGGCTCTTCGAATGGCCCGTACAGATTAAGCATTGATTGTACCGATCCTCCGGGTACATATTCTAAAAAAATGTTCAAAAATTGATCATCAGTGGATGATCCAAGATACCTAACAATATTCTCATGGTTAAGTTCTTTTAATAATGTCATTTCCCTTTCTAAAGCTTCAATCATTGCTTTTTGCAGTTCATTGTTCATACTAGCTTCGTTAGGGATCTTGACCTGCTTAACTGCCATTAATTCCCCGGTAAATGGATCCATACCTAAATAAACTATACCAAAACTACCAGCTCCTATTCTTGCCCCTTGTAGCCATTTTTTACTTGGTAACTTGCTGATTTTATCTAATGATTCACTCAGCTCTTGACCTTCTTGGTAATTTAATTCCCCACTTGTATATGTTCCGTATTCACTAATAAAGTCAGGACCCTCTTCTTCATCTCCTTGGACTTCTTCTTCATCGGAGTCGATACTGAATAGTTCGATTTTGGAATATCGATTATTTGAACTTGATTGATCTGCAAAACTAGTAGCAATAGAAAATCTTTGACGATTATTAGCTTTACTCAGAGAGTTATTTGAGTGTATCGATCGATCATCGCTATTTCCTCCTCCGGTCATTCCCGATATAATAGAAGGAGGTTTGCTAAAAGTTGAAGCATTATCTTGAGAATTAACTGCCTCATCAATTGCGGTAATATTATTCATCATGACATCACCAATGGTTCTATTTTGATGTCTTCTTTGAATCAAAAAATCATTCGACAGAATTGATGAAGCTCTATTATTAGTCGTTGTGATTGTATTATTACTCATTATAGATTGTCTTGGATTTGCATTAATCATTGATCCAGTGCTACTACCACCACTAGCAATCCCAGAGGGTAGATTAAAGCGACGAGATAATCTAACCGAGTATCTGACAGAATTACGAACAGTGGCTTCTAATTCTTTTTGGCGGGCTTCTGGGAAATATTCAGCTAAATTTGAACTAATCAATTCACTTGGAGGTCTTTGGCCAAAGAAATTCCTCATAGATGGACCAGGAGCTTGTTTAGGTTTAGTATCAGGAATATGATATTGACTTAAATCTTCTTGATTTTTGATACGAATATTTTCAAATCTATCATGTTTAACTAGAATTTTTTTAGATGTTTCGATTGCAATTTCCGATGGAGTTTCATTTTCAGGACATAAAATGATCCGGTGTTTTTCTAATCGATCAGGACTATAACAAATTGTAACCAATTCAACATCATATAATGCATTTAATTTTAATTGATTATTATTTTGATGATCTTTCGAATGAATATATGTATGGTATTTAGCTTCTTGTTGTTTAATACCTAATTTTTTCAAAACTTTTCTTTTAATTGACTGAGAATTAAAACAACCAGTTACATTAACTCTTTTGCAAGATCCATCCTGTAAAATGAAAGTAACATTCTTATTGGAATCTTTATTTAAATTAGTTGATGATGTATTAAGATACGATTGAGCACCTGGTAATAAGGTTGTTGAATCATTTGCACTAGATAAGTCAAGTTTTCCTGATAATTCATTAGCAGGTATTTGAGAAGTATTTGAAATATTTAGATTCAAAGTTTTATATAAATCTTCAATATTTAAATTTGATTGTAACTTTTCATTTTTCAAATTTGATATCGATAATTCTAATTTCAATCGATCACCTAGTTTATCTATCCCAATTTCCCTTAACGATGATGAATCCAATTCAGTTACTAAGTCAAATGTTATATTATTCTCTACAAATTTCGAATAATAATGTTGACAATTTGATTTAGCCAACCATTGTTTCAATTCTCTAGTATCATTATAACTCAGAGTCTTATCATCATTATTGAGCGTACCAGCCCTTGATCTTCGGGCCTTGTATTCCAAAGTATCTGCCATTTAAACTATACTTCTCTTTGACTTTTATCAACTAGTCTGAATTGGCTATTTATCGGTAGTTTTAAATCAAGATCTAATGAAAGGGTCGTGTAATCTTGAGCACAATCCTAATCCAAACAGCCGTTTTAGTAGAATATGTGTTTGGTGTATGGGTTTTTTAAGCCACCAATAACTAATCATAGTTACTCGGGCTAAAAGGCCAAAGCATGATTATATCTTGATATATGACTAAGCATGATGATATCTTGATATAGGCTCTTGTTGTTTATATTTCCTCTTCGTTGGCCTTGTTGTACATTTGGGAAGGTTTGTTCAGTTGGGGTAGTATATCAGCTTGTTGGGCTCCGCTTTCTGGGGTAATCTAACGGTTTAATGCAATGGAAGCATGATACTGATCCTATAAAGAACATTTTAGAAAAAATTGCCCACCTATTGGTCTTTTCATTCTTCATTACATAATGTGATTCGCAGCCAATTCAGATTTGTATAGTAAGCTTTTCGTATAGTCAATTTTTACTTTTAAAACATTGGTGTCGGTAATAAGCCAAGTAAATAGTCGCTTATTACTGGTTTAACCAATGTCAAGTACCGATTTATAACCAATCTGTTCAACAGAAATGTTCAACTGCTGTACAGTCTAGTGTTGGCGTACTTGCTCATTGAAAATTTCACTTAATTTTTCTTGATTTCAATACAATCAAAAGATTGCTAAAAAAGAAAATCGTATTTAAATAAAAATAATTTATATTAGTTTGAAGGTATATAGGATTTAGTACATAAGTCTCTGGAAATGTCAAGGAACATAAATGACGAAATCAGAAAGTAGTCAAAAAAAAAAAAAAGAGCAAGAAAGACTGCCTATAATAATAATTGGACATCATCAATATTATAAGAGAATTTTTTTTGGTTAAAAAAAAAAATTAAAGAAGCATTAAGGTTGAATTGAAAGTTTAATGATAATGGCTTAATTTTGCTTTTCCAAAAGAAACACACAGTGTTTCATGTTGAAAAAGCAAGAAAAAGAGGAGATGGTTTTAAACATCTTGGGTTTGTTTTTGTTGAACTAAAGGACCTTCCTGAGATGGAGAATCGGAACCATCAGCTTCGCCTTTAACGGAAGATGAGGAAGAAGCCTTTTCATTAATATCAACATTTTCTTTTTCAAAGTCATGATCGTAAAGACCTAATTGAGTACCTTGGTCTTCAATTTCTTGTAAGGATAATTTTGGTAAAGTAGCAGCAACTCTCCAAGCTTGACGTTTTTCGGTGAAAGCTTTAGCGTAGATAATATCAATTTCTTCTAATGAACGACCAGCAGTTTCTGGGTAGAAGAAGAAAATGACTGGAATGAATAAATAATTCATAACAGCGAAGAAAAGATAACAACCCCAATCAGCTTCACTCATAAATAATGGAGTAAACATAACAACTGCGAAGTTACAAATCCAGTTAGTACAAGTAGAAATAGCAGCACCAGCAGTTCTAGTTCTTAATGGGTTAATTTCTGGTGGGTAAATCCATGGTAATGGTAAAATTGTGAAAGCGAAAAAGACAATGAAGAGGTAAATACCAACTGCAGCACCTTTAGCGGTATCATCAGTTTTATGAACTAAGCAAGCAAAAGAAATAGTGAAAGAAATAGCTTGACCAAAAGCACCAACTAAGAATAACTTTCTTCTACCAAAAGAATCAATTAAAAAGAAGGAAGGAATGGTGAATAAAGCATAAATTGTAGCGAAAACACCACCCAAAATCAAAGCTTTTCTATGTCTCATATCCATAGCATCTTCGAATAAAACAGTTGAGTAATAAATAGCAGCATTACAACCGGTAAATTGTTGGAAAAATTGACCAGAAGCACCAACAGCTGCTCTTTGGAAATGTTGAGTTTTACCACCAGATAATAAATCTTTAAATCCTAATTGGGATCTAGAAAAACGATTGACAGCATCTTGAACAACGGTAACTTCAGCGATAACACCATCATCGTGAGGATCCAAATCATTCAAACAACCCAAAACTTCATGAGCTTCGGCTTTATAACCATGAGCAATCAACCAACGAGGGGACTCTGGTAAATATAAAATACCACCTAATAAGATAGCGGCAAAGAAAATTTGGAAAGCAACTGGGAATCTCCAAGAGACTGAAGCATAATCATTTTCAACATATGATAATCCAAAATCAAGCCAGTAAGCAATAAAAGTACCAACAGCAACCACTGAACCTTCCAAACAAACCAAACGACCTCTGTTTTCAGCACGGGACATTTCGGATTGCCAGACTGGAATTGTAGCGGTATTTAACCCATTACCAATCCCGGTGATAACTCTACCAATAACAAATTGACCAGTACCCCAATGAGGACCAAAAGCAGCAGTGGAAATAACAGTACCGATGATAATAATAATGGAACCAGCAAGAATAAGAGGTCTTCTACCAACTTTATCCCCTCTGAATAAAGCAAATAAAGCCCCAAAGAAACAACCCAATTCATAACAAGAAGTGACTGCCCCCTGGTTAACAGTAGCATTATGCTTACCAACATGCTCTTCACTAGTTGCTTTGAAAGTACTAGTGAATTCTTTAGCAGAAATGATCCCCGACATTAAACCTTGATCATAACCGAAAAGAGAGAACCCGGTGACTGCAACTGCAGTGATGGTAGCTCTCAATTTTCTACCTCTTAAACCATAAGTATGAGTTTTCGCAGTAAATATACTCATTTTTATTATATCTTTCCTTTTCCCAAAGACTTATCTATAGCAAAAATCTATCAAGTGTAAAAAAAGTAACTGGGATAAACAAATAAATAAATAACAAAAGATTTCTGTTTATCAAGTACGAGTTTAAACAAGAATTAAGTCTAGTATTTATAATAAAATCAATTTCCTACAAGACAAGCTCAACAAGCTGAACAATTGAAAAGAATTTTTTCTTCCCTTCTTTCTTTTTTTGCTTTTTTTGTCTATATTTTTTTTTTTTTTTGTATGGTTCCTTTTAGTTAATATTATTTTACTTAATTTAACGGATGAGGCATGGCATTATACTGCATTGATGGGATGCATACATCACCGTAGCATTCAGGTAACATTTCCATTTTGTGGGGGGGGAGAGGGCCCTCCGCTGTCTTTCCTCGGACGGTTGTCCTATCCTTACATTTCCTGGGTCAAACCCACTGCCAAAGCTGGCTGGGAAGCCGGTGAAGCTGAAAGCACTGTTAAAAAAAGCTGCTAAAACGAAATACTTTTTTGGGAGGTTCCAATAGTGCAAATGGTGTTTGTGTTTGCTTTTTAACAAAGTGATATGACGTATTGTCCTTTTTTGGTGCTCTTTTTAAAAGAAAATATTTTTTTAACAGAAGAAAAGGCTGAAGCGGCGCTTAATAAAAACGTGGAGTGCATACAGATTGGGGGTGTGCGTCCTAGCCGGGCTTTTCCTCCGGTTTCGAGCGCGGCTATCCGGTCCCAATTCTCAACCGATCCCGTCCACAGTGATCCCCACAAAAGGTTTAGTTGGATTCCCCAGACAAACGGAGCTCGTATCGCACTGAATACGATTTACGAATGAGATAAGTTTGTTATCACAAGTGGAGCAAATACAAGAAATCCAACACACGGATAATACGTTTCTGGTCGATGGTTCTAATGACCTCTTGTCAAAGTCTGGCTATTGCCGTTCGATTCTATTTTTTGGTGACTTTTTTCTTAGACTTGGTATATGGTGGGGCTAGTAGTGGTGAAAAAATTCTTGTCTGTTGGCCCCATGGTGCACGACTTTTTCCCAGTACGGCTTAATCTGGAAGGTTTTGTTGTGTCCGGTGCTGCTGGAGGGCATTCTGGGGCTCGCAACCGCATAGAATCAATTATTTTTTCCCAAGTTGTCATGGCGGGGGCATTTCCATCTGATGGGGGGGTGGAGGGAGGCTGGAAAACCCGGGTTTGGTCGGGGACCGAGGAGCATCAACAAATTCCTACTTGTCAGATGGGCGATTAAGGGTTCATTAAAATTGTGATATCGTAAAATGATGATTTTTCATCGATTACAAAAAAAATTAAATCACAATCTATAGGCTAATTAACACAAAAATTAAACATCGAATTGTTAAAGAAAATTCGATTTAATTATTCGAGTATCAGTGTTCGTTTCAGCTAGGTTTTACTAATGGTACATTAAGCTTCTGATCGTGTTTCCAATTTAAAATGGGAAATATAATGATTACTAAAAAACTTACGTTGATCCTTTGCTAATGGAATCTTACCGAGAATTTATTTATTCGAATAGAAACCGAAAGACTCATGGAAACCATGGCATTTTACACCTCTATATGATCCTGTGAATAACAGGAGTTTACTAATTGTAAAAGACAAGGTTAAAAATGAGTCAAACTCGAAGCAGATTCCATTTTATTTATATTACCTCGATGGGTTCCTAGGCTTTTCCAAACCACAGCACAAGATTATACTATTCTTTTTTCTTGGTACCTTATTTTTTCTGTCTTTTTTTCCGTCTTGTCTCTTTCCGTTTGTCTCTTTTTTTGGTCTATGCGCCTTGTATGTGCACCCCCTGTTTCATTTTTTTATTTTTTGTTATATTGTTGTTCAATCTTCCTTATATTTTTTTTTTAATCTTCTTTATTTTTTTAATCTTTTTTTTTTTTAGACTCTTTCTCCTTTATTTTTTCACCGTTTCCGTGCACTTCTCCAGGTTGCTCTCCACTTTTTCTCTCCTCGAGCTGGTTCATAATGCAATCGGTGTTCGATTTGAGTAATAACCTTCTGCTTAGGTAATCGCGGTCTTGTTGCAAATCGCCAACTCTTACTTCTAGAAGCTGGTGCTGATAGTAGGGCCTCGATTCGATGGCTTTCCGTGACCACTTTGCTGACCTTCCTGGCCCAAATACCTTGTCGGATAAACTCACGCACGGTATACTCTCGTGGTTTTTTAATATGTCATTTTGGTTTTCCTTGGGAAGAGATCTGTATGCTGACAAGAAACCGCCATTTAATGATTTTCTTGTGAGATGAAAAAAATTATTTGACAAAAATAAAAGCCCGATGCGGGGGTCGAACCCGCAACCTTGTGATTAAAAGTCACACGCTCTAGCCATTGAGCTAACCAGGCTGGTTTCATGTTCGAAAAAATGGTCCTGTAAACTATGACCTATTATGGGCTGTCAGCAAAAAGTTTATTCTTGTAAAAAGCAAATTCTTCATTTTTAAGATATTTAAGGTCAAATCAGTGTTCTGAACGTCCAAATATTACATTCTTTATTATTATGAAAGAAGATCATAAAAAATCTACAGAACATTTCATTTTTATAAAACTCTTTTTTTTTGAAATTTCCCAATGCTACTCTTGTATATCCCTTACAAGAGCCATACGTAAACAGTTGCATCTACAGCCCATTCTCCAATGTCAAATCCCCTTTCTTAAGTACAAAGTTAATAAACTGCCCTATCTTAAGTACAAAGTAAATAAACCATAAAAATTCAGGATCTACACATTACTCCGAGTCATACGATTTATAATTCTGGCGCAACGGGCAGATGATGAAAAATCATTCGACATTGTAGGGGCATTGACATTGAAGGATCTGTAGCTTCCAGTGCTAATTTATACGAAGAGTGTGTGTGAATGACTGACGAAAAAATTAATATCTTATATTTCATTTATAATCTAAGCTAAGTGGCCCCACTTCCAACACAATCTCCAACATGGGCTTCCTCCATTATTTGGTCTTTATTTACCGACTTATATATTAGTGTACAAATATTAAACATATATTCTTGTGTTAAATTTTTTTAACACAAGATCCCAAAAATCAAAGCTGTAACATACCAATATACAACCTATTTCAATACTTTCAATCTCGCACAATAATAATGTAAAAAGCTTGTAAAAGGCATTTATAATCTCCGTTATAGAGAGTGTCTGGAAATTTAAAAATATACGGAGGTTGTTTGTTTGCAGCTATCGATTTCCTTGAGTAGTTGCGAAAATGAAGATTTCAGTATTAGCTCTTTCGTTGTACAGAGTTGGCCAAAGATGGCAAAAGATGGTATATTCATTTTAATTGCTCTAAATATTCTTTGAGTTTCCAAATTTCGATAATTTTGTTGAAAATTTTAAAGAAATGTAAAAAAATGTTGAACATGAGAAGCTTACAAATTTGATGATGCTTTAAACTACAATTAAAACTTCACGAATGAATATTAAATTGAAAATGACACTAATCTAAAAAAAAAACTCAGACACACAACAGAAGCAAAAATGGCAATATAACTAACGTTCAATACCTTCATACATATCCAAAATCGCAATGTAGTGACCGATTATACCCAAAACAACACAAATATGCCAGATATTATGACTTGAAAAGATATAATCGACCCACCACAAGGATAAGAAATCCTTATGATAAGGGGTAAACGTGGGTTTTAAAGGAAAATGCTTATCTAAAATTTCTTTATATTTATTGGAATCATCATCAACAAGAGGCGCCTCTTCAGGTTCAGGAGAATCAGAAATTAAAATATCATCGAAATTAGTAGCAGTAATTTCGTCTTCGATATTTTCAATTTCTTCACGACCACTATGTTCAATATTACCCGATAAGATTTCGGAAGTTGAATGAGAATGATTACAATTTTCATCTTCAGATATTATAACGTCGTATCTCCATCTTTCAGGAATCAACCCACCATAGAAAACCACTCCGAGCCAATACCAGATAAAGGATTGATAGACTAAAGGAGCAAAATACCAAGTTGATTTAATAAATCCATCATACCAACAAGAACAAAAGAAAGCAGTTATACCTAAAAATGCCAATCCCATGAAAAACCCAATTCTTAAAGATCTGCATTCAGGTTTATCAAAATACGGCGACCAATTAAAAATAAACCCGGTACCACCACAAATGATTGAAAAAGTCATATAGGTTAACAATAACCTTGGGTAATTATATAAGGAGCAATATTCTGCAACCACAATTGAAGCAGTGATTAAGATAGTAATACCAGTATAATCAACACAAGCACATCTAGTTCTAACTGATAATTTAGCAAAACAAGAATAAGTATGCCAAACAACCGAACATAATAGGCAAGACATTGCCGCAGCTAAAAATCCATACATTGGTAAATTATCTTTGTAAGTATTTAATTGATAAGCGGTTGTTTGGGGGAAATGAATAAAAGTCAAGTATGCAAGAACGAAAAACCCAATCAAATGTGACCAAATATTCATGGTTTCATTATGATTGAAATGGAAAATTGATTTCAACATTGTTAAATGATTAAGAGAAAACCTATAACCATTAATGATATAACGATTTTCTCTCCAACTTAAAGGTAATTCATAATAATGTAAGTATTGATGTTCAGCATTCTTAACTGCTCGATTGAAATTATAAAACTTAAAGTATTTGAACTTAGAGTCTTTATTATAATCGATTTTACTTTGAGGAGTTTTATCATGAATGAAATTTTCAATATGATTCAATTTTTCATCAAAATACTGTATTGTAGTGATAATCTTGTGGGACAATATCTCCTTCTTATTAACCGGAGATAAATCTTGATCAATAGATGGTATTCTCTTATGAGCACTGGTGTTAGATGAAAATAAGTAGTTATATTGATCATCCAACGTCTTATACAAATATTCTAAATTAGTGAATGATGTCTTCAAAACTGACTGTTTAACGAAATCAAGACGTTCATGAATCATATCCAAATTACTTAATGAAAATGACTTTAGCGAAGTGAAACTGCTGCTTCTGGATCGGGTCTTTTCCGGAGAAAGATATCCTTCTTCATTTTCTTCTTCATTTTCGTCCTCTTCCTCCTCTTGTTCGTTGGAAAACTTGAAATACTGATCCAAGCTATCCAACCTAGACTCAATTGTCGACAAAAACTTATCCAATTTTTCAACCAACAACTCTTCTGTCGATTTTTCCTCCACATTATCTCCTTTTCTAGTAGCCCTATTAATAAGTCTGCTTCTCAACCGGGACCCACCTAAGTCCTCCTGACGGGCCCCAACACTCGTACTAGTAGATGATGTAGCTGTCATGACACACTAACGCACTGTTATAGCCCACTATACTATCAAGAATCTTGGTCACGAACCAAAAGGATGTCTTTAGTACTTATACAAATTTTTTTTTTTTCTTTTTTTTTTTTAAATACATGTGGGAAGCCTAATTTTTTCATGCTCAACTTCGGCCAATTGCAACAACGATAACAAAGGCCCAATACTTTCAAAGATAAAGGGCCTTTATCAATAGATGGTGGAGAACCATACGAGGAAAGGGTTACACACCCAAAGGGAAACCCTTTGGAGCAGCAGTTGCAGCAGCAGTTGCAGTTACAGTTGCAGTCGCAGTTGAGAGCTAGATGGGTTGTAAAATCACAATCGTCCGTAGGAACAATAAAGATTGTGATAGTATAATAGAACAACAGCTTTAACAAAATTTCATGAACTGTAATACAAGACAATAAACGCTTATTTTATGATAACAATCAATCTCTTAAGGTACTGGAGATATTATTTTGCTTGGTTGGCTGATTATGTAATTCACCTATTTGGGTTCGATTGCTTATTCGTGACAATAGGGCTAACCTTATTGTATTATGGGTTAGACTACAGATTGAATACTTTAAATGGGAGTGGAATTACATATTAGAATAACTGTGAGTCAAAATATGTGTGACAGTTATGGCGAATTAAAAATATTAAGTAGAACTAAACTAATATAAAGTTGCAAAAAAAAAAAAAAAAGTAGAACTTTTTAAACATCTTCCTTGTGATGTTTTAATCTTTCGAGGTTTTCGAAATCCCATAATGCTTTTCTTAAAGGTTTTGACATTTTGAAGGTTGAAGTTAATTGATTGTATTCTTCTTTTAATTTCAAGTCTTGGTCTAAATTAGAATTATCTCTACCCATGGAATCGAATAAGAATTCTTTTTCTCTAGCATGAGTATCGGTGACTTCTTTAGTTAAGTAGTATTCAACCAAAATATCGTCATCTTCTAATAATTTCAAAACTTCATTATCAGACATGTGATTAATTTTATTCAAGAGTAAATCTTTATCAACATTACCATCTTTATTTAAGATATCGTAATGAGGGAAAGCTTTAGCAATTTGTTCTTTTCTTAACCATAAGTTCAAACGGTTGACAAAATACCAATCTCTGAATTCATAACTTGATAAACCTTTTGAATATTCGAAAATTAACCGATCGGTAATAGTCAGAGGAACATAAACTGGCACCCCTCCAATTAATGAATATTTTAATGGTGATAATTGCTCTAACGTATAGAAATGTTTTCTACGATCATTATAAATTTCAATTTGATCATCGTTAAAACCTTTGTTAATGTTGACCAAGGCATTATTATTATATTCTTCTGGAGTGTTTGCCTTTGATTTGGCCAAGGCAGTAATATCAATATAAATACCCGAATCAACATCAACAAATCTTGCATCAATATGATTTGAATTTTGACTAATATCACGATTATGAATATAAGTACCAACATCAATTAAAAATTTCCCATAACCTTCAGTTGGATCTTCTAAAACTAATGTTTGGTTATAATCTTTTGCTAAACGAGCTAATTCAATCATTGGCATTTGAATATCAATGTCAACATCAAATGGGAACATTAACCCATCCCAATACCAACTCAATAATGGTCCATGCATAATCCAAGTAACAATTCCTTTTTCCTCAGCAAATCTATTCCAATTTCTTAATAAACGATCTAAAATAATATTGGTTCTAACAATTAACTCTGATTGAGTCCAACCAACACTATCATAATTAAGAGCACCATTGAAAAATCTCCAATCATAATGCCACCCCCATTCACGGTCACGATTACGATCATCATCAATTCTAATAGTGGCCATTTTGAAATAAGTTGGTTCATTCTTAGAATCATAATTAGAACATTGTTTTAAACCTTCATAATAATGACGTTCGTTAATTGGTAAATTATCAACTGGTACATCATTTTTTTGTTCGTAAAAATAAATTTGATTATGAATCATGGTCTCTGGATAGTCAAACAATTTGGCTGGTAATTCCAATTCTCTTGATTGTTTTGGATCGGTTTGTTTTCTCAAAACTTTATACATTCCTTGAATATCCTCCTCGTCAGTTAAATAACGGGGTTTAACTGAATCTAACAATTGTTGATATTCTTTGATATGATTCAAGTTTAAAACAGTTTTATCATTAAAATTTGAAGAATCTAAATTATTACTTGAAAGATAATTATTAATAATGTTTGATTCAACTAGTCTAGTATTATCATTTAAATCAACTTCAAATTCAAAAGTACCACCATTTTTATCACCATTTAATAATATAACTCGATGAGGTTTTGGTAAATGAGTTAAAGCATAAGATTTTGATTCTAAAACTCTAAAATCATTGAATGGACGATCATCATGAGATGAGTGTCCATGAATTATAAAACCCGGTAATTGACTTTTAGATTGAAATCCAAATTTTTTAATTTCTTCATCAGATAATTGATCATTGTTTTTACAAAAATATGAAGGATCAGGATTGTTATTAGTATGTTGTCTAATGTAATCACAATTGACTCTTTGATCAATTGGTTTTGCTAAATCTTCATTCAATAAACTTAAATCCATCCAATCAGACCAATGGAAAGGTAATTTAATGGTTGGAACAGAATTAGCATCAACTTTACCTTCTTGATCAGGTTTTTTAAATTGTAAAAAATTGGTTTTAAGTTCATTAATATACATTGATAAAGTAAATCTTGGGTCGAAAAATAAAGCATTTTTGGTCAACCAAGAATTATCGTTATTATTTTGATATTGTTTTAGAAAATTAACAATTGGTATATCAACTGAAATTTCAGTTAACTCAGTATGAGCTAACCAATAACGTTCTTTATCACTTTTAACTTTTTCAAATTTTTTATTTAAAAGTTTTTCAAAAGCAGTACTATATCTTCCTCCTTTACCACCTTTATTTAAACTTTGAGGGCTTTGTGATTGATCATTTGAATTTCTATAAGGATCCGAATATATTCTAGTCAAATCAGAAAATGCCCTATATTCACCAAGGTAAAAAAATGAAAAATAAAGAATGTTAATGAAAACAACCGATAGTAAAATTAATTTCACTAATTTAGTAGAAGGTCGTGATCTAAGTATCCTAGGTATTTGGAAAGGTAATTTATGTTGAATATTCATCTTCAATACCTATATTATAACTAACCTTCACTTTCAAATATATAACCTTCAACAGCCAATTTATAATCTTCCAATTTAACTAAGCCTGGGGAATCAATTTGGAGAAAATAACAGAAAAAGTTTAAAGCACCTGAATTCACCAACTCTTTAAGCCAAATCTACTGAAACAGCCTACCACAACTCAGAACAAGAAGATGTACAAGATACTGAAGATATAGAAGTTACTCTAGGCAATAAGAAGAACAACTAATATAATGGTCCTCTCTTCAACAGTGAAACTTTCGGGTCAGTAGCCTTTTCACTGAGTTTTGTCTTTCTTTTCTTTTTCCAGTCTTTTTTTTTTCGTTTTGTTAGCAATTTTTTTTTTTTTTTTGCTAATTGTTTTTTTGGCAGTGTAAAATTTTGTGGTATTCTAAGCTTCAACAAAGTATTGTCGATTGTACCTTAAACAAAGATGGATACGCGACTTGAGTGTTTGCTTGGTTAGTCAATAATTTCAAGCCTCTTTACAGGGTAGGGTACCAAATAAACTAGAGATGGTTCTAATTAGAGTGAGAAATGTTATGTAAAACGCAACATTAAACGGTTTTAGAGTGAAATTTGTACATGAAGAGTTGATTTTGTAGAAAGTTGATGCCTTCCCCTTACAGTAATTGCTCACACGACCAATGGAGGCAGTATCTAAACGATTACGAATGTATTGAATCTTATTGATGTGCACCAACTAATCAGTTGATCTATTTCACGTTAATAGGCTATCTATTAGACTAAGATATAATGATTAATTCATATGAATATTAGCGAGTAAGCTAGTCAATTGGATTTGGAAGGAAGATTCGAATTTATCTAGTTCACTAGTACCCAAATCATTCATTGATTTATCGATTGATGCTAGTTTTTTATATAATTCTTGTTTTTCTTTGTTGTTAACGTCTTTTTCTTTTAATGAATCTTGGTGTTTTTGTAATAGATTAAACTCTTCTAATTCTCTGGCATCAATACCAAATTCTTTCCCGTCAGTATTACGGAAGATATCATTATTAACATCATCCCATTTAGAATCAATCATTTGTTGATGATCCTCTTCTTCGCCAGCGGCTTGTTGTTGTAGATAATCTTTTAACAATCTTCTTTTGGTTAAGATATTTTCAATTCTATTATTTAATTGATTCCAAAATAGATTGATATCTAAATCATTTTGACTTGATAATTGGGTTAAGTTTAATTTAACACTCGATTCATTAATGTACTTCATTCGAAGTAATTTTAAGAAATTTTCAATCCATTTGATTAATTTTATAAAAAGTTTTTGATCGTCTTTATTATATAAATCATTTATGAATCTCCATAAAACAATTTGATGTTTATCAAGAATTTTTTTAAACTTATTGAATATTTCAATCGAGCTCATATAAAAAACTTCCCCGTTATTCAATTTTCCTAATTCTTTCATTAAATCATCCATGAATTTTTCAAAATCTTTGAAAACTAAATGAATGTCACATTTTTTGAAAATTTTCATTAATGGTTGATAAAATATCGTTAAAAACTTCTTAATTAATTGAGTCAATTCTGGTTCTTGCCATAATTGTTTCATAATATCTTTATCTCTTCGGCGAATCAATAGTTGCCAATACTGTTTCAATGTTAAATACAACTCACTATTGCTGATTTCTTGTGTTCCATCAAGGGACTCATATGATTTATAACTTTTCAATATTTCGTGATATTTCTCATCTTGATCCGATATTACAAACCCGCCACATTTAGCCGTTTTCAAAATTGTCAATAATAAATCTTCATTACCGTCCATGGCTTCAGTTTTAATCTCATCAATGACTTCGATTTTCTCAAGTGCAACGTATTTATCAATTTTATTAATAAATTTGTTATACTTCCCATCTTTTAAAACTTCTCCTTCTAATAATTGTTTGATCTCTTTTTCATAATCACCTAAATCTTCATCCAATAACATTACAAACATCATTGATAATAGATTCTTAGCTCCAGTCTTCTTTGATGCAGTTTTTAATTCATCGTTTTCTTTACTACTACTACCAGGCCAGGATGGTAACAGAAAACTTGGGAAATTTACTAATAATAAATCAACCACTCTTGAGACAACCTTGACTGGATTAGTAAATTTTAAGATCCCATAAATTATATTATATGGAAATAATCTATGAAATTTTTGACATTTTATTAACCATTCACTTGAATTATCTTGTCCTAAGAATACTTGATATAATGTGGCAGCAACCTCTAATTTACACCACTCTAAAAATGTTTTCAATAATGGCGATAATTCATCTATTGATTTACTTTCACTTAATTCTTTAAAGATCTCACTCAATGATTCAGGGTTACTGATTAACTGTTCCTTAAATTGATCAAAATCTTGCGATAATTCATAAACTATTTTAGCAGTTTGCTGTTGAAATTCCCTTTGAGTAACAATTATGGATTTTTCATGTTCTAATCTTTCTTCATGGTCTATTGATTCATCAATTGATAAATTGTCAAAAGCTGATTCATAGATAAAATGAGTGAAAATTTCACTTTGTACAATCTCAACATGTTTAACTAACTTAGACAAATATCCACGGAGAGCCAATCTAAGCTTTTCTCGATATAATTTAATTTTGATATTTCCTGGTTTAGGATCTTCATCAACCAACACAGTATCGGCTTCCAGAGATTTACTGTCACTTTGACTTAAAATAGGTGAATCCAGTTCTTCCATACTAACACCATCATCGTGTTTCAATTTGGATGGTAATGCTGGTATATCAGTAGCCATTAATCCAGGATATTTTTTTTTCAATTTCGATTCTAGTAATTTGAAATCATGGTATGGTTTTGAAACAAAGTGTGATCTATATTCGTATGCCCCATTGTCATTCTTCAGTCTTTTGGTGACTTGAATAATGAATTCATAGTTATGCTTTGGCTTGTTATTCAGTGTAGCTGACAGAATTATAGGAATATGTTTGAATACATTCCAAGAACTTGATCGTTCCATGGTTTGTCCACTAGTTACACTAGAATTTGAAGGTTTTCTTTCAATATTCAACCAATCGCCAACCCTCTTAACCGCAATTATATTTAAACTCAAATCATTCACGTATTTGAATTTCTTAAAGTCATCCAATTCAACATTAGTTTGAAAATCATCGGGCTTAGCGGCTGCACCTTTTTGCAACTTATCCAATTTACCAGTATCAGAAGGTTTTAAGTGATCTTCATGCAAATAATTCAAATCCTTCTCACTTATCAACATTGAATTGTAAAATAATAATAGTCCATGTAGTAACTTGGTATTAACTTGTTTTCTTTTAGTGATTTCGTCCTTACGTTCTAAAGAATCACTCACATTTTTTGTATTGAAGCTTTCCACAAATGGCTGCACAGTGTCTCTCCAAAATTCCAATTGGTCTTTCTCCGGATTGTTGGTGATAAAAGGGAAAGATTGAATGAAATTACTGAAAAAGTACTTCAATAGAGGTAATGTTTCCTCTCCTTGGCTTTTGGGCTTTTCATCTCCAAGTTTCTCCTCTTTTGATGACTTGAATGGAAACCCCAAATATTCAAGACAGTTTGGCTTGGATAAGTAATGAAGCTCGTGGCTTAATTGCGTCTCCAATAGATATTTCTTCAAAAAATGATCTTGAGTAGGTGTCAATTCACTAAGGAATTCAGCATCTCTAGTTAAATTAGTTGTCATTCCTACTTAAACCCCCGGGTTCTTCAAGTGTAGCTTATAGCCAATGGGTATCTTACCTTATTGAAGTCAATACAACTCGTATAGACTCTTTATCTGGTGGCCTGCTTAGATTAACCCTTGCCTGTTGATTATCTCTAAGCAATTGTAACTGACCTTGATATCAGAAAACCAAACTGCAAAGTGAAATCATTTACAGGTTGTAGATGTCACGTGATACACTCGCTAAAAATTTTTTTTATTTTTTTTTTTTTTTTAGCTGATGCGATGGGATGCCCTTACAATTTTTTTTCTCCCTTCTTACTAGATTTTTCAGATTTGAAAAAACTTGTTCAAGAAGCTTTTCCTTCCAGTTTACTTAGGAAATCATATAGAATAACAATGGGTACTCAAAAGAAAGAAAAGCAAAGAAGAGTGAGGCAGAATGATACCAGAGATGGTAATCTTCGAGTAAAGGGAGAGAATTTCTACAGAGATGCTAAGAAGGTGAAACATTTACAGATGTACAAGACCGGTAGAGCGGTCAGAAATGCTAAGGGGGAGATTATTAAGGAAGCTGATTTACAAAGTACTGATGCTCCTACTGCTAGAGTTGATCCAAACAGAAAATGGTTTGGTAACACCAGGGTGATTGGCCAAGATGCATTAACTCATTTCAGAGAAGCAATGGGAGATAAAAAACATAATTCCTATCAAGTTTTATTAAGAAGAAATAAGTTACCCATGTCCTTGTTGGATGAGAAGGACCAAGCTGACTCTCCAACAGCTAAGATATTAGAAACCGAATCTTATGAACATGCTTTTGGTCCAAAACAACAACGTAAGAAACCAAGAAATGTTAATGCCTCTTCATTGGAAGAATTGGCCCAAATAACGGAGCAGGATTCTCAAAAATATGATGAAAAACAAGAGTTGGATTCCACCTTGGGATTAATGGGTGGTTCTTTCTTGGATAATGATGATTTTACTCAAGCTGCAAAAGAAGCTATTTTCCATAAAGGTCAATCCAAACGTATTTGGAATGAATTATATAAAGTCATTGATTCCTCTGATGTCGTTATTCATGTGCTTGATGCCAGAGATCCTGAAGGAACTAGGTGTGCATCTGTTGAAAAATATATTAGGGAAGAATGTCCTCATAAACATTTAATCTACGTTTTAAACAAATGTGATTTAATCCCAACTTGGGTAGCCGTATGTATTAAACCTTTTACTGACTTTATTTTAGGATGTCTTTCTGATTTGTTACTTTCATTTTTTTTTTTTGCTTTTATTTTGTTTCACTTCTCTAAACACCAAAGCCTTTTGTCAGGGTGATACTCGTTGGTCTACTTAGATCGACACCTACCTAAAATGTTGCCTGTTACGTCTTTGGAAGAATAATGCTATCCGCCCGTGTTCCTGATCGCTCGTTTTGAGAATCAGTTTTCTTTTCGTTTTGAATCGAGATTTGTTCACATCTTTATCAGCGTTTTGTTGATATTCCTTAGGTTAGCGACGGAGTCTTATTGAGTTGAAACTTTTCTTTATCTTATGATAAACCAATGAAATGTTTCGTAGTATAGAAGCCGACATCTATCTTGTTATAAAATGTTTTTCTCTTCTTTTATCATATTGAGCTTTATTTTTTGCTTGCAAAGACATCCTGATTTTGAATAATGTTGCATTTTCAAAAAAAATTCACTTACTAACATTTCTATAGGCTGCTTGGGTTAAACACTTATCTAAATCATACCCAACTTTAGCATTTCATGCCTCTATCACAAATTCTTTCGGTAAAGGTTCTTTAATCCAATTGTTACGTCAATTTTCATCATTGCATTCAGACCGTAAACAAATATCGGTTGGTTTTATTGGTTATCCAAATACTGGTAAATCTTCAATCATTAATACTTTACGTCGTAAGAAGGTTTGTACTGTTGCTCCAATTCCTGGTGAAACCAAAGTTTGGCAATATATTACCTTGATGAAGAAAATTTTCTTAATTGATTGTCCAGGTATTGTACCTCCAAGTTCAAAAGATTCCGAATCTGATATTCTTTTCAGAGGTGTTGTTAGAGTTGAACATGTTTCCAACCCTGAACAGTATATTGCCGATATGTTGACAAAATGTGAACGTAAACATTTGGAAAGAACTTACGAAGTTAAAGGCTGGAGTAGATTTGAAGAAGATCCTGAATTATTAGAAAAAGCCAGTCTTGAATTTATTGAATTAATTGCTAGAAGACAAGGTAGATTATTGAAAGGGGGAGAACCAGATGAATCCGGGGTATCTAAACAGATTTTAAATGATTTTAACAGAGGTAAAATCCCTTGGTTTACTGCTCCTCCAAAAGATGAAGAAGAAAGAACTGGTGAAGATAAGAAGGCCGGTTATAAAAGAAAGAGAGCTGAAAAAGCTGAACGTGAAAATGCTAAGAAGCAAAAAATCGAAGATAAAATAAATGCTGAATATGCTAAAGAGGAAGAGGAAATTAATGGTCAAGTCGATGAAAATGAAAAGGAAGATAAACAAGATGAAAATTAAGGTTTTTAATTACATTATTTCTGTATATTAGGGTATTTATTTTTAATAGTTTTATTCAGTTCGTATCAATGCTTTATATTCTTGTCATTTTATTCAACATTGAAACTTGTAGTCTTGTAATATGAATACATATACATTAAAGTAAATATTAACTAGAAGAAAAGATGTATGAAAATAAAGAAGATGATTTAACAGCTAAAAATATAGAAAAGTAATAAAAATAGGAAGAAAAAAAACCAGACTTAACGACAAACAAACAAAAAAATGAAAGAGTGAACTTCAAAACTTAAATAACAGATCAATATGTTTATATAATATACGAAATTAATAATGATAAAGAAATAATAAAGAAAAACAAAACAAAAATTTGAACATTTCAAGTCATATCGATTAAATTGGTCTACCAAAATGAACAACACCACTTTTTGAAATGGTGGCACTTGGAGTTACAGGAGTTTGAACTGTAACTCCTCCATTAGCGAAGGGTTGTTGAACAATTGGAGGTTGAGGTTGACCTTCGGATTCACCATAAGCATTTCCAAGTCCCCAAAGAACCCCTTTGTATTTACTAAGGGATTGTGAATCATATCCAATTTGTCTGAAAAGGTCTTTAAAACACTCCATTGATAAGTATGCATGTAGGGTAGAAGTCATTTGTTGATGTTGATGACCTGGTAATTGATTACCAGAAGAATAACTAAAATATTGACGAATGGCAGGTGAAATTGGTAATAAGTGCAATTCTTCTGCTAAATATTCAATAGAAGGTTTGTTATTACCACGAGTAAGATCACCATTAGCATCAAGCCCACCAGCAGTACCTGCAAGACCATTTGCACCTTTGGAGCCTAATATTTGAACACCAATATGTTTCAAATCATAAAAGTTAGGAAAGTACTTTGAGCACCACCAGTAAAAATCTTTTTCATCAAGAGGAAGATTGTCATTAATTAATAAACTAATTAAGAATCCCAAATCATAACCGGAATGATAACTGATCCAATTAATGGAGGCATCGAGTAATAAACCGGATTCGATGATTAATTCAGAAAAATTAAAATGTGGAATACCTTGAGTCATGTGCATTTGTAAATTAACTTGGGATGACTGTGATAACATAGACAAATGTTCTTCGTTGTACATTTCTTTGGTTAAATCATATAAAAAATTAAATTGCCATATTATAGAGGTACTGATTTCATTTTGTTTAACTTTGGTAACACATAATGATAATTGAATCAAGTTTAACAAATCTGAATTTGATCTCAATGTTTGGAAATGATAATCTGACGAAGATTTAAAAGTACCTACTGGTCTAGCAACAATCCCCGGTATTTCTTGATGAATTGCAATATAAATGGTAGACTTTATATCGTTCACAAAAGTACGTAAATTGTGGAATTCATGTTCTAAATTATGGGCCCAAACTTCTTTAATTATAGGAATCTGTTGCTGCTGAGGGACTTGATGAGCATGGACTTGGGCATGGACATGGGCTTGTGCGGCCTGAGCTTGGGCTTGGGCTTGGGCTTGTGCCTGAGCTTGGGCCTGAGCTTGGGCCTGAGCTTGGGCCTGAGCTTGTGCCTGAGCTGCCTGAGCTTGTGCCTGAGCTTGATGTTGTTGTTGAAGTTGTTGCTGGAGAGGATGGGCATGTTGCAGAGGTTGTTGCAGAGGTTGTTGTTGTTGCTGTTGTTGTTGCTGTTGTTGTTGCAATTGTAATTGCAAAAGAGGGTTTACACTCTGATTGAAGTTAAGATTGGAGATTCCATTACCAGGAGTTGGTACTCCAATTGGACCGGTTTGATTTGAAGGAGCATTACCATTGAGAGCGGCTAGCAAAGGATTTGTGGCCGCACGAGGAGTCCCTATTTGTTGTTGTTGTTGCTGCTGCTGTTGTTGTTGCTGCTGCTGTTGTTGCTGTTGTTGCTGTTGTTGTTGCTGTTGTTGTTGTTGTTGCTGGATGTGTTGGTTAAGCAATTGCTGTCTTTGTTGTTGTAATTGATGCTGTTGCAATTGCAATTGTGAAATCTGCGGTGATTGTCCATTAGCATTAATATTTTGAGACTGGGGTTGTTGCTGTAACTGGTGCAGTTGTTGCAAGTACTGAATATGGGGGTTGAAATTCATGATAGCCCTTGTTTCAACCAGTACTGGATCCTGATGTTATTACTTCTTCGAAACTCGAATGGAATCTTTTTAATTTGTCCTTCTGTACTTATAAAAGGAACACTTCTTTCAAAACCCTGTCAATAAGTAGCAACTTCAATGATACAGTGAAAACAAAGATCCTGAATGAGAATAAAACAATATTTAAGATCTGGTTTGATGGTTCAACACTGCTAATGGGTTTTCTCTTTACTGCTCAAAGAAAAGCTCAAAACTTAGAAAGAAAAAAAAAAAAAACTCAACGAGCAAAATTGCATTTACACTACTCTTTCTTATTACTGCAATATTAAACTAAAACTATTTGGTATAAAAGAAAGATATATATATGATGATAGATCAATGGGGAGTGTAGAGGGGAATCATAATTGATCTCTGAAAGTACTTATAGGGTCATTTGCTTGCCTAGGTCCATCACGGAAACCAGAATCAACAGCAGAACCCTGTAAATAATTATGATCACCGATTCTTCTTGGTTTTATCAAGTGCTGTAATAAGAAGGCAACACCCAAGACCAAAGACACAATGGCTACAATGATGTAGATGACACCCAAACTGAGATTACGGCCTCCAAAGACCGAATTAGTGGTGATAACCAAAGTTTTAGTGCCACCAAAGATGGAAACAGGGTAATTCATCCCTATCGATATTTCATAAGTTCCTGAGGACATTGTTGAAGTAGTATTTTTACCATAAAGCTTGTAGAAGGTAGGCAAACCAGCAGTTCTCATCCAATTTTGTAAATGTTCCCACTTATGTAAATCTGGAAGATTTGAATCATTATAACCATCCGGAAACATTTTATACCAATTAGGAGGAGGAACAATATCACTTGCTTTATAGTTTGTCTTTTTATATTTGTGTTTGAGGTCAGACCCCCAAGAAATGCCCTTTTCGGATAATTCGTAGGTTTCATTATTACTTCCAGATTTAGCATTTAAAAGAACGGGACTTTCAAAAGTATCATTGAAAAAAGAATTAGCAATTAATCCACAAGGGTAAATGATTTTATCATCGCGTTCTTTCACCGGAGAACAATCATTTTCCAAATCAGCTTTAGTCACTGCAATACCTTTTAATTGTTCTAAATCATAAGAAGAAACGTATTTACGATGATTTTGGAAAAAATTATTAAGTTTATAATATAAATAAATTGGCGGTTTTAAATCAACCGGTAATGTGAATTGAATTTGACAAGTTTGTTTCAAATCATCAAAATCATCGGTACCATTCACAACTCTCCATTTATAATCTGGATTAGTGTTTTTATTTTTAAAATGGAAACTAGTATATTTAGATGGAATTGACTCATAGTTTTTAGATTTTAATGATCCACATTTGGAATAATCAACTTGTAACGTTTGAACATTATAAGTACTATGTATTATAGCAATACCTAATGGAGCAAATATACATGCTAATATGAAAAAAAGTGGAATCACAGTCTTGGGAGTCAAAATTGGTTGCCATGCTTTCAATCTCTGTTGTCTGAAAGCAGTATTTGGGGGTTTCCTCGATTTAGTTCTGTTCGATGCTGCATTACCATTCCCACTAATCATATCATCGGATTCATCATCGTCCAAATCGTGATTCTTTCTTTTCCGTAAAAAACTCATGCTTCTTTGTGCTGTAGCAATTACTTCTTTTTCCTGGTGTTCAATTCTAGCTTTTTCTCTTGGGAATAATCACTTTCTTTAATTCCTTCGAATCGATTAACCTTCCATACCTTCATAAAGTAAATAAAAATGATATCGCTCAGCCTAACATTTTTTGAAAAAATGTCGTGTCAAGTAAAGGACGGTATGTACGGGTTTGTTTGTGGTGCTACAGCGTAACTGAATATCAATGATTCAACTAAATATATAAAGAGGATATGCAAAAAGGAAGCTAGTTTCTAGAGCTAGATCTGTTTTTTTTATTGGTGTTTTGTTTTTTATCTCTTCCACGTTTAAAGTCGGGTTTGCTATTATTATTTCTATGTTCTCTTGGTTCTAAAGAAATGACATTTTCACCAATTTTGAGAGTTTTAGCTTTCAAGGCAGCTTCTTGATCTTGTTTTGTTTTGAAATCAATTAATGCAACTCTGTTGTTTCTTCTGAAGAATTTGAGTTGACCAAAGTTTTTGGCCAAGGCATCTTTCAATTCTTCGTCGTCCACCTCGACATCACGAACATAAATTGGGTACCAGTCTTCTTTTTTGTATTTCCCATTAGGAGTTGGACGAGCAGTGGGGTTGGTGCTAGGAGCCGGACTGACCTTCTGTGGTGGAGTCGACTTTTTCACAATTGGAGCTGGAGCTGGAGCTGCTTTAGCGGCCCCGGGAGAAGCAACGGTGGCAGTTTGACCGGTACTTGATTTAGGTGGTTCTTTGGCGGCCAATGCTGCCCAAGATAATGGTGCCGAAGATCTGTTTGATTCTTTGGTGAAATCCTCTTCGTCACTTGGCTTGGATTCTGTGGTATCAGCATCTTTATCCAGGTCATTAACATCAGAAGACTTTTCTCTAGGTCCGATTGGTTCTTTGTCTTTAGATTCCGATGGTTCGTCTTTTGGTTCAGGTTTAGGTTCGTCTTTTGGTTCAGTTTTTGGTTCAGTTTTTGATTCAGCTTTTTCAGCTTTTTCAACTTTTTCAACTTTTTCAACTTTTTCAGCTTTTTCAGCTTTTTCAGCTTTTTCAGCTTTTTCAGCTTTTTCAGCTTTTTCAGCAGATACGCTCTTTAATTCAGTCTCAGTATCTTTTGATTCTTGTTTTGCTTGTTTGGAGCCATTGGACACAGGAGTTGCATCTGCAACAGGTTTTTCAGATTCTGGTTTAACAGATTCAACGTAAGTTTGGTTAATTTTAGATTCATCATATTTACCAACTTCGATATACTTTAAAATATCATTTCCAACATCGTAAACTTTTTCTTTACTTGGAGATAAAAGAAAAGTTTGAGAAAACTGATAATATGGCGAATCACCTTTGGCCCATTCACCGAAAACAACAATCAAGATATTTTTTTCAAAAGAAAGTTGGAAATCAGCACTGGTGATAACAATTCTATTTTGAACTTCAGGAGACGATTCAACTCCTTGAAAATGGCTTTTAATTGCCTCAGTACCCTTAGCTTGATACAAGACTTTTTGTTCGGGAGATTCCGAGTTTGGGAACTTATCATGACTGATACTAGCATTCTTATCATACAATTTGAAAAGATTATTGATACTCTTGGTATAAACTTCATAGTATCTTTCAATGAATAACCAGCCAATAGATTCTGGAAGAACACTTGGTGACTCGGCTGGTGGAGTACTGGTGGCCGGTGGAGAAACAGTCATTATTTCTTCTTCTCTATTACCTTTTATTCAAATTCCAATGATAAACTCGGTATTATCAATTTTCAAGCACAATATCAATTTACAAATAGGATTGAATTGAGCGATACTGTAGCTTTACGCCTAACCTTTGTTTATAATAAGATCTAAGCCCCAATAGGATAATATGGGCTAGCGGCAATAAGTAACACTTCGAATGAAAGACTCTCCAAGGTACTTGGTAAACGTTCGTTGATGAAGAAAAATGACAAAATGTTCACTTCGATAGTTTTTCAATTTTTTAAATTTTTCGACCTAATTTTTTTTCGCTCACAAATTTTCACCGGTTTTTTTGGGTGCTTATGCCTTCAATGTCAGTGTCTATCGAGTGGATAGGTTAAGAGAAACGGGTGCTGCGGTCGGAACAGTGCTTGTTAGAGAGGAGGTGATATAATAAGTGGCAAAAAGCGGGTTAGGAAGCCGGGATCAAAATGACCTTAATTACGAGATTTCAGATTGAAAGTACCGGAACCGTGTGATATATTACGTTATGTAGTATGTATATGTAGTAGATATGTACGTATGATGTAGATGAATGGACAAGGGTTGATATTAGGTGATAATAGGCGACTAGGGATGAAGGTTGGTGATAATAGTTGGCAGGGGATGAAGGTTGGTGATAATAGTTGGCAGGGGATGAGGGTTGGTGATACTTGGTGATATTTGGAAAAGGGACATAATCTTTGTCTATTGACACTCTTTTAAAAGTTCTTCTAAGATTTTGTTTTCAGTTTCACCTTTATTGGTTACGTTATTGAAACTTTTAATACCCATTCTTCTCAACACCAAAATGGTTTTATCTCTAGGGAAACCCATATTTTCAAACTGAGTGACGATTTCATCATCAATCCCATACAAGGCAGAATCACTCAAGGCGGCTTGACCATCCTTCTCACCATCACTGGCGTATAATTTAGTCCAATAAGCAGCGGTTTCATCAAAACCAGCTTTATTGGAAATGTAGTGTTTGGCAACTTCGGCATCTTGTGGATCGGATGGTTCAGGTGATTGTAATAACGATTGCAATGAAATCAAGGAGCTTTTCAAAGTTAAAATGGGAGTCCAGGCATCCTTTAAAATATCCAAACAAATGGCTCCAGTAACTGATGATATATTTGGATGGTAAATCTTAGTCAAGAATTTCATTTGTGGTGGTTTAAATGGGTATTCATTTGGAATATTAATATCGACTTGGAAAGTACCCTTTTCATATGGTGTCCCTGGAGGTCCCTTGAAATATCCAGTCAAATGTGTTAAATCAGTTTCATTATTCAATCTCAAGGACACTCCTGATTGAGCATCCTGACGACATTCTTCCAATTCTTTGGCAATTCTTTTAACACGAGACATTTTCTATCAATCCTCAATCAATCGCTGTCCAATAAAACTATCTTCCAAAAGAATAAGCTGAAATAATTATAATTGAAAAGGGTCTACGATCTTCTCGTTCGTTCGCCTTCTGTTTTTTTCTTTAAAGCTGGCAATTTTGACTTTTTTTTTTTTTTTCTTTACTCTTTGTTTTGCTTTAACTTATTACCAATTTAAGTGCGTAAATGAAAAATGTCTACATATGAATTATACTTTTATAGGACATTAATTATAAATATTGTACATAGTATAGTATACAGTAGTGGGGACAAGCGAAAATGAAACAAATCGGGGTTGAACTTTTGTAAGATCTGCTTAAGCAGTTGTGCCTTCACTAACTACTTGAGCCAAGGTTGGGTTTGATGGATTTGATGGAGCAGGTCCACCTTTAACATTTCTAGATAATGCTTCAAAGATAACTTTCAATTCAGGGGATGCATCTTTGACGAATGGTAATTCAAAGAATCCGTAATCGCCATTTTTCACTAATTCTGTGAAAACAATTGTCAACCCCCATGGATGAGGCTTATTAACAATTTGTCTTTCTAGTAAAACTCTGGTAATAATCTCTTGAATGGTTAATTTAGCATTTCCTTGACCCCAAATGGAGTTGGAGCTAAAGAAGAATAGTATGATACCAATGAACCAATGGGTGTGACTATTTGGATAACGTAATTGATTAGCAATTGAATTAATTATATGGAATTTAAATTCAAGAGATCCATTATTAACCAAGTCAACTAATAATGCAACATGAGAAGATTTTGTATTAAAACCTCTAACGTTATTAGGTAATCTATCAGCAACAGCAGAAATACCGATATGTAAAACTAAAGCATTGATTAATTTAACATTATAGTGAACGGTTGTAAAACCATAATCGGATGAATACTTAGGATGGTTCAATTTAGTACCATTATAAATCGATCTCATCAAGGTTGGTGCTGGGATACGTAAGAAGTTATCGACTGGTTTCTTCAATCCGACTTTGACCAAATCATCCGATGGTTTATAAGCAACCGTTGGTGCATCATTAATTTCTGGTAATCTTTCAACTTTCAAGCCTTGAGTGAAGGGGTCAACAAGTTGGATGTTCTTTGGAGTGGCTGATAATATGATATTTTTCAATTGGACATAATTATTTGGCACTGCAGTTACCAATTGATAATGACATTCAGCCAAAAATTCAGGGTTGTCATGAGATAAACCAACAAACATTCTATTGATGGCTTTGAAAATAACATTAATGACATCATGATGAACGAATTCGTCTTTAGCGTAAACACTATCAAATTTCAAAATTGCAGTCATTAACTTAACCGCTGTTGGATATCCCTTCTTTTCTGGTAGTTCAAGTAATCTTGGTAAAAACATACGATGCGAGATTAATGAAATCCAAGCGAATGTAAAACCTGGATAGATAATTGGTTGAAGAGAATTGAAAACTTCACCAATGAAAGGGAAAAAGTAACTGTCTAAATGACTAGTGGCATCTTTATCTGTGACAGATGCTTCATTCCACCAACATAATAACGATGAAAAAATTCTGAAATATGCTCTTTCATTCCAATTACTTTCTGCCTCATGATCATTAGTTAATACCAAAATAAGAATACCAAAAATGTTTCTCAAGTAATCAATAGCTTCCTCTGGATGATCTTTATCAAAATTCAAAATTATTTGAACAATTAAAATAGCAAGAGCGTCAACAGCGAGGAAAACTTCACGCTGAGTTCTACTTCTAACTTCGTGTTCAGTGGCAAAAGCCGTGGTTGAAACTTCGGTTGCAGCTTTGAAAAATGCTTCAAAATAATCTGGTTCAACCAAAATTTTCTTGTTAAATAAGTCTTGAATGAAATATTTTTGTAAAATTTCTGTGCTTTCACCATGAGTTAAAAGTTTGATCCATTCGGTGAAAATGTATCCCATTTGCGTGTAAAGTTCTGGTGTTTTTTCTACACCGGCAGCAGGCAAACTAGATTTTTTCAAAAATTCAAACAAATCATCACGGGCATTCTTAGCTTGTTTACCTTCTTCTGTGGATTCGTCTCCAACATACTTAGATAAGGCGTCTAAAGTGAAAGCAAATTCAGATCTTAAAGCAATTGGTCTCAATTCATCAGAACTGAAAACATTCAATAATAAACTTGCGGCAAACTTAACCACAATTGGACTATTACTATCACTAATGAGTTTACCAACAGAAGCATCCAATTTAATTGGTTGAACGAGTTGAACTTTCAATAAAGAAAACATAACCGGCATATTGAATTTACGTTGATCAGATGAATGAACCAACCACCAAATGACATCCTTGGCAGTTGAGGGTGAATATTCACACAATTTATCCAAAACAACAACATAAATCTCATTGCTCATTGGATTATCATTCAGCTGGGTAAACAAGCAATTCACAGCATACTGTGCTACCTTCAACAATAACTCAGGAGATTTCAATGCTCTACTTTGAGCAAGACTCAAAGCTTGAGTTAAAGAATTCATGATAGGATGGTCAGCACCCAAATCACTCAATTTGGTCTCTTTAACATTAGTTAACAATTCAATTGCCTTTTCACAATTCTGTGTAATAGCAGCGAAAAGTTGATCAATAGAAACGAGATCGTCAACTCTTGGTGGTTGTTGTAATTGAGTTTGAGGTGGTTGATTCATAGATGACAATTGCTGTTGAGGAGTCATCAGAGTCACTGGAATAGCAGCACTTGGTACTGGAGTTGTACCAGATTGATCTGGTACAATACCAGGAGTAATTTGTGCTTCACTGTCAGCTTTCACAATCGATCCATTGGTACCAAAACCCGCGTAAATATTAATTTGACTTGAGCTTAAGCCTTCTGGTTGTAATCCTAATGGTGGGGGTAATCTCAAAGCATAATCAGAAGCGAATTCTTCAACAAAAGGCTTGCCAGCTGGATGGTGTTCACGTGCAAGAACATACTTTTGCATTCTTTCATCAATCATATCTCCAATGTTACCGGCAGCAATCTTATCAACAATATCAACACATAAATCAACATTGGATTGAATAGCGAGATTTAATTCAGCCAAAGGTAATTCAGCTGGGTTAATATTACCTAATAAGCTTATCATTGTAGCCTCAATGGTTTCACTCAAGATTTTGCGACCACTGCAAACTACCATACTATGGGAAAGTTGCTGAGCCAAAGTTTGATAACTAGAACGAAACTTGGTCAAGTCTGCTTCGGTAGCAAAATCTTTTCTTATCAAAGCTTCAGTTGTAGTTAAGACGGCTTCAGAAACTCTACTCAAAATTGGGATAGCACACTCACGAACAGCTCTAGATAAAGAAGCTTGGAAAGCACGTCTCAAGTTTGGATTTTGAGTGAAAATAGTATTACCAACCAAAGTACTGAATGCAGAATTTTGTTGACCTGTAGATCCAGCAATAGCATCCGGAGCAGGTGGGGCACCAGCAGCAATGGATGGATCATCAATACCTCCAACTGGTGGGATTTGAGGTTGAATTCCTTGTGCTTGTAATAATTGCGCTTGTTGCTGAGCTTGAAGTTTTTGCTGTTGTTGCATGTGTAAACCGGGAACTTCATTTCCATCAAGAACCAATCTAGACATTTCATTAGTGATAGTGTTCTCTGGATGAATACCAAACATAGCTGCCAAGGCTGAAGGTTTAGGATTGTGACTTCTGACCAATGTAGATGGTTCAATATCCTTTATTTTCAATTTGAAGGAATTCAATAAGACTTCAACTTCAAATTTCAAATTCAACTTCAAATCAGCACATTCATAAAGCTCAGCTAAAACTTTTATGATACCTAAAACCCAAGGATTAGGTGGTTTAAAGATCTTGGAATATTGAGCTTGATCTAAAATTTTACAAACAAATGGAATAATCAAATGCAAAGATTTGAAATCAAATGCTTCAACCAATAAGAATTTTAAAGCTATTTGATCTCTTCTTAATGGTTTATCGTCTGCCAAAGTAATTTTACCTAACCAAGCACCTAAGTTCTTTAAATGATTTCTTTCCGTGGACGAGTCTTTGAAATTTCTAATCAAATGCTCTACTTCATTTAATGAAACGTTCAAGACGTATTCAACAAAGATTGGGTTTTCTAACAGTTTTACCAATTCAGCATATAATCCGTGGTTATTTGGTTCAGCTTTGGCTCTATCAGATACCAAGTATGTGGAAAACCATAAAAAGTAATTTTCAGTCAAAATCTCTTTAATTTCTGGTAATTTAGAAGCTAAATTATCAGCTGTCATATTATTAACAAAGAATAACAATTTATCAGAAATAGATTCACTTGGTTTCTCTTGTTGGATAAAACCAATTGTTTTATCAGTAACAGTGATAGATTGGTAATTTGGTTTTGAATCATCGATTTGAGAAGATGGTGCAGGTGACCCATCATGAGATTGAGAATGACCAGAATTAGCAGCATTTGAATCAGGACAGGCTATACCATTTGAAGCATCCTTCACTATTTGATACATTTTAGCATGTGCAGATAAGGATTGACATTCCAACAAGTGTTTACAATAGATGGGATATTCATGTAATCTAGATTTGAAATTGTATAATGACTGTACAGCAAATTTGAATAAATGGGAATCTTGAGGTTGATTACATGATTCCCAGATAAAATTCAAAGCCACTGTTAATGTAGTGCCTTGGATTAAATCTTTCTGTAATAAAGCACCGAATAAAAGGGACGTCGAGGCTAAAGCAGTCAAAGGATATTCCGAAAAAAATCTATATTCATCAAGTAATGAGTGAATCATGCAGCAAAATACGTCTTGATCATGAGGGATACTACTTGTTTTCATGCGAACCAACATATCGACAATCTCTTTAATCTCCATTTCTTTATTGTACATCTTTGAATAATAGGTCTTCATTTCGCCTTCAACTTGTGGCGGAAAGAGACTGGAATACAAGGTTTCATTGGATAAAATAGGTTCATCATGGCCACAACCAAAATTGATCAATCTTGGATAAGTTGTTAAGAGCAGCAACTGTAAATTTTTCAATCTTTCGGCGTCTATCAAACCATTTGAATTTTTCAATTTTTCTAACAAGTAGTAAACTACAGGAACTCTCAAGACTTTATAAGCACCTTTGACAATCTTTGGAGCAACAGCGTTACTAGCTTCAAGAATTTGTTGTTGACCCCATTCATAGTCATGAGTAGCCCTCAGTTCCAAAACCTCCATAAGTGATTGACATAATTCGCCTTTGGTATTGGGATCTTTAAATTTAGATTCCACTACTTGTTTATAGTCATATCCATAGTTAGATGCATCAACGGTAAAACTCAAACCTAATTTGAAGTTAAATGACCAAAACTTATTTAATAAATCATCAAGTAATCCAGATTTAGATGCAACGCTTAAGATTTTATTTGACGATTCAGTATCACCTCTTCTATTGTAATAATCAATCAATTTACTAAGCGCCAATTGTATGTCAAATTCTTTGAATTTTACTAAAACCTTATCTAAAGATGGACTAATGAGATCCATCAAGACATTGAATAATGCATCGATTAAATCAATGATGAAGTTGTTTTTATCAACAATTGACAAAGCAGATGTAATTAAATACTCTGGGTATACTCTGTAATCATGTTCAAAAATTTGACTTAAATAGGCGTTTAATTTTTTTTCTTGATCTGAAATATTTTGATCTTGATTTTCTTGGGATATTTTAGTTAAAACCAGCAATTCAAGTTTACCGATATTTATGAAACGTAATATATTTTTATTTGTATTGATAGGGGCAAAGCCAGGAGGTTGAATTTCGTTACCATTAAGTGGATCATTATTTTCTTCATCATCAAAACAAAGGGTTAAATTATCCAGAGAAGTAATATCATAACCTCCTTGTTGGGGATTCATTGAATGTAAAGTATATAATAAAGTTTTTTTAAACCACCAATCATAATTGAGAAATATGTCAATTATACCCTTTTTGAAATCAAGAGCTGATAAGAATTGAGTAATATTGGCGATCGAAGGTTGGATATTTCTTTTTGAAGAATCAAATAAATTAACCTGAATTTGAGCAAAGACATCATACCAGTTAAGATTAAACTTATCATCATTATCGATTGTTGTAAAGCATGATTGTAATTGTAATCCTTTTTCTCTGGCTTCAGGTAATGAATTAACAACTGCAAAACTAATATTAGGGCCATTAGGATTAGTTACACCTTGAGAACCAGGGATTAAGACTTCGGATAAAATTAATGCAACACTTGAATCACCTTCATTAGATTTCAATTGTAGTAAACTTGGTAATAGTTTGTCTGATAATAAACTATCGGGGCCTATTTCCAGCAAAAGTTGTTTGAATGACATATCAATAATCAGTTTATAAAATTTGTTGACAGGAGTAATATCAAGATTAAAGGCGTCAAGAGAAGCAATTGTTAAAAGTTTATGGAGGAATGGGAAAGATTTTGACTTTAAAATTTTTTCCAATACAATATTCCAATTGAAAGGTTCTTTATAAGATTTGACAAAATTTGATAATTTTATTGAATTTGTTTGAATAAATTGTTGAGTAACTTCTGGATCAACAACTTCAAAATCAATTGCAATAATAAATGATAAAACTAAATCGCAATCAAACTTATTTAAAAAATTAATTAAATTGAATTTTTCTTCACTTGAATAAGCTTGAATTAAACAATGAATCAAAGAAGTTGAATATTCTAAATTTTTAGCCACAAATTCTAAAGCGTCTTTTAATAATAATTCAACTGGATGTAACTTTGAATTTGAATCCTGATATTGATTAGTAAGACAAGCAAAAACAAGTTTTTGGATATAAGAGTGAAAAACTAATCTAGATTGATATCCCTTTTTGGCAACCGTACTTGTTAACAAGATATACTTGATTTGTTTAAAGTTAGAATCAAAATTAGAATGATCAATAGTAGAAATTAAAATTGATAATTGATTTGACTTAACTCTAATTAACTCAGCGTCTGGACCTTGATTAATATAAGTGGAGAAATCTTCTGCGCGGATTAATTCTGTTGGAAATTCTGGGAGGAATTTAAAAGATGAAGATTTGAAAGATTCAGGAAAAAAATCTGTTGATGGAGTGTCAAGAATTGATTGATGTAGGTGGGGGCCCGTTGGGCTGTTATTTGAGGGTTGTGAAGACACGATTTATGGAGTTATTAGTTATGAAAAAGATAGCTTTAATTGAATAATAAGAAAATCCTTTATTGAATGACACTTTATAGATCTAATCAGTAGTCCAAATAAAGTATCAACACCAGGAAATGAGGAAATAAAGGAGAATCTTGCAAATGCGTCGTAACAATCGTTAAATTAATGGATAATAAACAAAATAGAAACGAAAATTTTCAGTGGTTTATACTTGGGCGTTAAAATGGTAAAAAAAATCAACAAATAAATACAAAAAGTGAACAAAAAAAAAAAAAAAAAGAAGGAATAATGAATTGACAATATCTATGGTTGGTTGGATAGTGATTATCTTAAGTTCTTTCTTTTTGAATTGAATTCTCTAATGATTCGATAGTAAACTAGAACTATTTGATATATAAATCGTTGGCGAGTAAATTTTTAATGGCGCTGAACCTTTTTTTTCCTTCTTTCAGGAAAAGGTTACCCGGTGGTGGGTGTACGGGTCAAAAAAAAAACCAAACTATACGAACATACATATGATCAGTACCCGTAAAACAAATATATTGGGATATTCTATATAAAGATATATAAATACACAATCCTTAACCAAAAAGAAAACAAAATGAAGACAGCCCGAGTCTTAACCTAGAAATAAATAAGCATTACGTAAATAATCATCACGCAAAATCAACAATCGATAAGATTTGAAATATCTAATTTCAATTCATCATTATCGATTAAGTCGTAAGTTTTTTTAAGTAAAAATTTCAACTTTTCATTCTCTAAAAGTAAAGCTTCATTTTGTTTTTCTAAATCATGATCATGATGGAGATCATAGTTGATCGAAGAGTTGTGATCATGACTTATAGAAGGAATATGAGTAGACTGAATTAATTGTGGAGTTTCATCAAAATCATGATGTTTTTGTTGTAAAGGAGTATTTGGTTCATCAAATTCTTTAGGAGGAACTTGCAATTGTTGTTCGTTAATTGAAACATTGCTTTTATTTGATTTTTGAAAATATCTTGGTAACTTCCAAAAATCACTAAAAGTTGAGTTTTTTGAAGTTCCCGAAATTGGAGAAATATCATCATCATCATGACTATTATTACTAGTAATATCGGAAAATAATGATTCGGTTTCAAGATCTGAAGGTTTATTTAATTTTAATGAAAAAACCGATAACGAAGAATTATTATTATCTGGTTGAGAATTATTATAAGAATTATCAGAATCCGACCTATTTCTATTCATTGAAGAATTAGAAGATATCGAAGAATTCGAATTATTAATCTTAAAACCTTTAATTTTATCAATAACTGACAGACCAGTTCTTGAATGTTGAGAATTATTATCAATATCCAAAGCACAAGACGAATCAACTAATTTTAAAAATAATGAATCATCCCAAGATAATAATAAATTACCGAAAAACATATCTAAATCATTAATTATATTCCCCCATTTTGAATCATTTAATAAATGTTGATAAACAACTTCTTCATCACCTTCTTTTAAACTCATAATAATTGGTTTATTAACAATTAATAAACCAATTGAAATTTTGAAAAAACCAACTTTCCAACCTTGAATAAGACAAAAATCCATAATTCTATTAACAATTGATAAATCCGGAGTATGACTTGAAATAAAGGATAACCACCATTGGAATAGAAATACTTGAAATTCCACAAATTTAATCATATGATTATATAAATCATTATCAATTTTTGATAAAATTGAACAAAATTCTTTATACCATTTATTTAAAGTTGAGGACATTAAAGAAGTGGTGAAAATATCATGTAATTCTCTTTCTGATTCCATTATACTACATAATGAATGGAAAGTCAAGATACAATCATCATTAAAATGATAATGTAAAGCTCCCACTAAGAACAAAAGACCTTGACAATAACCTAATTCAACATCATAATTAGCATAAACATTTAAAATAGTTGATAAATCTTCAATTGTTTTATCAATTTTGAAAAAAGAAACTGAAGGAAATGTACGACATAAATCTTTACTAATTTGTTTGGAAATTGATGCAGTATAAGAATGTTGGAAATTATTATAAATTAATTTTGAAGTTTTAGGAACATTATTTTTAGTATGTTGACAATCAATTAAAATTAATTTTTGCCAAATCATTGATCTTAATTGACAAGGAATTCCTTGTTGTAAAAATAACATTTCAGTATAATTTGGTAAAGTATTAATAGTCCTTGAAGGATTATTAATAAAAGATAACCAATAAGATTTTTCTAATGATGATGATATAGTTGATTGCAGATCAACAAAATTTTGACAACAATTTGAATAATTTTCTGGATTTGATAATGATTTACCACAATTGGTACAAGTGGTGAAGTCATCATTCTTAAAGTCATAATTATTCATAATTGATGTTAAATCATCAAACAGATATTGATCATTTTGATTAATATCTTCATTATCATCAAAATGGGTAAGTCTATTAGAGTCAATCTTCAGTTCTAAATTATAGAGCAAAATAGAGTTATCGGAGGAAACTGAAGATCTAAGAGATTCTTCAAATTCCAATAACGATTCATAATCGATAGAAGTCATTAGGTTATAAGTATAAGCAGGTATTAAAGAAAGTATAAAAAATGTAGTAAAAAATCTAAAGAAATGTAAGGAGTGAATCTAGTGAGTAATAAACAGACTAAGGAGTGAATAGGGTAAGAAGTGAATGAGTGAATAGGGTAAGAAGTGAATGAGTGAATAGAGTAAGTAATGAATGAATGAAATAGACCCTTAATGTATAGCTTACCTGATTAGAGTAAAGAAGAAGTTGTTGAAATTTCGAGCTGATAACTCTAATAAGTAATTTTTTTGTGCTAGAAATTTCTCGTTTCTCAATGATTTGTTTATAAACAAAGGAGCTACTGAACCTGCTCAAAACCACCTTGTAAAGGGTGGAAAAGGGGCATGTTTGGCTGTCAATTGCACGAGCCGTTGTTAAACCGGGATACACGACACTTAATTACTCCTAATGGCAGTCCATCAAGAACACGAAACTGTCTAATTATGTCCGTAATCCAGCACTATTTATTTGCTGGCATCGTTAAACCCTGTCCTGTGCTACTACGCTAGCACTGACTGTTAGTCTACGGAGTACCATTGACTCCTTCACTCTACTGACTACTGACAGACTGTAAGACCAACTATTGACTCCACTCTACTGACTACTGACAGACTGTAATACCAAATGCTTTGCTGACTTGTAATTCAAGATTGAAACATTCGTGGAATGTATGGCCAGAGTATGCTTATATAATAATATGCCAATGCTTATGTAATGATGATTTTGTGGTGTACGGGTGGGTACATACAAGAGAGTAGATGAATAGGTAGAGTAGATGAATAGGTAGAGTATACGAATAGGTATAGTTACAAACGAAGTACTCGATGGGGTATACTAGACGGAATTAAACGAAGCAGAGTGGAGTAGATAGGGAGGATGGTAGAAAAGATGAATAGTATAGTGATGACTAGGACAATGTAGAAGGACAAATCGGATAGATGAGTATACTAGACGTATACTAGAATGTAATATGGTTGGGCATTGATAAGAAGGGATAGGGTATTCGATTTGCTTACCAACTGATAGCAGGAATTATGCAATTGAAAAAGTTGGTGTTATATTGCTGCAAATCTGAATTCTCAAATTTACTCACTTAAATTCATCTCATCTTAAAACTTTTAGTTAGTTAGTTATTATACATCAAAATGGTTTACTACTTTAAAGCAAAAGTAAGTGAAGAAACAGAATATTCTGATTTCGGATTAGATGATGAAAAAGAATATACCATCTATATGGGTAAAGATAAACATGAAAATGATCCATTAATTAAAAAATCCCATCCTAAGAATTTATGGTTTCACGTAGATAAACATTCATCAGCACATTTATACCTTCAGTTATCGTTAGAAGAACAAAGTATTAAGTTTGAAGATTTAAAATTGGAAGAATCATTATTGACTCAATTAGGACAGTTAACTAAAGCAAATTCAATCAAAGCAAATAAATTAAATAATATAACAATCATCTATACTCCAGTTGATAACTTATATACTGACGGTACAATGGATACCGGTACTGTTAGTTTCAACAACGGACAAAAAGTTAAAAGAATTCATATTAACAAGAAGGAAAATTCAATAGTCAATAAATTAAATAAAACTAAAAATGAAGTTTCAATTGAAGAGTTCATCTCAAATCAACAAACATTAATTACAAATTGGCAATCCAATAAGAAAATGATTGAAAGAAATTTAGAACAACAAAGAAAAGAAGAAGCAAAATTAAATGACTTACAAAAACAGAAAAACTCTGATCCTTATGCTGACTTATTCAATGAAACTAGCGTCAACGCTAATAGTAATGAATTCAGAAATGAAAATTGGGTAGAAGAAGATTTTTGGTAGTTCTTTATATATTAAATATATATACTTTTACTTATAATGACAATATTTTTTTTTTTTAAATAGTATTTGAATATTTGAGTAGTTTAATCAAGTTTGACTGGGAATTTACCAGCTTCTCTTAAATCATTCCATTTATCAACAGTATCAACTGGACATAACGAAGTAAAAGTTTTGAAAAAAATTTGACATGGTTCAAATTCTTCTCCTTTAACATTAACACATTTATGATAATCAATATAAGATTGAGCACAATGTTTGGTTTGATTTTGATTTGGAAATCTTGGATCAAATTGTGGAGTTTCCATCTTAAAGGTTTCTAAGTCAAAGTTACCCATCTTGCCGTGTTTATTAGTATATTCAATGTTGTATCTATAAATTCGAAATGCTTTAAAAATTCATCTTTGATAAAAATGTACTGCGAAGTCTTACGATTTTTTCAAATCACTGAATTTGATTGGTTCGAGTGTGGCACGTGACATGGACCCGTACACCTGTATTCACTAGTGCTTAACTAGCTTCATCTAATTATCCTGGTAAGTCCAACGGGGAAGGTCTTTCTGACGCTGGGGTTGGCCTGCTTGGGGCTCCACCAATAAGATATTCAAGATGGGGAGCTGGAACGTTTTGTGGGTGTGCAATGGGCGGTCTTCGTCTTCGGAATCGGCATCGAGTCCTTCAAATATATTACTCTTTTGCTTAAGAGTGCTTTTGTTATGATTATAGTTGGGATTGGTATAGCTTTTGCTTCTCTGCATCGAATTATACTGTTCTGCCTTGGTTTGAGTCTTGACTATTTCAACTATACTGATCAATTTGGGTATACCGTTGGACTTGGCGGTTAACAAGATCTGGTGATTTACCTCGAGTTGTTTGATGACTTGATTCACTCTTCGTTTGATCAGGTCATTCTTGGTGATGATTATGGGACTGGCTGGAGCCTCTGGATTCTGGAAGGTGTTGAAACTGGCACTGCTTAGGATCTCTCGATACACCAACTGCGATTGAACTTCGTATGTTTCTTTATCTTTGAGATGAATGTCCTTGGAAACTGCCTGCTGTGAATGGTTCATGATGTAGGAATACAGGAATACAGTGGGTAGTAAGTACAGTAATACAGCGAAGTAATACAGTGAAGTAATACAGTGAAGTAATACAGTGAAGTACCGTGAAGTACAGTGAATATATTGCGATGATATTTAGTGCGTATTTTTTTTTGGAAAGCTTGATCCACTACCTCTGCTGCTATTGGCACTATGTAGAATTGCAGTAGAGGTATCCAAGTCGCCGTATCTACTTGAGGTGGAGGTGTCCATTAGCCTATTGAACTTAAGAGCATCGAGCATTTCGGTGTGGGACCGAAGCATTTCGCTATTGGTGTATGTGATTGGATGCATATGAACGAACGGCTTCTTTGTTCTGTGCTTAGTGGGAAAGGGCGCCGGTAAAGCTGGTGGGTGTAGAGCCTGGGGTGGTGGTAGAGGTAGAGACTGTGGGGGTGCTGGTAAAGCCTGGGGTGGTGCTGGTGGTAGAGACTGTTGGGGTGGTGCTGGAGGAGCATCATGGAATTCTTCACCATAAGTAAAGTCTTCAGTTCCCTTGATTAAATCTTTTAAGTCTTCGTATTCGTCTTTTTCGTCTATCAAAACCATCCCAATGAACACCGGCGGTGGTAACGGGTTAAACGGTGCGTAATTCATCATATTCTTATTTGGTAATATCCCATTAACAATTCCGGTTTGGGTAAAAGGAGATTTATTCCTTTTGAGTTGGAATAAATTTGATTGACCAAATCTAATATGGAATAAAATAGTGAAAATGAGACTGATTGAACTGAATTGTTTTAGTTCCATATTAAGAGATGAAATATTCGATAAAATCGATCCAATATTTAAACCTCTGCCTTGACTAAAATCATAGTATAATGGATTTGCAATAATTGAAGAAGGTAGAAAAGGTTTATTTGAAATAGCAGCAATTCGATTCCATTCCTTCAAGTTTTCTAATAAATTTAAATGACCAAATAAGCTATTTGAAATACCTTCAATTTTCAATTCATTACAAATTAATATCAATTCTTGGAAAATTTCTTGCATCATATTCTTTGATGTAGCAATATTCTTTAATGAGTTGAGGTTATGATCTCCAAAGATAACCGTGGGGACGTGGAAACACATCATAGTGAACAATTTTTTCCAAATGACTCTAATAAGTTTTTCGTGAAACCCATAAGAAATTATTTTAATCCAATGTTGATTTTCGTGGTTTTTTTTATAAGTCAGGGTCAAATCCGATAATTTTGCCCCCATTATTGAATCGGGGATTTCAATTGCATTGAATGTTAATGGATTCTGGATCCCGGCCATTGGAACCCCAATTCTCATTTCTCCCAAACAAACAAGTTGCAAAACTTTTAAATTTTCATTAATAATTCTACAATCAATTTCAGAACTTATTGCCAACACCGCATATTGACTCAACTGGGCTTGCACTTTCTCGTATAACCAAGGATCCTCTCTAACATCAACCAAAATTATCGACCCAAACCCAATCATCTTCATTAACGTATTTTTATAATGTTGCCAATAATAATAATCAAAAAATACAAAGTCAAATGCCGGCCCGTTATACATACTCAACTGCTCGATTGTCTCGTATGTCTGGTTCGGATGGAACACTAGTGGATCTTCGATATTGGGTCTAAATAAAAGCCAGGGTTCTGGCCCCGTCTTGCTAACGGATTTCTTCAAAAGACATACTGTAAGGTGGTAATTTGATCCGGAAAACACCCACCCAAGGTACGAGAGCGTCGGAGAGTGGCCAAGCACCAAAATCCGCCCCGTCATCGTTATCAACAAGAACCAGTTGGTGGAAAATGGGACATCAAATCCACAAATTTACAGCCATTGCCCACAAACGTTGCAGCAACAAGTCCACACCCGTACATCATACCCCCATACACCCACACTTATCGGACCGACGGGTATCTCCAGCCAGTGAAAAATTAAAGGGCGACGGGGACAAATTCGTGGGGACTCAACCGGGGATATAAAGTTGAACAGTTGCTTCTTCTTTTCCATTGACATATATGTTGACGTATACACTTCAATTGAGTAGATTTCCACTAAGAACACCTCAATTAAGTAGACTTTCATTTCGAACACCTTTTCCCCGTCATATTCAGAGATTTGCTTATCATACCAAAATGTCTGTTCCATATAAACAAGAAGAACACAAGTTGACCATGATTCCTGGTCCAATTGAGTTTTCCGATCCAGTTCTTTATGCCATGGCCACCCCATCACAAGCACATACCTCACCGGAATTTGTTAAGACTTTCCAAAGTGCTTTGGTTAATACTAGAAAGTTGTTTAAATCAACCGATGCCAATGCCCAACCATATGTGATTAGTGGTTCCGGTACTTTAGGATGGGATATTGTTGGTGCCAATTTGATCAATCCTGGTGATAAAGTTTTGGTATTATCAACTGGGTTTTTCTCTGACTCCTTTGCCGAAGCTTTAAAGGTTTACGATGCCGATGTTGATGTCATTACTGCAGAAGTTGGTGATGTTGTTCCATTTGACAAAATCAGTGAGCAATTGAAATCAAATAAATATGCTGCAATTACTATTACTCATGTTGATACTTCGACCTCTGTTGTTAGTGACGTTGAAAAAATCTCCCAAATTGTTAAAAAGGAGTCACCAGAAACTTTAATCGTTGTTGATGGGGTTTGTTCCATTGGAGTTGAAAATCTTGAATTCGATAAATGGGGGGTTGATTATGCATTGTCTGCTTCCCAAAAAGCTATTGGGGTTCCAGCAGGTTTATCAATCAGCTTTGCTTCTTCTAGAGCAGTTTCCAAAGCTTTAGCTAGAGAAAAAGATTCTTCCTTTTTTGCTTCTTTGAAAAAATGGACTCCAATCATGAAGGCTTATGAAAGTGGTAAACCAGCTTATTTTGCCACTCCTGCCGTTCAAACAGTTACTGCTTTGAAAGTTTCCTTGGATGAAATCTTGAGCGAAAGTCTAGATGAAAGATTTGCAAAACATGAAAAAGTCTCGAACGACTTCAAATCTAACTTATCTAAATTAGGCTTGAAAATCTTACCTCTCAATGAAAAAGTTGCTGCCAGTGGATTAACCGCAGTTTATTTCCCTGATGGTATCAATGGTAATGATCTTATTGCCAAAATTGGTTCCAAAGGTTTCACCGTTGCCGGTGGTATTCATAAAGCTTTGCTTGGTAAATATTTCAGAGTTGGTCACATGGGTGTCTCTGTTTACGATGGCCACGTCGAAAAACTCACCAAGGCCATTCAAGACTCTTTGGCTGAACTCAAATAAGTATTTAGATAGTTAATAAAATGCTGCACTTCATTATAATTGCAACTATTCCTGTGTAGAAATTCTGAGAAGAAGTCAAAAAAAAAAAAATATACAACCAAAAAAGTTTTTGTTTTAGAACAAGCAATCACCTTCTTTAGCTTTTATCCTTTAAAATGGCTATTGCATTCCCTGATATTGATCCCTATGAGGTGTTGGAATTGGATAAATCGGCCACTCCGATTGAAATCAAGAAACAATATAAGAAACTTTGTTTAAAGTATCATCCCGATAAACTTCAACAGACATCTGAAAGTAATGTTGATAAAGATCATTTCCCCAAACTTCAATTTGCATATTCTATATTATCTGACCCGGCTAAAAGAAATCGCTATGATACTCTTGGATCGTTAGGCTATGGAGATGATGTGGAAGATGATGAGGTTTTTGATTGGAAAGAATTTTTTGAGGGAATGAATGAAAAAATCACTATTGAAATGATTGAAGAAGATAAATTGAAGTATCAAAATTCAACAGAAGAAATGAATGACATACTAAATAACTTTGTTTATTATGAAGGAGATTTCTTAAAGTTATTTGAAGTTATACCCCATCTTGAATTCGACGAATTGGAAGAAAATCGTGTTTTCAAAATAATTGAAAATGCTATTGATGAGGACGAACTAGAGGTTGAAAATAAAAATATCATCAAATCATTTGAAAAATATAAAAGATCCCGTAAAACTAAAGTTAAACAAATGTTAAAGAAATTGGCCAAAGAAGCAAAAGAAGCAAAAGAATTAGAAAAAACAATAAAGGATAAATCAAATAGAAATTTAAGAAATGAAAGCGATTTGAAAAGCTTGATCCAAAGCAGACAAAATAACCGGTTGAACAATTTGATTGATAATTTGGAATCAAAGTACTTAAATAAAAAAGGTGATAAAAGATCTCATAGAGATGTTGACGATGATGAATTTGAAAGAATTCAAAAGAATTTAATGAATAAAAAATCAAAAAATAAGTAGGTTTTGTATAATATTAGCATATAATGATATTTTATTAAATGTTTACTAGTGTAAAGGTTTCGAAGTTTAGAAATTTGGTAATTTTGCAAGGTTTTTCCAAAAAATTTCATTTTTTTGCAAAAAATTCCATTTTGCAGCCTTATTTTCCCAATCACCTTCTTTTCTAAGTTTATTCCATACCAATTTCCGGCACTCACACCATTAGCCAGCTCTTCATACATCCGCCTACCCTATGAAGCATCCATAGACTTACTATAGACCTACTACAGGGCCTACGACCATGGTCTTTTAACGCGTTGAGTAATGACAAAAAAAAAAAAAAAAAATACAAGCGCGTTTTACAGCGAAATATCAAATAGATCCGGCTTTTGATAACTCAATACACATCTGTTCTTCTTAATCTACTCTTGTTCTTCGACTTGTTCATTATACAGTGATCGATGAGTGACTTTGAAGATTCAGCCTCGGTATCCGAAGCAGAATACATCTCTTCCGACGGTTCTGAAGAGTTTACTGAAACACCAGCTGCTGTTAAAAAGAAATCTCCACCAAAACCATTGCAGGATGCCACTAATACTTCGAATGCTCCAGCTAAGAAGAAATCAAACGCTTCAGAACAATACCAAAAGTTATCTCAATTGGAGCATATCTTGAAAAGACCAGATACTTATATCGGTTCTGTTGAAAAAACACCAACTAAAATGTGGAGTTTTGATTCAGTTCTGGAATCAATGAAATATGAAGAAGTTACCATAGTTCCCGGGTTATACAAGATTTTCGATGAAATCTTAGTTAATGCTGCCGATAATAAGATAAGAGATCCATCAATGAAGAATATTAAAGTTAAAATAGATCCAGAAAATAATTTAATTTCTGTCATGAATGATGGTAAAGGTATCCCAGTTGAAATACACGAAAAGGAGAAAATATATATCCCTGAGTTAATTTTTGGTAATTTATTAACTTCTTCGAATTATGATGATGATGAGAAAAAAGTTACTGGGGGTCGTAATGGTTATGGGGCTAAATTATGTAATATTTTTTCAACTGAATTCATTTTAGAAACTGCTGATGCTAATACTGGTTTATCTTATAAACAAACATGGAATAATAATATGTCAAAAGTTTCTAAGCCGAAGATAACTCAATTAAAATCGAAAAAAGAATTTACAAGAGTTAGTTTTAAACCTGATTTATTGAAATTTAATATGGATTCATTAGATGATCAAATTTTATCAGTTTTGAGAAGAAGAGTTTATGATTTATGTGGTACTGTTAAAGATTGTAACATTTACTTGAATGATAAAAAACTTAGTATTAAGAATTTTAAATCATATATTGAAATGTATGTTCAAGCACTAAAAGCTGTTGCTGAGGATCCAATCGATCCAGATGATACTAATAAAATCTATGCTCCTTTAGTTCATGAAGTTATAAGTGATCGTTGGGAAATTGGGTTTTCGGTTAGTGATGGTAATTTTAACCAAGTTAGTTTCGTTAATTCAATTGCTACAACTACTGGTGGTACTCATGTTAAATACGTTTCTGATCAAATTATTTCAAAATTAACTGAAACTTTAGCTAAAAAGGAAAAGAATAAAAAATTAATGATTAAAGCTCAAGATATTAGAAATAATATGTTTTTATTTGTTAATTGTTTAATTGAAAATCCTGCGTTCACTTCTCAAACAAAAGAACAATTGACTACCAGAGTTTCACAGTTTGGTGGTAAATCAAGTGAAAAATTTCAAGTCACTGATTCACTTATTAATAAAATTTTGAAAACTAGTATTGTTGATAAAATAAGATCTATTGTTAGTGCCAATCATGATAAAGCTTTACAAAAAGCTGATGGTTCAAGAAAATCAAGAGTTAAAAATGTGAAATTAGTTGATGCCAATAAGGCTGGTACTAAACAAAGTCGTGACTGTTTCCTTATTCTTACTGAAGGGGATTCTGCGCTATCATTGGCAGTTTCCGGGTTAGCAGTTGTTGGGCGTGATTATTATGGATGTTTCCCACTAAGAGGTAAATTACTTAATGTCAGAGAAGCAACTCCTGATCAAATTTCGAAAAATGCTGAAATCAATGCTATCAAACAAATTATGGGATTACAACATAAAAAAAAGTATACTAAAGAAAATATCGATCAATTAAGATATGGCCATATAATTATCATGACTGATCAAGATCATGATGGTTCACATATCAAAGGGTTACTTATCAATTTTTTCGAAACAAGTTTCCCTGGATTATTAGAAATTCCAGGATTTTTATTAGAATTTATCACTCCAATTGTTAAAGTTACAATTAAAGGTAGAAATAATAAAGCTGAAAAAATTCCATTTTATACTATGCCTGAATTTGAAGAATGGCGTGAGACCACTGGTAAAACCTGTCGTTGGACTCAGAAGTATTATAAAGGTTTAGGTACTTCATTACCAGAAGAAGCTCGTGAATATTTTGCAGCTTTAGATAAACATATGAAAACCTTCCATGAATTAGAAGGAGATGATCGTGGGTTAATTGATCTTGCATTTTCTAAAAAGAAGGCTGATGATAGAAAAGATTGGTTGCAAGCTTTTCAACCGGGTACCCATTTAGATCCAAATCTCGAAATCATTCCAATTAGTGATTTCATTAATAAAGAATTGATTTTATTTTCAATGGCTGATAATATTCGTTCAATTCCATCAGTATTGGATGGTTTCAAACCGGGCCAAAGAAAAGTACTTTTTGGGGTTAACAAAAGAAATTTAAAGGGAGAAATCAAAGTTGCTCAATTAGCGGGTTATGTTGGTAATCATACTGGGTATCATCATGGTGAACAATCATTAACACAAACTATTATTGGATTAGCCCAAGATTTTATTGGGTCCAATAATTTAAATATTTTGAAACCATTAGGAGCATTTGGATCAAGAGCAGCCGGTGGTAAAGATTTTGCAGCACCAAGATATTTATTTACTCAACTTAATGAGATTACACGAAAGATTTTCAATCCTTTGGATCAACCATTATATACTTATGTTCAGGATGACGAGCAGTATGTTGAACCCGAATGGTATTTGCCAGTACTTCCAATGTTATTAGTTAATGGAGCAGAAGGGATTGGTACTGGGTGGTCTACCAATGTTCCATCATTCAATCCAACTGATATTGTTGAGAATATTAAAAGATTAATGAATGGGGAAGAATTAGAAGAGTTAATACCTTGGTATAGAGGATGGGAAGGTACTATTGAACAGAACGGAGGAGATAAGTTCAAAGTACTTGGAAGAATTGAGCAAATTGATAACACAACATTAGAAATTACTGAAATACCGGTTAAGACCTGGACCAATAATATGAAGGAGTATTTAATATCAGGATTGGGGACCGATAAGGTTAAACCATGGATTAAAGATGTTGAAGAACATCATGGGTTGAATATCAAGTTTATTATTAAATTGAGTAGTGAAGAAATGGCCAAATCATTAAAGATGGGATTAATGGAAAGATTTAGATTAATATCAACGATTAATTTAAGTAATATGGTTGCGTTTGATCCAATGGGTAGAATTAAAAAATATGATCGACCAAATGATATATTAAGAGATTTCTATTATGTCAGGCTTGAATATTATCAAAAACGTAAAGATTTTATGACTGATGATTTACAAAATCAATTGGTTAAATTGAGTGAACAAGCTAGGTTCATTAAGGCAATCATTGATCGAGAAATTACTGTATCCAATAAGAAGAGAAGTGAGTTAGTTGACGTCTTATTAAATCATAAATTTGTTAGGTTTGACCGAAATGGTAAAGCAATTAAAGAAACAACGGAAAGAAGTGGATTATTTGTTGATGATGAAGAATTAATTGAAGAAGAAGAACAAGAAATTGGAGATATTAGTCAATTAAATGCTAGTGGAGTGAATAATTTAGCCGGAGAAGAAGAAAGTGAACATAGACCAGAATCAATTTATTCGCAATATGATTATTTATTGGGAATGGCAATTTGGTCCTTGACTAGAGAAAGATTTGAAAGATTGTTGAAACAACAAGAAGAAAAACAAAAAGAATTAACTGAATTATTAAAATTAAGTGCTAAAGATTTATGGAATTCGGATTTAGATATCTTCTTACAAGAATGGGAGAAATTTTTAGCGGATGATTTTGAAAGAAGAAATAGTATTATTCCAAATAAAGCTACCAAGAGGAAAGGTAAGACTACCAAAAGAAAAAATGAAGATAAAGAAGAACCAGCTAAGAAAAAGCCTACAATTAAGAAACCTGCGAAACCAACCAAGGAAACCACCAAGGAAACCACCAAGGGAACCACCAAGGAAACCACCAAACCAGTTGAAAAGACTCAAGCAAGTTTGAAATTTGACAAAGCTGATCCAGAAGAAGACATGCTATCGTTTTTCAATAAAAGCTCTAGTGAAGAGGCCCAGCCCCCGGCCAAGTCCAAGACCAAGACCAAGCCAGTGCCCAAAAAGGAAAACAAAGAACCGGTTGTCCATTCCATTTTCAGTGATAGTGATGATGATTTACTATTGGGGATGAACGATATTGGCAAACAAAAGCCGGAAATCGTGGTTTCTGATAGTGAAGAAGAACTACCCGCAAAACCGGCCAAGGGCAAGATGAGCATCAAAGACGAATTGGATGACTTAATCGAAACAACCCCACAAGCATCGACGTCCCCAGAGGGCGGACGCAGAGGGGCCAGAGCAAGAAGTACAAATCGAAAACCCGTCTCTTACAAACTAGACCTTGATTCTCTGCAGGGCAGCAGCAGCAGCAGCGAAGAAGAAGCAGCAGCAGAAGAAGAAGAGGATGATTCTGAAATGGAATAGTAGTATAGATTATACATAAAGTCAATCTACATTCAAGATACGGCCAATTCTCCCATGTAGACGCAAGATAACTAGATGCACTGGTGACTGGGGACAGATACCGATTTACGAGTAAGAAAATACCCTGTTTAAGGTTATGCTGGACACTTTAGCGAGAGATCACTTGTTCCGTGGTGATAAATAATATAACTCGAACTATCAAATAGGACTTCTGTTTAACCTTTTATTTTACGAGCTGGTGCAAAGTGTAAGTGAAATTGTTTTTTTTTTTTGTTGTTGTTTGTTTCCTTACAAAGAAGACAAAGGCGGATTCTGCTTTGTATTATTCAAGCCCGTAAAAAATGATTAGAACGCCTTATAATTAGAAGTAGTACATTATGGTTATAGCCCAACAAGTGGGCCTTTTAAACATACGATCTTTTAGAAGCTGATTGTAAGTGACATTTCCTTCGGTGGTTGATTTCTTTTTATGCCATCGGACATTTCTTTTCACCAGACATTTCTGCTTATAAGGTTATATCATTTAAATCGCACGTCAACCCACCGAGTCAGCCTGATTGTAGAGCCCACCGATTGACCAGGCGGGATTACAAGGATTACGAGGGCAATATCTTTTTTTTTTTTCTTTCTTTCTTTCTTTTGCTTTTGCTTTTGCTTTTGCAGTATATAATATATATGAAAGATTGATTTAGACTTTTATTTTCGTTAAGACCCCCAAAATTCTCTTTATTTTATATATTTCCATATAAGGGTGGATTTAATGCCAGTGAAATATGTTTCATTTTGAATCAACTAGTCTTCCTGCACCCTTTAATCCAATAATGTCGAGTGGTAATAATTATAATTCTAGTTACAATTCCAATTACAATTCAGGTTATCCGTACGAATACCAGCAGCCTCAACACCAACACCAACAGCACCAACAGCACCAACAGCACCAACAGCACCAACAGCACCAACAGCACCAACAGCACCAACAGCACCAACAGCACCAACAACACCAACAGCCGCAACAACGCCAGTACCAACAGCAATACTACCAGCAATTACCGCAGCATCTACCCAAGGGCCAACCCGAGCAGGATGGCCAAAATTACCCTTACAGTCCCAAATTCACTCCTCAAGATATTCAGATTTTGAAACAACTCTTGATGGCGGGGGAAAAACACAAGTGGAAGCAAATCACCAAGGAAATCAACTACCAAGCGGCAGGACGAAGAGGTGAAACCTATGTTGATGATAGTCAGAACTATAGTCCGGTGAATAACCATGCGTTAACTCTACAACAGCCGCAACAAGCACAGACCCAGACCCAGCCCCAGGCCCAGAATCCACAACAAGCACAAGCACAACAGTCGCAGCAGCAGCTTCCAGCTACTGCCGGGACTAAAAACGTCTCTCCAACGTTTGTCATTAAACAGTACCAGTCACTACTCGGTTTACCTAACAACGCATTGCATTTTGGTATTTTGGGTTCATCTTTACCTTATGTTGTTGCAGAAAATGGTTGGGATGATATAACGGCCTCCGAAGCATTGAACGATAATGTTGAATAATCTATTATGTTGTCTTATACAAGTTTTTTTTTAAGTCTCCTTCATTTCTTTCTTTGTCTTTTATTTATTATTTTTAGATGGTACCTCTTTATATAGGTAATATATTTAGAGTTTATTATGCTCCGTGCACTTTACAATCGGTGCAATCATTGGAGTCTGTTAAAAAATCGCTTTTGGTATACTTATCAATATGTCCCAAATTTTCATTTGGCCATAAGGAATCTCTAATTAAACTTTTCAATAATTTTGAATCAGGAAACCCATCAAAGTAATATGATTCATTTTGTAGTTCGTCACTTTTCTTGAACCTTCTTTTATAAATGATTTCAGGTTCAGAATCTTCAGTTTTAACCAAGATTATTTGAAAGATTCCCGGCTGGTGATAATTTGGTTGAAGGGAGATATCGGGGATTAGGTTTTTGGCAGGATCACTGAAGGTTTGCATGATTTCCTGAAGATACCAAACTGCTCTCATATGCCATTTACAACGAGCACAGAACTCAATAATGAGTTTGGGATACTTATTTACTGACATTCTTAAGGAAAGAAGCACTAACTAAAGAAAATAATAAAAAAAAAAACTACAGTGAGAAATTTGTATTAACAAAAAGAGACTTGCTTTTTTTGCATTAAATATTCTATTTAAAAAAGATTAGATGCTAGAATTGAATAAAGCTAAGGATAATAATTACAGAACGAAATGAAGTCTAGAGGTTCATACTGAGCCAGTCCAAGTTTTGATTTTCATCATTTGAATGATCAATCATCATATTATGATTGGTGTCTTCATTTTTGATTTGATTATTTTGATTAATTTCGAAAAAATTGGTTGAATGATGATCAAGTTCATTAATTGGGTGTAATGACTTATTTGAATCATCGAAGAATTGTTCAGGTAATGGCTGATTTTTTTCATTTCTTCTTTTAAATAAATTTTTTTTATCATCATCAAATTTTTTTATTGAAGTTGGATTTAAATCGTCGCCATCTTTGATTGATTTATTCTTTTTTGGATTATTTGCACCTCGTTGTCTTTTTTTAATCACATCAGTTTTCAAACTCAATGGTCTGACTACTCCGTGTAATTTCAAAAACAATCCACAGGCATTACATAAAGGTTCTCCTTGAGGATTTCTTCTCCAAAGCGGAGTTGTTTTAGTATGACAATTAGTACAAGAAACCGTCAGTTCATCATTACTAATTTTTTTAGAATTCGATGAAGGTAATTGTGGAGTTGTTATTATTGTTTCATTATTTTTTTTCTTTAAATTTGATGATGGACTAGTGCTTAAAGTTATTGTGGAAGATCTTGATTTTTTAACCATTCTTTTATTATAATCTGGTTGATTATGGCTTGATATTGAAGTACTTGCCGTTGATAAATTATCATCATTTATAAAAGATTCATTCCAAGTTGAAGGTAAACTAAATGATTGTCCATTACTATTTTGATTAATGGTGGAAGAAGTACTTGAAGCAATACTTAATCTATGATGATGATTTGAAGAAGGGGGATGATCAAAATTATCGAAATAACTATTTGATTTATAATCAAATGCCGGTGATTGTTGAGCAGATGAAAGAAATGAATTATTTCGATGTAATGAATCAATCGATTGTCCTGGTAATGTGAATTGGGGTGGATTTTGTAAAGATTGGGAATGAGAAGTGAACGGAGTGGTTGATCTTGATTTATTAAAATGATCCATTAGACTAACCATCGAATGATCTTGTCTCGATAATTGATTATTATTTAATATTGATGAAGGCCCAATAGTAGTTAACGGCAGTTCTTTTTTATCAAAAGAATTTGTTGATTGAGGAGAAAATTTTGAAGTTTGAGATATCGATGTTGATGAAGGTAATGAGTTTGAAATATTGTTCATTGGAGATTCAAAAGCTAATGGATCTAATGAAAATGCAAACCCGCCATTTTCTTTGGCCAAGTTATTTTCTCTTTTAGCAGCTGCTAGTGAAGCGGAAAGATTTGAATGGGTGTTTTTTGAATTTGGAATTGGGTTATTTGGAATTGGATTTGGGATATCCGTGCCATTTGAAGCAAGAATCAACGGAGAAAATGGCGCTGATCTTTTCTTCAGATTATTTGGATTAGTGAAAGTAGATGAATCATCTTGTCCCATTTTTCTAATATGAGCAACGTAATCAAATTCATCAGCTGCAGGATCTAAATTAGGAGATGTCTTTTGGTTGATTGAATTTATAACTGGTGAAGTTAAAAATTGATGATAATCTTCATCTTCATTTTTAACTTCAGCTTCCTCTTCTTTAGATTTTTGATCTTTAATATGATTAACAAACATCATTCGCCAAGTTAAATTTTCCATTCTTTTCTTATATGGTAATGATTCTTTTGCTTTATGATATAATTTCCATAATTTTTCTGCACTTGTTGAATCATCATCATTTAAATTAAAATGATTTGATGTATCAATCAAATTAAAATGGAATTTATTAGTTATTCTTGTTTTTTCTTCTTGATAAGAATTACTTTCTTCTATATTACCTCGTTGATGATTATTATTCTGATTAAATGGACTATTAGTAGCTGTTGTTGTTGAAGATACCGTTGATGATGAATCAAGTCCTCCTGAGTTAATTGAATGATTCATTACGGGGATATCCGAATCAACTTTATACCAATAAAATTGCAAAAGAAAAGAAAAAAAACTATTACTGACAGTATCTTTCGGATTGCTTATCAAAAATAAAGCATATATTTGAATAAGTTAAATAAGTTCAATAATAAATACTCTCTACTATTACTACAATTAAAAAACCCATAAATACTTCTTCTGGCTAAATTTGCATTCTTTTCGCTGATAAACTTTGTAATTGGTTCCGTGAATAATCCTCGAATTTAATTGGTTTCTGATAACCAAATTGCAAAACCTGGCGAGTCACGTGCACAACACCCGAGTCCCGGGCAAACCAAAGCGACCCGGCCGAGGTCTGCGCGGTGCACGGGTCGTCCACCGCCAGCGCCGCTGCGTGTGCGTTGACCGAAAATAGAAGAAAGAGAGTAGGGTGTGCATTCACCAAAACAAAGGGAGGGCGTGCGCCCACCCACACCCACCTTTTGGTTGCTACTTCTTCAATAGGCGTCTATTTTGCCACCGACAAATACTTCCTTCTTTTCTTTATCACCACATCTTCTTTATTACCAGCTCTTCTTTAGCTTAACTTCTTGATCTTCGTTGATTTGTGTATGCTATACCGTTCTAACTAATTGATTGTAATTGTAACACTCAATAACCCATATCTAGCCAATTGTAGCCAGCTGTTGGATTCTTGGAATTACCCGCCGACTACTCAGCATATCAACCGACTAAGCTGATATTGATACCACCCAATTGTTACTGGTATAATCGATTGGACTGGATAAATTGTATAAGTCAGTGGATTGTATAATATCAATTTTCAAGTCGTTGACCATCGGTTAACTCAATTTACTATATTGCTTTCAGTTGCATTGCTCATTACCGCACAGTGTCCTATATCTTAAACCTAAGACTCCCACCCTTTTTTTTTTTTTTTTTT